CAAACACGCTCAAATCGGGCTCCATTTTGTGCTAAAGTGTTTAAAATTAATTACGTGATATTATCTATATCACACACGATTGCGCTCAAACAGAAAGAGCTGTTTCTCGGTCAAGACTTATCTTCTAATGACGTCAAACCAAGGAAGAATTATTACTATTGATTGAATTTAGTTCTGGTTTAATTAATGGTTACTCCCTTATTAGTCAATATCGTACCCAGCCATTCCTGGTATTTGAGGAATTCTTTTATAAACTACATTTAATATCAGGTAGGTCATTACCACTCGGCACTATTTCTTGGTGTCATTCAGTACACAGAAACGAACCAGAAACCTGAGTGTAAAACTTCTAAAGATGTTATGGCATGGATAAACGACTTTTGATATACAGAAAAATAAAGCTATTCAGATACATCGGTACTGCGAACTGGGAATCATTTCTTTTATATGATAATGAACTAACCCATAGTCTAGCGCTTTCAATACCTGTATTTTTGTTTTTAGAATTATTTGTATTATACTTCTCGCGGTTCCTTTGCATCCTTTATTCGGGGTGGTTTATTATAAATTGTATTTTGGACCCAATTTACTTGAACTTCCTTATTTTCCAGACCAATGCCTCCAAGTGTAACCTTCCTTTATAAGAACAAAAATAGATTCTCGTATACATGTTAATGACCTTTGGTATTACAACCAGATATTTTCGAGACGTATTTCATGTGCATGGGTGTGCAGTATATTGGCATTGAACACATTGTCGATTTTCAGTATCCCGTAGATTAGGCACAAATGGGGTAAGTTACATATGATCTAGTTAAGTTTGATTGAAGACCAGTCGTTGCAGAAAAGTAGGACGTTATGCCCCATTTCATTTCATTATAAACCCCAACCACTTGACACTATTGATAGGCTATATTGAAATTTGGTCGTTTGATTGCGCTTGAAGTTCGAGTATATTTCATCTAAATATATTTAAAAATCAAAAGAATAAGGCATCTCATCAACTTTAAACTGTCATGGGTGGATTTCCTATAATGGCGCCCGATTGTTTGTATTGCTCATCTGAACAGTGTTTTCTTGTTATGTCTACATGTACACAGTGTCAATATCAAGTCGGAAGAATGGTGTATGTGATTATATAGCATCTGCCTTTATCTATCCGAGAATTAACACGTCGTAAATTTACCTGTTTGTCTTAGTTTTACCCCGGATCCTGGTATCATCATTAACTTGTTTATGTTGAGTAATACTTGTTATTGTGTAAGGCATTGTATCTCTGCCAAGTTTTCTAAGGGAGAGAGAGAGAGTGGGAAAAAAGACCTATCTCATAGCCAATCCTATTCAACCTTGGGAATCACAAACATAGTTAAACAGTTCACTGTGTTTATTTATTAATCCATCCGTTAAAGAGACGTGCCAGAAGAGAATTTAATGTATTCTTTATTTAAAGATTAGACAAAGACGGACCGTCATTTAGAAACTTAAACAAAACATTTAGGTTAGATAATCGAGTGTTAACACCTCGTTAACACCTATTTAACCCCGGTGGCCGATTCGTTGGCCTACCAGTGAACTACTCGAACTCAAGGTTATTGGATACAGATACATTTTAAGATGGCGGCGTGAAATCAATACAAACTAAATTTCAGTTGGTCATACCATACCGTACGTGAGAACGTAGATCAATAGAGACTTTTGGCAAGCGGATTTTTTTCCATCCATATCACGTATCCGTATCGACAAGTGGTACGTTGCGTCATTGTAGTTTTAGAGTTTAGGCAGATTTTCGCGCCGCGTAAGTATGAGTAGCTGAGCTGAGCTGAGTTCTATTACAGCATGATGACAGTTATCTACTAAGATCAACATCAATACTAGTCAAGTGCCTGGCCTACAAATTCCTGAAGGGAGCAAAGTCGCTCAACTGTCGCTGAGCTATACTATTCAAAAAAAGTAGGGGATATTTGATTTTGGGGGCATAATACTAAAATATGCAAATGACTACGAAAAAAGTCACTATAGAACCTAACAGAAGAAACATTTCCAGTTACATGTGACGCCCAAACGCACCAATAGCTACCGCATGGAATGCAGGTGATGCTTGGGATCATCATGGGGGTCCAACCCAAGATTTGCACGACTCTGACTTTGGATGTTACAGTCATTGTGGCATTGAATTCCAGGGTGGAAACATCAGTTTAATTGTTTTAGTGACCAGAAAACAAATTTTGATATGCGTCGGCTTACCCAAAATGAAAGGTTACGTGCCCTTGGCATGCTACAGATCGGCACAACACAGGCGGTTGTGGCGCGGACGATGAATGTTTCTCAGTCTGTCATAAGCAGGCTATGGTCCAGATACCGTGATACACAATCTGTACAGGACAGACCACGCTCAGGTCGACCAAGGGCGACAACTCAAGCCCAGGATCGATTTATCCGTACCTTGGCCTTGAGAAATCGTGTCATCACAGCAAATCAGATCAGCGCTCGTCTTCAAACAGACACTGGTGTGAGAGTGAGTGGCCAGACGATTCGGAATCGACTGCATAGGGGTCACCTTCGCGCCCGACGTCCTCGCGTGATCCCTTGTTTGAGAGATCATCACATTCAGGCAAGACGTCGTTGGTGTAGGGATCGTCAACACTGGGATAATCGACGCTGGAGCAATGTGATGTTTTCAGATGAGTCAAGGTTCACTGTTGATTTTTTGGACAGACGTAGGAGGGTGTGGCGTCGTCGAAACGAGCGCTTCCAAGACGTTAACGTCATCAGACATGATCGATTTGGGGGTGGTTCTGTTATGGTGTGGGGAGGCATCACTGTTGCTGGAAGAACGGCTTTACATGTTGTTGCAGGGCGTGTTACAGGCCAGTACTACCGGGACAACATCTTGGCAGTCCATGTTGTGCCGTTCGCACGACGTCATGGCCGCCGTTTCATCTTCCAGGATGACAACGCAAGATGTCACAGGGCCAGGATCGTTACAGGTTACCTCCAACAACAGAACATCACCACATTACCTTGGCCAGCACTGAGCCCCGACCTCTCCCCCATCGAGCATGTCTGGGACATGCTTGGACAGAGGTTACGTCAACGTCAACAACGTCCTGCCAATGTCCAAGAACTTGCTGCTGCGTTGCAACAGGAATGGGACAATCTGGACCAAAATGACCTTAGACGTCTCATTAGGAGTATGCCACGTCGGATCAATGCTTGTTTGGCAAACAGAGGAGGATTTACCCGTTACTGACTTGGTTGTGATGCTGTGGTAACTTTGCTGTTTGACCCCGGGTATCATTTTACCCTTATAATGGTCAGTCTGTGCCTTACTTAGTCTAACGATCATTTGGAATAAATCGATGAATGTGAACTTCATTTCATTTTGTCATTTGTTTCTTCGTCAGTTTCATTAGGTGACTTTAATAACACTTAAAAATCAAATATCCCCTACTTTTTTTGAATAGTATATTTATTTATTTTTTTTTTAAATTTAGTGTCGAATCTTATTAAAATTCTTCGACATCAACGGCAATTTTTGGTTTCACTAATGTATCATTTCAGAAAGTATATACCCCTTTTACAGATTGCACGGTCCCACCTCCCTAAATTTAGCACGTAGATCAACCAGCATGCAGACAGACAGACAGGAAAAATATGAAAATTCCGCGAAAGCTCATCAAAAATAATGATTAAATTCCAGTCTTTATCATGGTTAAAATCACATCAAACATACATCTTTGTGTTCTAGGATACACATAGATTAATAAAAACGCTACGGCACAACATTTCGGCGTCTAAAAATAGCAAAATATACGGTAAAAAAGACGACGATATTATACGGACCTTTTCCATATGAAAGCTGTTCGATACGTGCTGCCGTATCTGTGTGCCGTATCACGTATAAGAAATACACACGCAATGATGACGTCACAAGCAAAATCCATACGGATACGCGATAGGGTCTCTAATAGAGACTTTTGGCAAGCGGAATTTTCCCATCCGTATCACGTATCCATATCGTATACGTGATACGTTGCGTCAATGTAGTTTTAGAGTTTGGGCAGATTTTCGCGTCGTGTACGTGTGCGTCGATCAGCTGAGCTTAGTTCTATTACAGCATGGCAGATATCTACCAAGATCACCATCAGTACTAGTCAAGTGGCTATTAGAGCCGGGCTATTAAAAAAAAATTAATGTCGAATCTTATTTAAAATCTTCGACCTCGACTCGACTGCAATTTTTGGTTTCACTAATGTATCATTTTAGAAAGTTTATACCTCTTTACCAGATTTACAAGGTCCCGCCTCCCTAAATCACATCAAATATACACCTTCGTGTTCTAGAATACACACAGATTCATAATAACGCTACGATACAACATTTCAGCGTCTAAAAAAGACGACAATGTTGTACGAACCTTTTCCGTATGAAAGCTGTTCGATACGTGCTGCCGTATCCGCGTGCCGTATCACGTATGAGAAATACACACACATTGATGACGTCACACGCAAAATCCATACGGATACGCGATACGGACCAGAAAATTACCCTTGCCAAAAGTCTCTATTATGTTTGTGTTTGCGTACGTATGATTGTGCGTGGTCTTAATCTTTATTCTTGACTTTGGTCCTGACATATTGTCCTATTAATGTACTTCTGAGGAGTTTTGAACAATCTACTTGAGTGAAAAGTAGACTGAAATATTTATTAATCGATTATCGAATTGTATATTAATCCAAATATAGGGAAAGGACCACCACCAATTAATTAATTTCCTCATTGCCTGGAAATTGATAATTATTATCTTATTAATTTCACGTATCATTTAAGATAATATGAACATTATATCGGTTCTGAGATTCGTCTGTATTGCGTCGTTAATTATAAGGTAGCTATCCAGTAGCTATGTAGGTATTAAGATATATGATACGCAAAGAACCTTGACCCTTCGCAGGCTGTATTTTGCTCGAGTCAAGTACAGTTTATAAGACGTAAACAAATGCTATGTAGGTAAAGCTTTAGTATACGTGTAGTTTGAAGCCAAGTGAAGATGAGTCAGACCCGGAACTTATCGTTACCTATATATCATAAAGACATTGTTTAGGGATGGTACCAGGTTGTTGATCTGTTCTGATCTCTGGAGGTGTTTTGCAATAGTTCCACCACCTGGGAGTGTGTATAACACTTGTATTGGAGACATTGTTTGATTACGTTTGGGAGATTGTAGCGAGGCAGAAGCGAATGTGTTATTTTGAGCAGAAGTTAATACGAAACAGTGACTACGCGAAATCGACTTTATTGTGGATCAAATGTATAGTGTAATAATTTACGAAGGCTAAATGTATTGTAGACTGTAAGCAGACTAAAGTGGAAATGCATAAATTTACTTACATCATATATATATATACAATCGATAATATGTCGCATACTATATCAAACAAGTGAAACAGTTCAATACTTGTGGTATTTAGGTGAAACAAAATTCTATATAGATTTATATTACGTTTCCTGTCATCGTTGGTATAACTGCCAGAGATAAAAAGGTGGGTCTGGTTATCTTGTATTTTATTGTAGATTATTAATGCTTCTGTCTTGAAGCAAATATATAATAAACGACATCCGAAGTCCCATAAAACAGCTGAAACAGTCATTAATCTGTATTGCCCTTATATATTAGGTGTTTGTGATCTTACAATATTATATGGATGCTATCAAAAAGTGGCGGCTAATAGAGCACCCTGTGCCCTTTATGAAATGCGGTTATACTAAGTTCGATACGTCCTTCATTGCGTTTGACCAGATCTGATTATCATTGGGTTTTTTAATTTGTCATTGTCAGTGAATTTAAAATTTAATATGCTGCGCTGACTGTAGTGATAGATTTCGACAGGCGATATTTTTGATTTCCTATTTCCAGGCAGAAACTTAGTTAACAGACGTGTTATGGCTGTGAAGATAGGCTTATTCATGATGATGTAAATAATGTTTTAATCTATAATTGATAAATCGGTACTTATTCATGATGATGTAAATAATGTTTTAATCTATAATTGATAAATCGGTACTTACATGTTTCCTTATCACTAATAGCAGGATACCTACTGACACTAAATACCTACTAGATATAGCGGAATACAGTAATATATACCATTTTAAAGGAGATATCCCAGATATATTTTAGTGAACCAAACGTGTTAATCCTTCGTTGGAAGATTCTTCGAAATCTGTATTAGAGTCCCGGGCATTCATCCGAATCTCGGTGTTGTTGATAATTTTTTGTAAAACTACAAAATTCAGTCGATAATTTCCCAAAGTGCCAAGACACAGTACGTCACAATATTCATGAACGAAAATCTTTTAAATATGGTACGTAATGATCATTCTGTACCGAAACCTTCAAACTATTTATATAATTTCTTACTGTTCGACGGTTTATTTAAACTCACTTTTATCACCGGGTAGCCTGTGAAATCTGGGATCTCTTCTTTAAAAATGTTGAAAAAAATGTTGAAAAAAAAAGATGCTAGAAAATAGAATATCTTTAAAAATTTTAGCGGTGGGGGTCTGATACTACCTGTCTCTGGGAGATGTTGGTATGTGACATATTCACGTAGGTTACACTTTTGTATTCACCTTGATGTCGAGGTCTAATTATGACACTCAGTATATTCATTTTCTTTGATGTAGCTTTGCCTTTCACTTTGACATTTTGGGTTGTCTGTGTTGTATTCAAGTATATAGCTTATTCTATATATTTAAGTAGTTAGCTATATGTTATATCACCCAGCTCTGCAGCTTAAAATCGATATACAAATGCAAATATGCAACAAAAACATATATAGGCCTGTTAGTGCATGAAATTGCCAACAGGGGCCATGTTGGAACGATAGTCGTCCCGTTGTAAACTAGTAATGTATTAGGGTAAAAGTGAGAAGGAAATTCACGTTACAATCGGATCTCATTCTTTTTTCCTGCCAATGTACAAGCAGCAACGTTAATACTTTGATGGTTCATCCAATGTAGGTCTAAATTATGTATTTAACACTGGCATTTAACGGCTGTGTTTGGCTATTGTCCAAGTTTGATCGAATAGTCAACTGGGGGTTTATTCAGATTTAAAAAATATACAGTACCCATCCACTTAATGAACGAGGAAGCGGGAATAGTTGTATTCTCAATGCTCGAAACAAAAAGACATATTATAGCGAGTAAATGGGAAGTTTGAACTATCTTTTACTATAGTGTGTTTCAATGTAGGTTAGTAGATCATAAAGTCACGAACCATCAGTTACGTGAGTAGTTATATTGAGTCTAGGTATAATGTATTAATTGAGTAATACCATTACCTATATCCGACCTAATGACTCTTAATCATGCCGTATGAACATTAATATAACAGGACATACCACCAAGTTTAATGAGTTCTTGGTGGTTGGTGTTGGCGGTGGGGTCAGTTTACGAGTTATGTTGTTGGAAACAATAAACGCCATAAAATGAATATCAATAATTATTCATAAACAGCGGATAAAATCATATAGTTCGGAGTGAGCATTAAAAATATTTTGGAGCGGTGAAAAAAATCCCACACATTATATATATTAACTTGTGCATATTTTTAGCGACCCACGATGATGATGACCTGTTTAAACATCGGATAATGCTTTTGTTTTGTTTCCGGACATCAGGCCTACGACTAAAGCGGTCGATGTCGTCATATCTGTTGTCCTTACCCCAAGGTGTCAGTTTTATTACTTCCAGGCGAAGAATGTTGAATTTTTAAGGGGTGGGTAGAATTGGCGTTCTTGGTTATTATGTTTCTTAATCTCTAATTTTTGACCAGCTTGCTTAATTCGTTGTGTTCAGTTCCAGTCGTTAAAAGCAATGAAAACGTACCGCTTTGCTCTTGTAATTCTGAATGTAACAACATCAGATCATGATTATGGCACTCGTAGAACATTTTGAAGCACACCGCAGATTATCTTTTTTTTAAGTACAACAAAATATTATGGTGCTGATACGGACTGGCCGATCACTTCAAGCATACAAGGTCACCACTGACCACTGCGATTTTCGCAGGCTTCTGAAAGCGGCGATACGCGCGGATATTTGCAGTTCAAAGTGACGATTTGACCTTGTAATCGTTTGACCTCGAACTCTGATTTGCTTATGAAAATCGTTCATGTGAACTGTTCCCAAAAATTCGCTCTGCCGTCAATCTCCTCGCGTTCTTTTCCTTACACCGGTACTGACGCGATTTTTACACCTTGCGCCTACGTTTCACCATATGGTTTCACTACAAAGAGGTTTTAGTTTCTTTTCCCGCCAACTGTCATGCAAAAATGACATTTCAGCTGCACTGTCTCGCAAGCACTTCCTGCCCACCCAGTATATTGGTTCGCAATATGTTTGAAAACAATTAATTATGACGCAAGAAAGGACCGGGGTCACCCTTTGAAACATCGTGTACCTCATGAATCATTATCATCTTATTCACTGATCCCACAACAGAAACAAATATTGCAATCAGAGGTGTAAATAATTTGTTATAACGCTTCAAAGTTTTCGAAATTACACGGTTTCAACGTAATTAGTTCATATCAGTCATTAAACTTCAGATAGTTTCAACTGTTCAATTTGCTTCTTTATTCATCAATGCATGCCTACTATCCGCTTTTATCAATATCATATTGAGACAGTGCAATTTTAGATGACAGACATTATTTTATCAAAATACGGGCATCTCTAGCACTAAAATTGTCCAGAAGGATATTGCAATGATTTAAAGATTTTGAGGTGTAGACATTAATATTCTTAACATTGCCCTTTGATGTACCCAGTAGGCGATGGGCGGCTAGTTTAAAATACATTTTGGTTTATACGTATATGCAGACTATTCTTGAGGACTTCCTTTGCAACCGATTATCTGTACATCTACTTTCACCTAGATTTTAAGATCATCTTAACGGTTACCCTTTGGTATTATGATTGTATCCTGTTATTATTTTTAGGCATAAAAAAACTGAATTATAAAGTTAAGGATGTTGTGAAAAGGACAGGCTTCGTGCACCCATACGATATTCATGCGAGCTTATAGCTTTGTGCACATACGTGATTTGCCATATCGGGGAGGGGGGGGGGGGGGTTGCTTTCAGAATGGACTGATCAAAACATGACCATTAGATGCATATTAAGTTATCTTTTGTTCAGTTGGAAGTCGACATCTGAACTTATTTTAAGCCAATCATTGAAGTATGAAAGGAAATAAACGACCTTTCCTCGAACTGTTCCACCGTCGTAGATTATTATTGATTTGACCGGGAGTGTGACTATTTAAGCGAGGACTTCCCGGTCGGCGATATCACTTCGGTGGAAGAAGACATTAAATAAAGCTTTTCCACACACGCACAGTCCTAATGTGCAATAACTATGCCTACTTTCTGGGCCAACCCTTGTTCCAGCATGATATTCGGGTTATATTCAAACACTAGGATATATCGAATAATGCCGATTGGTGACCCATGAACTCGAAATTCTAAGTCCTGGTAGAGATTGGTATTTATTTCCCGTGGCCGATATCGATATATTAATGTAGTGTATGCTATCCAGCCATGGCCGAGATTAACATAGAAAGTGTGCACAGCCTTTCGGGTAGGACGAAACGTTCGGGTCTCGCTTAGGAATTGTTGTTAAACATAAAAGATCCATAGGAAGTTGGAAATCCAAGACTGGTTGCCAGAAACGGACAAAATTGCACACGTAATCTTCGACGTGTTATGTTGACGACACGTTTAGAACAAATCCCTGGATTTCACAGTTTTGCATGTATGTTACATACAAACATGTATATGTTCATTACACGTGTGTATTTAAAACTGACTATGCACATTATAAGAACAATTTCATACATATATGTAAAGGATTTTAACAAATTGCTATAAATTACTAGACGTGACATCGATGTTGTTGGTTCTTCAAAGACACGGCCAAGTTCTTGGGAATTAAGATAAATACGTGACCTTCGCTTAAACATACATTATGCAAGAGCTAAATCTGTCTTTCTTTAGGCCTGAAATGTTACCTAAATTATTAATAAGACATTAATTAACTTATCCAGATCATAATCAACCCTCGATGTCATCGCTAGACTGTGATATTTACTGGATTAGGATCTGATTTGCTGCTCAGCTTTCAATCATGATTTAATCAGGAAATGAATTATCGAGACTATGTTTTTTATCGTACCGACTTTAGTTTTTAACTATTATAGTGAGAACTGCCAGCTCTTTATCTAATCTCCCATAATGTATCTTTAAGCTTCAAAGTCAAACGGTTAACAAGTTGTTGACATATTTTATTCTACACCAACCCAAGTTATTCTTATATAATACGAGCAATATGTCACAGTGGGTGACAAAGTTCATTACAACGATGTGCCAGGAACACTTATTTATCCCGAATGTCAAAACCGCGGATCTCTCATTCAGGGCCCAGCAATAAGTGACATCACGTGTATTGGAAAGACATAGCATATCTTTAATTGCATACACGACTCTTTTGAGATCAAAACTAGACATATCCTTATTTTTCGTAGACACGGTCCGAGTCCTTCTACCCGACTCTATAGGCCCGCTGCGTCTAATACTTGACCTGGCAATGCTTGTCCAAATATTCAGGTGTTAGAATATGAAAAATGGACCACATGCTAAAATTACTAAACTAAACGTCTTTAATTTGGAACAAAAATAAAACTTGTCTGTTTCATTGGACAATCTGTCCAGATCGAACCAGATCGATTCGAACCAAAAATCTAATCGTATAAAGTTTTCCTCATCACTAATGAAAATTGAATACTTTATTTTGGCCATTTTAGCTCCTACAAGACGGTATAATACATGTATGTATTGCGGTGTTTGAAACTCTTTTAACTCTTCCAATATGATAAGTTAGCTATACATTTAAGTTATGGAAACTGAAATTCCTGTCAAAGACAAGTGACAACCAGACGGACAGACCATGCCACAAACATTTTGTGAACAAAAACGAACTTTAAATCATAAGCAATAAACAGAGTGTTTTGACAGCTTGTCAACTTACAGACTAAATAATCATTCACGCCTAACAATCGTCTAATCAGTTTGTGTAACTGGCTTTATCAACAAGGAAATCGATTTGTCAGTGACACTCACTCACCTACATAGGCTTAATAGCTAAATCATCTCAATTTCACATGTAAGCTAACGTATTATCATCAAAAAAGAAAGAGAAATGGGTCTTAACGTCAACTCAACATAATCTAGGTCATGTACAAGTGTATGGTCGAAACTACGCAACTTAACTGGGTGCCAGACCTTATGATCTAAAGCGTTCGCGCTAGACCATTCGGCCACCCAACTATCCCGGTTTTCAAGATTGATTATTTAGCAATACCAGCACCCACAATGTGGACCACACAGCGTAGCCTTTTTAAACGTCCCACACATTAATCCTTAACATCCAATTTCTACAAACATGCCTTATGACTAACCTCTTTTGTTTTCTAATTTCAGATTGAAAAAAGATACAGGCGGATTCAAAAATTAGATACGAAAACATACTGCTGGAAATAGGGTGTCGGTCATGATGATGGCGACCCCGCCAAAAGCAGTGCACGATCCGTTGTATAACTTTGAAACTCATTTTCCCGAAAAACTTTCTCGGCTTCATTTTAACCATGAATTATCTGGATCTTTTAAGAGATCAAAACGAAAGCAACGAACTGCTGGTAGATATAAAACTCAACCAATCACATTTGATGAAATCCAGGAGGTAGATGAACCGCCACCTGCAGCCGAAGAACCCAAAACTCGGGCAGACAATCTCAAATCTGCCAATCAACCTTTCTCACGATCTATTGATGGTCTCCTTCCAAAAGTATTGGGACCCCGTCCAGAGGCAGGGGTAGCAAAAGAAGCTCCTTCCTGTGTTATGAAACGAATGAGCCCTTTGCGATTACCAGGTGGGGCTAATTTCAAAGCCAAATCCCCAATACCAGAATTAGAGGAACGGTTAAAGGGAGAAGAATCGGTTTCTCCTACCACGGATAAATCGCCAGAAATTAAATCGGATAAAAGTCCGACTTCACTAAACCCCGATAACGGAGGAAATACGCAAAAACCGCCCATACCTTCGCCTAATATGGCACCTAGAAGGCAGAAAGTTACCGCCAAAGCTAAAAAGCGACAAAAGGCCGATGGAATAGAGAGTGAAGATACATGAGATGGATTTATTTGATTGGACAAAATGATTATCGTGATTTATTTTTGCAAAAGGATGATGTATCACTTGATCCGTTCGTCCCAGTGTGCCTGTGTAGGTTAACATGCCTAAATGTATTTTAAATGATATACCTGATGATTATTGACATTTTAAAAAGTATTATGACTGGAAATTTAGTTATGGAATTATATTATTACCAAACACACTTTGGTGAAAACTCTGAGACTTTCAGGATTATTCGTATTCTTTTCTTCAAAGTTTAACAGAACTTCCTGGAATCTTGATATACATCTATAGGCCTTCGAGATTATATCTGCAGACACTAGTTCTTCATTTGGATATTATTGCAGGGTTTTTGTGTTTTTAAGGTGTTTTAGCTTTCACTTCTGTGCAATTTAGATTTTTGGTTTAGACATGTATAGAAATTATGTATTTGCAGGAATTATGTAAAGCGGTTCAATTCTTTGTTTCTTTAGCTTGAAAGCGCTTGTAAATATTTTGAAACAATGATTTCATAACAGTAGCTTTATAAGATAGTCTATTGTTGAAATATCATTTAATGACTTGAATTAGTATGTAAAGTATTTATATTTGTTATGTGTGGTGTATCCTCCTGAAAATACGAATCCCTTCAAGTTCTAGTCGTACAAATATTGTGCTGATGCCAACACCCATGACATTTAAATTATTCGGTGTCGGTCCAATCGGCTTTTATGCCTACCATAATAACGTGAAAGCGATGACGTTTTTACGGTTCTTGCATTAAATAAGTAATCATGTATTAGTGGGACAGTCAGCTGGGACAGAAAGCTGTTCCACGGGATTGGCAATGTGTATTAAAAATCAGTGCCAATAATGTTTCGTTTTATTTTGGACGTTCAGCTACATTGACTACAACGTCATCTAACAAAACAAACGAAACGCAATTGTAATATTATTTTAATTAAATCAATCTGATTAAAATACAGCTATATATTTCGTTTCGTGTTTTTTTATATATTTTCGACGGACTTCACTACATGAAAATCTGACCAGCTGTAGTGGAAGGTCGCGTCAGGTTTCATGCGAGAGGCTTTTGACCTTATGACGTCACACACTGATTAATCAATCGTCGTTGACGTTTCTAGTAGTTTACCCAAAGTTCCGTGCACCTCACGCCAAAAACTCGCCGTAACAGACAGTTTCATTGGCTAATCTCTCACATCATCCAGAACGCGGAGTATATAACAACACTTTCAGTTTCTAGTGTAGTAAAGACGAGCAAAACGAAACTTTGAACTATAAAAAACGAAATTAAATAAGATGTGTTTTGATCAGATTGTAATTAAATGGAGGGTCTTCGCATATTCGGTCGTAATTTTTGCGATTTCGATAGTGTGCGGTAGCGTTCAGTAATATATCTATCACCACTATGCTACTTATTATCCTTTGCTCTTATCTAAGCTATGTTAATTGCTTTCGGTAATTAGAAAACGTGATATTATCTTTTTGAGTTTGGGCAAAAATGAAGAAATAGTTCTTGCTTTTAGTAATTATGATAATTATAAAACATATTAATCATTTGAGTTTAAACATAAATAGAAAAATAGTTCGATTCGTTTATAGGCCCCATCAGGCCCTTCGCATATTCGGTCGTGTTGGCACCTCGTGATTTTTGCGATTTCGATAGTGTGCGGTTGCGTATAGTAATTATGATAATTATAAACATATTAATCATTTGAGTTTAAGCATACTTTCGACAGTGTGCGGTAGCGTACAATAATATATCTATCACCACTATACTACTTTTTATTCTTTGCTCTCATCTAAGTTAATTGCTTTCGTTAATTAGAAAACGTGATACTATCTATTTGAGTTTGGGCATAAATGAAAAAATAGGTCTTGCTTTTAGTAATTATGATAATTATAATCATTTGAGTTTAAGCATAAATGGAAAAATAGTTCGATTCGTTTATAGGCCCTATTGGGCATTGATAACTTGACAGTGAACCGTTTATGAGCTTCTAGTCTTTTAAGACATAATATACACTTCAGTAATACTTATTCTGAAATTCAGGCTGATCAGTTAAAATTCTAATTTTTTTCCAAATTATTGAAAGAGCATTAATATTATGGAAGACTTGGTACTTCTTTGTCGTTACTAAATAAAATTTACCTACAGATGATTAAGCTCCCCTCACCTTTAATATTCTTTTTACTAGTATACAAAGTCAGGAACAGAGTGGTGAATGTATAAAAACAAAACTGAAATGTTTAGTATTAGACACTATTTCATTCATAATGTACAATGGAATTCATCCTGGCATCGTAGCAAATTACAGCAATTCAAAATGCCAATATTGGTACAGTAATTCAGTCCATTTGTCATATATATAAACTTTGGAGTATTCCAAAGAGAGTGTCTTTTGGTAAGCAGATATCCCGTGACATGGATGACAGCAAAATCAGCCGACATATTTCTATTTCCCATAAAAATAGCTGTTTCTTCAAATAAATAGACAACAAATTTTACGAAAATAAGATTATATCCTACTAGCCTTTTTAGAAATGCACGTTTACGCTTACTTCCAATATTAATGTTTGAATAAGACCCAAGTAAGGTTCCCTTTTCACATTTAGTTGTTCAGAGATTGCCTTATATTGTGCAATATTTATTATTAATATATGTATTTACATATATATAATATTTGGTTCTTGTAAACTTAGCTGTGATTGTAACATTGTGTAAATAAAATTATTTCAGATTGTTTCTACAAATGTGAATTACACACCCAAGGTGCATCCTTACATGCAACCCATGCAAAGGTCCTACATGTGGGGGGGGGGGGGGGGGTTAAATTTTCAAGTCCTACTTTTCTGCTGCACGTACTGGGCTAATGAAGTGGACAACATAATGCTATACAGTAGTCTTGGACAGTGGTGCTACGGCCTACTCTTATTTCGAATTCTACCTGTCAAGGATTCTTATACTTGCACGCCAACATGTAGGCCTACACCAGGATCAAATCACCAGTTACCCACTGAGAAACCGTGTATCCTGGTACAGGGGAGAAAAAGAATGGTTTCTAAATGGAACCACAGTTAGGTCATATATAGGACTACATTGATAAATTTTAGGAGGAATATGTATGAAGTTCCTGTCCAAATATTTGTTGTTCCAAGGTGAATATAGTTTGCCAGACAAAAGAAACATATAGAACCAACAGCCATGTTGCCTTTGAGTAATAAGATAATTTGTGCATTGGGAATTAGCAGCAAAGGGGAATAAATCTGGTGAAGATTATTGAAAAACACAGCAAAGCTATTAGTCTTCCGCATATTATTAATGAGATAGATAACACATATAAATTTCAAAAAGAAATATGGATTATGTTGGAGTCAAGTGTATTAAAAAAAAAATGTGGACCACAGGGACATAATTATGGTCAAAAATATGGACCTACACAGAATCCCTGCCCTACTCGCTCTCAATACTTTGACTTCGGCTTATGATTATATCAACTATTATATAAGTCAGGGGCTAGAAATAATTTCCAAAATCAAAAGAGACTGACATTACCACAATACCAGCTTGTCCCAAATGGCATCAGTCAACTCCCCCCCCCCCCCCATATTGGATAGGTAAGGCAAGGAAATTAAAAACCTTTTTGAATATGGTAAAAAGAAAAGATATGTTACATATTATAGATAAATACATAGATGTATTTGCATCCCCAGAGATAAGTTATTAACACTTTTAAATTTAATAATTGCTCAGACATTTATATCACCCTTCCAAATGGATTACATTTCATTTATTATGTTCGATCAACATGTAATTTACACAAATGATTACATCCATTAAGTCATTACATATATAATTACATATATTTACATGAAAATGTGTTAATGAAAGAGATAAATGATAGATGTTTATATACATTTACTGTAGATAAAGTATACATTAAATTAATCAAACCACTTATTTCGACTAGCTTGACTCTTTTCTGACATCAATTTTTGTTTATATTTATTAATCAACTGATCAAAGTTATCTCTTATCTCAGCTTTCTGTCGTTTTCTCTTTCTAGTCGTATCCTGTAAAATATAAATAATTAAAGATATCAAAACATGAAAAAGCCATAAATGTCACGATAAAATAATTCATATTACATGTTTATTAATCCTAGTTTAGGAGAAAAACATATGTTAGATGTATGTGCCAACTGAATATGTCATTTATAATAATATTTATCATCTACGAAAGACTATTTTTTATGATTTAGATAAGTCTTACATATATCAACTTGAAAGATGGCTGTTAAATTTAATGTATAGTTAAGTTTAAACATTCACCAACATTAAACTTTGTTGTTTTTTTCTGACAGAAATCCAATAATTTTATCAATATTTCTGGAGAGGAATATCAAAGACTTGAAAACCAATAAATTTGCACAAATCCTTGTAATTCAACAGACAGACAGAGACATGTAAGAATTAGATGTAGCTAAAATTTGTCTTACGGTACTGATTTTACACAATGCATGATTATTGTAGTTTGAACAGGTGGACAATTAAATAATTTTCTATTGATTGATATTTCGTTTTTTGACAACTGAATCAAAACAATCAACATTATAAATACATGTATGAATAAATATATCTTTTCCAATTGACTGCAAACAAAACAATGCATGACCACATTATAAACAAGCCAACAACAGTGAGGCTGATGTCCCCCGACAAAATCGCCAAACAAATAGATGTCACATATTAATTAATCGCACATTTATCTTTTTCAAAGTTATAGTTGGAGAGTTATATTGTGTTCCAAAGTCTAGACCAATTAAATTGCTTATCGCTCTGCTTACCCGGAGCAGAAAATGCTCATTATCAAACTTAGTCAAGGTATTGATGTAATGAAACTATATACCAAGTTTGATCACTCACATTTAATTAGGGTTTCACACTGCGTAGCTTGTTTGAAACACTATTGTTTTTGTTCGGATTATTCTTCTTCTTATTATTATTTTTTTTTTCCACTTGAGCATATCTCGGAAACTACTTGTCGGATCGATTCGATGTCTTCGGTTGTCCTGGAAAAGTGGGTGTGACTTAGAGATTAAAGCTATTTCGAACGTTCAGCGACTATGCGAAATGTCAGAAATCGCCGAAGTTGTCGGTTTTTGAAATATTGCCGTAATATTAACAATAATCGTTGGATTTTAACATTTGATACATTTTGACATAGCCTGAGACAGGGCACATAGCTACGGTAGTTTAGATTTTTGATTTTCGACGAATCTTCGGAGATATTAGGCGCCAAATTTTGACAAAAAAATTTTTTATTAATGAATAATTTTTTATGGCATTTTACCCAGGGTTAAGGAGTCGTCTGATTTGACTCTAGGTTAATTATTTATTGCCCGATTTTTATAAAACAAAGTTCATATGCTCCATGGTGCAAATTCTCAATTTTTTTTATTACCGGTAAAGTTTTCTATCGGCACCGGATGTGACACAATTTTGCTAAAAACTCCAATTTTGTCGAGTCGGAACGTCTTTAACTAGCAAATGTTAATTTTTGCAAATCTGATAGATCAAGATAAATGCCCCTACAAAAGGCGCAAAAAATCTCGGACTCGCTTTTTTTGATTTTGGTTTTGTATTTGCGCCATTTCGATTTAAAGGTGAAAAAAGGTGAAAAAAGATGTAAAAATGAGCTATTTACAACCCATTCAGACTTTTCATATTTTAAAATATTTCTTCACAACTTTCATAAACTTGTAGCATTAATCCATACGAAGAGAATCTATGTCAAAATTAGTTTGTAATATGAGTATTTGCCGAGAAATGGTCAATTTTGCATGAGTCACTATTTACGCTAGTTTGCCTGTAAAAGAGTCAATTATTATTGGATTTTCATAAAAGTGACACAATTTGATGCGTAATGTCAATTTTTACTAGGTCAAACCAATTTAACATTTTCAATGTCACCGGAAATGACGTAATTTGGGCAAAAACTGTATTTATAGCCTTCGAAACAAATAATTTATTCAAATGAGTCGTATTTGTTATTTTTTTAAAATTTTGATATTTGATTGAAATCAACTACATGTAATAGAATGAACCCATACAATCACATAGATTTCACAACATAGTTTCTACCTTGTTCAGTTGCGGAGAAATAGACGATTTTCAACAGGTAACTTTTCAAGGTTTTTGGTCCATAAAAGTGTCAATTATTATACGATTTTCATAAAATTTCCAGTGTGTGATACCTAATGCCATTTACGATTTCATACAAGTAATTTAACACTTTTACTGTCACCGGAAGTAACGTCATTTTGACAAAAACTGTATTTTTAGCCTTTAAAACAGATATTTTATTCAAATGAATCTGATTTGTAATGATTTTAAAATTATGATATTTGATTCCAATCAACAAATAGATTGAACCCATACAATCATACAGATACCAAAAAATGGTTTCTAACTTGTACGGTTGCAGAGAAATACGCGATTTTCTGCAAGTCACTGTTCAAGATTTTTGGTCTATGAAAGTGGCAATTATTATTCGATTTACATATAATTTTCACCATGTGATGCCTTATGCCATTTCTGATTTCATAAAACTAATTTAACATTTTCATTATCACCGAAAGTAATGTAATTTTGTCAGGATCACTTAAATGTAACAAATGTATACAATGAATTGATATTGTTGGATTTGGTTGATTCTGCGTACATGTATTATTTGATGCGTGCAATGCTTATATGGAAACCTGTTTAATGGTTTCATCGGTACAGGAAGTGACATACGTTCAAGGGTAACGGGCAACGGTGAAACCCGTCATTACTGCGTCGCAGTTCTAGTTAGAATTAAAATTATCGTGTCCCAAAGCATCAACAAATCAAATTGCTTATCTCTGCTTACACTAGGCAGAAAATGCTCATCTTCAAACTCCATCAAGGCATTCACCTGATAAAAACCTACACCAAGTTTGAAGATTCTAGCTCAATTACAAGGAGAGATATTGTGTCTCAACAAGTCTACAGTGAGGCCAATGTCCCCCCAACGAAATCCCAAAATAAATAGAGGACACATATTAATTAATTGCATGTTTACCTTTTTGAAAAGTATCGAGCAATCAAACTGATAATTAACTATACTTAGCTTTAGCAGGAAATGTTAATCATTGAACTCAGTCAAGACATTCACCTAATGAACATACATTCTACTTAAATTAAAAGTAGAGTTGTTGTGTCCAAAAAAGTGTGATGGGCAGACAGACGGACGGAGAGGCGGACAGACAGAAGGACGAACCCATTTCAATAGTCCCCTTTCTTAAAATATAATAGTAACCAATGTTCAGCAACATGTAATACAATTACAATGAAATAGACTAACCTCCCCTTCGCACTCCTTTAAGCATCAATAATTTTATTTATAAATGACATAAGAAGATTAGTTAAATACATGTGGAATATGTCTACCAAAAAAATACCATTTACATGCTCTAAAATAACTAATAATTGAAATAAATCGACTCTTTACCAAGTCATTTTAAATAAACACTACACTATATCAGGAGTTTCAACATTAAAACCATGGTGCTTTTTATTTGGCAAGTGAAGAAATCAACTGTCTGCCAATTCTATTAGAATATAAATAAGATAGAGTACTAGTACTTTAAACCATATTTTGAAGGGTTTTTTCCATGGCCTACTTGGATGAAAACCAAAATAAACAAATTGCAAGCCTTTTCATCAGTTGTACATTCAATCTGATGTTCATTACCACTGACTATTAATAATATCACAACTAAATCTCGCACATCTGTAGACAACTGCTATAGTCTTTTATGTGTACAGATTTTATCAATTGATTCATCTAAAGTCTGACTACATGTCACAATTAAAATTTTACCTTTAGGCTGATGCATTGGCAATAAACTCAAAGAATAATAGACAGAATTAACTAGTTCTATCTAACATTTTATATTTCTGTTACATTTAGAGATATTGGTCTGGTTAATTGCATGTAATAATCATGGGTTCATCCATACCAGTATCCATGCTTACTGACAGAAAAATAGAATCCTGAAGCTTTAAACACATTTTCCTTAGAACGAGAACTTTTTTTGATAGAACTAGTTAATTCTTGACCAACAAAATATCAGTCAAATTCATTTAAGCTTACATTGAAAATAGATAAATGCATCATTTATGGCTGAATGGTTAGCGTGCGTGCGCTGTATCATAAAGTCTGTCATTGAGTCGACTGGCGTGGTTTCGAATCCCCGGTTGTACGTGGCAAGGAGTAGGGTCGCCTGTCCAACCTCGTGGGTTTTCTCCGGGTCCTCCGGTTTCCTCCCACTGCTAAAGACCCATACGCGCAAGCGAATTATGTAAATAAAATTAAACCATAGGTTAGTCCCGAAATGACCTAGTTTGTGTTGAGTGGACGTTAAACCCCATTTCTCTCTCTCTCTCTCAATTTCTGTGTTAACCATAGGATCTGTTTCATGTACAAGTTAAAAAATGGTTTATTAAATGCAGGAGAACCACACCACACACAAATAAACAGCAAGTTTGCAATCCATAAGACAAACCAGAAAAAAAAGTATTATCAAATAAAGTGAATGGATCCAGGGGCCAGCCGAATTTATTCATTGCGCTGTAAAGTCCCGACTCCCGGGCCTGTAGTGACAAAGGTTTTACTCAAAATGAAAACACACTCACAACAAGGGATACAATCTACCATAAAACGGGGATATTTTTCACCATTGTATTATTCTAGTTTATAAGTATGTCATGTAGTGTATGATATTCATCAGAACCAGATATTGTAATTTTCATCTAAATGTACTACATTGTCTATGGCTTAATTATGGGGCGATGGGATACCTGTAGATGATTCTAAACCATATCCCTACCAAATGTATTATGAGCAAGATTTGAATCCTTCAATGTCTCGTTCTTCAGATATCTCGATAACTAACAACTTTTAAAATCTCAAACTTTCATAAGGTCACATCTTAAAGATGAGAACAGAAAAAGATACAAAAGACTGTAGAAGAATGAGACTTAAAGACTTACTCTCTAAAATATCTGATTATACAAAATGTACATGTAGTGAGAGATAGGAAATATCCCTATATATGAAACAGGTGTATAAGTTAAGTTAGAACAGTTGAACAAGTGCATAGGTATGTAACTAACTGACACATAATGAATTTTCATTTCAAACACCACTTTTAAACAGCTTGCTTTCAAATAAATTACAATGTCATGATTATCAACAGATGAGTTTGTTAAATTCTCTCGCATCAAATTAAATATACAAGTTTTGATATATGAGAGCAAATATAAGGCATTATTCCAGCAAATAGAGCAGGGACAATAGAGGTTCACAAGGTTAATGATAATTAAATATTAAAGAACAACTCAATAATCTGTACCAAGTTAAACTGACAACATGACAAACGAACAATTGCAGACATTCATTATTTACATTAAACAAAAGATTGGTTGCCAGACAATAAAATATGAGCCCACAGCAGGCAACGTGTACAAGCAGTCGACAAGGTTTGTCGCATATTGATTCTTTTGTAGGTAATGGAAACATTTACAAGACACTGATGTCAGTTTCATACAGATCGAATGATAACTTTTGTCATTAGAGTGTTCATAAGGTTCAACGTTATTAGCCTGAAATTGATGAAATTCTATAGGCTTCTTCGTTTTACTAATCTAAATGAAAGAGAGAGAGAGAAATGGGGTTTAACGTCCACTCGACACAAACTAGGTCATTTCGGGACTAACATATGGTTTAATTTTATTTACATAATTCGCTTGCGCGTAGGGGTCTTTAGCACTGGGAGTAAACCGGAGGCCCCGGAGAAATCCCACGAGTTTGGACAGGCGACCCTACTCCTTGCCACGTACAACCGGTGATTCGAAACCACGCCAGTCGACTCAATGACAGACTTTATGATACAGCGAGCACGCTAACCATTCAGCCATCCAACCCCCCTCTAATCTAAATGAAGCATGTCAATTTAATACAAATCGGACTATAGCGTTTGTCATTAAGGGGTCAACAAAGTGGAACTAGCGCCATAACTCTAACAGTTAATTAAATAGACTTCTTCATTTTACTAATCTAAATAACGCATATAAATTGAATACAGATTGGATGATAACTTTTGTCATTAGAACATTCACAGGGTTCAACAAAGTGTAACAAGGACCATAATTCTAGAAGTTATTAACAGAAATTGCTGTAATTCAATACGCGTCTTTGTTTTACTAATTCAAATAATGCATATAAATCCAATAAAGATTAGGGGATAACTTATGTCGTAGAGTGTTCACAAGTTCCCCAGGGGTTTAACAATGTGAAACAAGGGCCATAACTTTAGAAGTAATTGACAGAAATTGCTGAAATTCAATAAATAGGCTTTTTCGTTACACTAATCAAAATAATGCATATAAATATCATATGGATGGGATGATAACTTTAGTTGTTAGACCATTCACAAGGTTCAACAAAGTTAAACAAGGACAATAACTCTAGAAGTAATGAACTGAAATTGTTTCAATTCAGAAGGCTTGCTGATCAAAAGAAGACACAAACTTGTCATGCCTTTAGAAAAAATATATATTAAGGATGCATTATGTAAGAGCTCTCTGAGACCGGCGACAGAATGATTAGGCCCTACTTCGGCCTTGCGGGCTAACGGGGTGGTGTGTGTCCGACCTGTGTGTTTCGGCAGGTGTCTTTCGAAGGCAGTTAAATCTGCTTGCAGACGACTAGGGTTTGTGCGTGTCGGGTTGTAGTACTCGATAGAGCGGCCTGTTGTGGCTGCGATGCGTTGAGACTTACCCCTTGACTAGGAGATTTGTCCACTTCAGACGGACAGAGCTCTCTCTCTGTCTATTTGTTTTTCTCAGCTACTTCTTAACTTCCACTTCCACTTCGCGCGCCCCCGCCGAGGCTCTCCTGGCCAAGAGAGGAGAAGAAGAAGAAGAATAAGAAAGAGAAGAAGGGGGCCAATTTTTTAACCCGTTTGCCTGACGGCCCGTGTCTACACGCAATCGGTGTGGGACTTGTGTGAACGAAATGACGGACCGGGGCAAAAAAGACGGCCAAGAGTGCCCCGTCTTGAAATTTTAGAGAGATGCGGCCGAGAGGCGGTCGGGCTGGAATTCCTCAGGAAATCACGTTTCTGGCCTTCTGGCCTTACAGGGCTTCGCTTCTTCGGCGCTCATGGTGGCCGGTTTCGCCGGCCACAGCTCATTTGATCAGGGGCCACCCCACATGTTCCAGGCCCCAGGGCCCCCACCATGGTTAATCCGGCGCAATTTGCGGCTGCCGGGCAGGATACGCCCACATTTTGCAAGAGATGGATAGAGAATAAAGCTAAAAACAAAAACAATTTTTTGTACAATCAGGGGCCATAATCCAGAAAGTTATGATCTGAAATGCGCAAATATCAAAAGGGGCTGAGATTTTGGGAATATAAAGATATGCTTTAAGTTTCATCAAAATCGGATAAAAATTGTGACCTCTAGAGGGTTCATAACCTTTGAATAACATACTTATACACAATTTGCGTACAAAGAGCGTCGATTTTGTCAGGCAGTTTCATTTTGATTTTCCTGCAATTCGAATTCTACCTTCATTATGGTGGAATGGTGATATATCTAAACGTTTTTTAAAATTGGAAGAAAAAAAATTGTGACCTTTAGAGAATCCACAAGCTAAAAATGCGATTTTTCGACCAATCAGGGGCCATAATCCAGGAAGTTATGTTCGGATATGTGTGATTATCAAAAGGAACCAAGATCTCTGGGATATAAACATGCATTCCAAGTTTCATCAAAATCGGATGAAAATGGTGACCTCTAGAAGGTCCACGACCTTGATATACCATATTTTTACACTTTTTGCGTACAAGGGGCGGAAATTTTGTCCGGCAATTTTGGTCCGATTTGCACGAAATTCGAACTCCACCATCATTTGGGTGTAACAGTGATATACTAAAACATTTTTTTAAATCCAATAAAAAATGTGACCTCTAGAGGAACCACAATCAGGAGCCATAATTCAGGAACCAAGATCTTTGGGTTATAAACATGCATTTCAAGTTTCATCAAAATCAGATCAAAATTGTGACCTCTAGAGTGTCCACAAGCTAAAAACGTGATTTTTCCGTACAATCAGGGGCCACAATCCATGAAGTTATGGTCCGATACGTGCCAATATCAACAGGAACCGCAATCTTTGGGAGATAGACCTGTATTTCAAGTTTTGTCAAATTCAGATAGAAATTGTGACCTGTAGAGTGTCCACAAACAAATTGTGGACGGACGGATGGACGAACGGGGGCGATGACAATATACGTCCACGTGAAAATGTGGGCGTATAATAAAATGAAATTTAACGTCCTACTGTTCTGTTCTAACTGGGCTAATGAAGACGGGCACACATCATACAGTGTGCTATGTGGGGTCTTTTACGTGCACGCCAATTTTATAGATCGCATAATGACCAAGAGTTAAAAACGTGAATTAAGCCGTTCTGTGTGCATGAAAAATCACTATAAGAAATAAAGTGTTACTGTTAACGGATGACCATTTCAAAGGGAAATAACTATATTTTACTCATTATTATTGTCCTGGTCATCTGTGACAAAGATATGCCGAATGAAGTTTCGACACCTTGGTTTTATATGGAATGCTATTATTTTATTGTCGAATCAATGAAATAAATTCTGCATGTATACATAATGATATTACAGCATAAACTCACATGTAATACGTTATTCATATACAAATTATGAATACTTTGAAAACAAATTGTAAGTAAAAAAACTTGTTGATTATTGATAGGTGGATAGTCACTATTATTGATACTTGAAACCAGTATCGATTGCAAGCCCTATCTTGAACCACAGCATCTAGAAAATATTAACAAGTTGATTCTAGCAAATAACATCATTACCTATTTATTGTTGGAATAGAGAAAAAAAAGTGTCTTCTCCCCTTTAAATTCTAATTTCAAAGAAGAGCATTATGAAAAGTATACAGTAACACGGGTAAATAGCAAGGGTAATAACTCCATAAATTAAAACAAATAAGTTTCAAAGTTACTCACCTTTTCTGTACTTTTTCTTTTTTGACCTGTTGAATCTTGGGGATGGGGTTTCCTTGTTATATTTTTAGATTTATTGTCCTGCACAACTGATGGTCTTGCCTTGTGGCGAACTTTAGGACCAAAATGTTTGGGAAACCCAACAGGTCCAGAATACAGTTTTTTGGCTATTTTACTTTCTTTTTCATTATTTTGCAAATTTTGTTTAATTTTATTAGGTTTTTCAGTATTTCTATTTCTCTGTCTAAAATCTTTTCCACCATCTTGAGTCTCTTTACTTTTTTTCAATGATTCTTGTTTTGCCTGAAAAATAACAAAATATGTACATGAAAGACCAGAAACACATGCTTTGGAACAACTGGCTGGAATTAATCAAGTATACGTTGGGGGGGGGGGGGATTCAAACATCAAAGACAAATTTAAGCCTGATGTAGCTTCATTAATATAATATATATACTTTTAACTTCTTAGCTGAAGAGAATAGTGATATTATGCTAGAAGTTATACCTTTAGCTATGAATATCATATCATTTATGTTCTTTAGAATGACTGAGCACATATTGCAATTAGCCTATATAAAGGCTATAAAATACATAGTATATGGTAATATGGTTTTTTTTTTAAATTTAATTAAAGAAACATGATCAAAAAAGAAAATAATTAAGTGTGAATCATATCACAACTCACTTATCAAATATCACAGCAATGTCTCTATAAATGTGTATCTCATAATGTTTTGTAGTTACCCATATTATTATGAAATTAAAAATAGTTTACCTTTTGTCTTTCTAATCTTTTCTGTTTAGCTACAAGTGCTTGTTTATTCTCTAGTGAAAATTCTACTATTAGTCTCTGAAAAATAAAATAACTCAAATACTAAGTTAATTATGAATTGAAAGAAACATTCATTTTTGGTATACCTCTCCAACCCCCCCCCCCCCCCCCCCCCACACCCCCCAACAAAAAAAAAATATGAAAAGTTGTCCATTGTATAGGCTGGCTACCCATTATCTACTTGTTTTTAAACACCTAATTTAAGTGCAAATGTATATTTTTTGCAATGAAAATTCTACACTTATCTGGGAAATAGAGAGAGAGAAATAGGGTTTAACGTCCACTGACCACCCGACACAAACTAGGTATATATGGTTCAATATTTTTTCAATAATTCACTTGCAGATAAGGTTCATTAGCAATGGGAGGAAACTGGAGGACCCACAGAAAACCCATTAGGTTAGACAGGTGACCCTTGACTCAATGACGGCCCTAATGATTTAAAGTGTATGCATTAGACCATTATGCACCCAATCCCTCATCTTGGAAAGAAGGATGTCACAAGGCAAGGTATTTAACTTTAATTGTTGTTCATTATACAACATTAGAAATTTGAAAAAAACATATCATTTACCTTTTTATCTCCGAGTAATTCAGGATTATTATTTGTTTCTCTTAAAGCTTTTAAAGCATGTTCATGTTTTGTGAACTCTATGAAAGCATAACCACGCGATTTTGCCACTCCCTGAGCATTGACACGATTTAAATCTCTCATTACACGACACTATAAAACAAAATTGTAAAATAATCAATTATTATACCAAGCAATAATAAAAATTTAATTTAATATCATATTATAGTCAAAATTCAAGAAATCCAACACTGTCCCGCTAAGAACAATTACTGTACTTCAATGTCAGGTATCTCAATGTAGCATCTATAACAGACAATAACATTCAGTATCTTCTACTACAAATGTTGGTATTGAAAGATCAACATATTATACATGTTGGTGTATTTAAAAAAAGAACAATAATCAGCAGAAACTGGTCGACTACATCTTATGTCCAATTGCTGTCAACCAGGGCTGGGGTAATGGTAATGGGTTATATGGTAATGGAATGTAATTATTACATTTTTTAAGTAATGGTCATGTAATGAGTAATGGAAGATTTCAAAAGTAATGAGTAAAGGAAAGGTAATTATTTACATTCTAAAAACCAGGTAATAGTCAAATACATTTCTATCACTGTTCAATTACATTTTATGGCACATATCAAAATTTTGAACTACGACAAGCCTCAAATTTTAGCATAAAAGTCAATTAAGTATATCTTACACAAATACAATATATTCAAATTTTAAAAAATTTTTTTAATCAGTTTCTAACTCGAATTCCTGTAACTTGGTACAAGTTTACAGAAAGCTGATTGGCCGTTTGTCCTCGATTTCGCAGGACCTGTGTACGAATGTATCGATCCTGGGCTTGCGTAGTGGCTCTAGGACGACCTGAACGAGGTCTATCATCAGCATTGTGTGTTGATCACAGACTGTGACACATTAAGCATGTTGGCTACTGCTCGCTGTGTAAAACCCATTTGAAGCATGCCAATAGCACATAGACATTCATCATGTTGAAGACGTCTCATTGTAAATTAAACGCAACACTCTAAAGCAAAGATACGCTAAACAGTAAATCTTATGCAAGAACCGATAGGAAAGCAAACATGGATAGGATTAACCAGCACGCGGCAGTTTTCATCAACCCTTCTTTGAAGTGTCAAATTTGACAATGAACCCCTCCCACGTGTATGGCACTATTGCATGTCGCACATACAGCTCAGTGGTACTGTTGGGGCGATAAGTTCTTCATCTGTGACCATACTCTCAACGCATGTCAAGTGTCTATGACTATTTATCATATCACAACCTGCATAGGTATTTGCATTTCAATATCCCCTACATTTTTTGAAGAGTATATATATATATATGTAAATATATTTTGTTTTAGTCATGCTAAATAATTTTCCCAGTTGTATAGACAAACTATTTGGATGGCTTATAAATTCTATCTAATAAAGAGTTAAAGTTATCAAGTTATGCTGGAGTTGCACACCTTTCAGAAAAATTTCCTATTTATAAAATAAGGTTAATTGTTTACTATTAATGTGATATCGAGAGTGTCCTCTCCCCAAGTGCATATGCTTTACAACTAAAAGAGAGAAAACAGACAGGATTCCAGATATAAATATTGGTAATTGGTAATGAAGGAAGCCAGTTTATAGAATTTTTAAATGCCTGGAACAAGATAACAGATGACTGGACAACACCACTAGATAAACACCATCGAGGACACATACCTTCTATGAAAATATTGACACACAAGAAAATTCAACATTTAAGGGCAAAAGAAGACATACCTCAGTAATTTTTGAGGATTTATCATTTACGACCTTGGTGAATAATTTCCGTAGTTTCTGATCATCTAAAGTTGTAGGTAAATTATGTACACAAAGACGGGTCGCTGATACAAAAACTGATGGGTTCTTTAACTTCTGACGTTTAACTGCTTCTATCTGTAAAAAATATGCCAAAAAGTCAAATTTATTACTGCCATATAATAACAGTGTGAACCTTTAATGGGGACTACTAAAACATGTCAAGGAATGTGACTGTATAAAGATGCAAAAATGAAATGAAATAGGATTTAACCGATTGGGCTAATGAAGAAAGACATATGCCATACAGTGTCCTATGAGGTTCCTTTACAGTTGAAATTTGAAATAAGAGTAAACCAACAGTAATTCCTACAGTTGCTAAGTGAGAGGGACACAAAAAAAGAGCTTTGCATCATGGTTTTGAGTTTTTGCACCCCCTTGAGTTTTTGTGTTGTCTCGCAGATGACAAAAATTATGCTGTTTCGATGTGGTTTTCAATATTATAATCATAATCATAATGCTCAACCAGTGTCAAACATATTCCGTGGGTCAGATATATATGCTACACATCGACTCGTATGTTCTACACAGTCCAATATTACCCGGTGGCACTGAGAGGGACTCACTGTAACCCAGGTATTGTTTAATCTTGTGTATCTAGCACTAATTTCTTTCACAGTCATTTAATATCCAATCTTTGTTTAAAAATTCATAAAAACTGTTTAAAATCACCATAAATCATTTAATTTGTACATGTGTCCATGAGTAATGGAGTACTCACACAACGATTCTTCGTTGCAAGCACTGTGATTATCATATATTTATATCGACCCCTGTTTTCCCAGTACCATAAAATCATGTAGATAATTTACTTCTGTGTTTCTCTGTGTACCATAATGGAAGGAAACAATTATTAAACCCTATTCAAACAATAATAAATAGAATCTGATATTCATATTTTCTACTTACTCGAAGTCTTTTGTTTATATCTGTTTTTTCTAATGTTTTAGCTGCCTCTGTACCCGGTCGGATATCTGAAAATGACAAATAATAAATATTACAAATGTAGATATCATTAAACAAAATGAAATGAAATCTCTTAATTTTCTGTTCCAACTGGGCTAATAAAGACAGATAATTGTCATCCTCATCCAATTGCAACTGTCAAGAGTGTTTCCTATCATCTAACTGACTAGACACTGTGGCTCCATATCATTAAGCAATAGTCCAGACTATGTTTATTAAACAAGAAGTGACACAAACATTTTTAAGAAGTTTATGTTTGAGCTTTCAGTATAAAATATCAAAAAATTGACAAAATAATTCTACCTTCTTGAATAATTGCATAATGCCATAAATTACAATGTGATATAAAAAATAAAATGCTCACATCCTTCTCTGATTAAATACAGATTTCTTTTATCTTTCTTTTCTTTTTTATCCTCCTTTTGCCGATATTCTTCTGCTCTTTTCCGATCCACAGCTAAAGTTATTAATAATTTTCTTCCATCAACAAGTATACCTTTATCCTATAATAATATAAATATAATAAACATTACACTGGATTACAATTGTCAGAATCCTTTTTATGTTTCAGTTCTTTGCAAAACCATTTATTTAAGCTAAACACGTACAATAACGCTTGATTTTTAATGAACATGAACACAGCTATGAACAGTATTTGATCTTTTGAATAATAAAAATTTTCTACTGCTCCATTCTGAATTATTCATATCCAGAAGTACAGAAGTAGCGCGTATATCTTTGGATATCTCATATCAATTATTTAACATTAAATTAAGAAAACAAAACTTACTATATTGTTATTTCTATTTGACAAGATCAAGTCTACTTACTTCTGGTTCTTTGGATGCTTCTTGTATACAATTCTTAGCCATTTCTGATGAAACAAACTGTGCAAATGCTGTACCTAATAACAAAATAGAACCAAACAATTTTTATTAAAGCAATTACTAATAACCAGAAGACGTGGTCATCAACATCCTGTGCAAGTGAGTACCAAAAACTATGTCAAATTTGTTTCCAAGGAAATACAAACAAATATTAAATCAGAGAAATTTCTAATTAGCAAAAGTACATCTAATATAATAGGATGATGTGTGTAAAAAGTTTCATAAAGATATCTTGAGCAGTTTATGAGATGTGCTCCAAAAACAAAACTAGAGACAGATAATAAGACAGTATAAAAAGGTATAATTTATATATTACTAGATGTTTATTTGAAGAGCTGTTAGAGCTCTCAAGGTATAAAAGATAAGGCATTCAGACCTCTCAGCTTGTCTGCGATAGGTGGAAGCAAACATTAAGCCCCTTTGAGAGAAGGAGACCCTCTCAGCTGTAAATGGCTGGAGTTCAAGAATTTCTTAAGCTACAAAATGAACAGCAGTTTTTCTTAATTGGGTTAATGTAACACCGTAAAAGAGAAATACTGATTCTATTTTAAATGGTATATTGTATCCTCGTTCCTGACTGAATAGAGCTTTTTGCAGAATCAAATCAGTCATACATTTATGATAATGAAATCTTCAAAGAGAGGCAACAATCTAAAACATATCAATTATCATAAAGTCAATATATTATGTACCTTTTGAATGTGATGAAACTGGATCTTTAACAAGTTTACAATATTTGAGATCACCATATTGGCTGAGAACTTCAGTTAATTTAGCCTCTGTTGTATCAAAAGATACATTTCTGAAACATAACAAATTATTTCTTTCTCGCATTCAATAAAAAGACGGTTAGATTAAGGATTGGAAAAAATAAATAAGTGTTGTTACATGACTATCAATTGTTTTATCTATAAATAAGCTAATAACCTTGGGAAGTGAAATTCTATACATGGAATAAATAAAACACAATAGATGAAATAGATTTTCAATTTGCTGATCTTTGTTTTTATTTCATACAGTTTTGATGATTCTGATCAAGATTATTACTAGACTGTAATCCATTTGTCATAGCAATCTGAGTACCTCATAAATATTGTTTTTCCTTGTTCAACATCAGATTGTCGTTCTTTCTTGGATTTACTTTTATCATCCTTCTCTTCATCAGTATCATCATCACTTTTTTCTTTATCATTATCATCAAATCCTTCATCATCACTATCTTCTTTAAATTAAATAATACATTAAAAAAAATTTGTGTATGCCAAGAATCTTCTAGAATAATTCAGTTTATTTGTCATACTCAATTACCTTTTAACAATTTATATCTAAAGAAGAAAGCTTTTGTTAAATTTAACAAATAGGAATGTTTCACAGTCCGCCAGTTTCAAACTACATGACCAGACTGTAAACTTATTATAACAAACTTATCTGTTCAATTTAATCAATATAACGATATATATTTTGAAGAAATATAAAACTGTCCTGTATCTCATGCATTAAAAACTTTATTTACCTTCTTCATCATCACTCCCCTCTGACTCACTTTCATCTTCTTCATCATCATCCTCATTATCTGATTTGTCACTTTTTTCGTCAGACATAACAACATCATCATCACTTTCACCATTACCTTCATCATCGTCTTTTACATCATCACTATCATCATTCTTTTCATCTTCTGTGAAACAAAATCTACATAAACATCATAATGATAGGTTTAAGTCTCCAATCCCTATCATGCATTTTTCAGACAATATCTAATTTTTCATGGAAACAAAAGCAAAATATCCATGGATTTTACCCAACCAACACTTACGAATAGGGGGTGCTGGCTTGTATTTTTCATCATATCTTTGTAATTAATTGAAATGAACCTTTTCTTGGACTGATATTGTAGTTTTACAAGTGATTTAAAATTACTCAAATGAAGCGATTTTTTAATATACGTGTACCTTGGATTGGCTATCAAATCACATATACATGTATAATTATACTCATATTATTACTATCATTCATCGGGGCAAATTAATATTAAAGCAACCAACATTTCTACCTTTATTATTTTGTTGTTGCTGTCTGTGTAATGCTTGTTTATAATGATCAATAGACAATGCCCAATCTACAGCTACAGGCCTTCCTAAAACAAAATAATTTACATGTAGCTATATGTAATAATCATGCATTGTTAAAGCTCGACAGTGTCATATAAATTAATTGTCCTATTGTTCTGCTTCAACTGAGCTAATACTAATATACGCCATACAGTTTGCTATGAGTGAAATTTTGTCTGCACAGTGGCACTTTGCCCTACTCTTATATCGAATTCCAACTGACAAGGGTTCTCTTGCCAATGTGTAAACAGGACCTCAGTTATTCATCCCATCCGAATGACTATGCATTGTCCCTTATCAGGAGCCCCGCTGGAAAATCCAGGTGAACGTTCTTGTCCAACACCAGGATCAAACACCGGACCTTTAGCCTAGAGAGCCAATGTCTTACTGACAGAGCCTCCTGCATAACAAATGATCTGCATGACTATATGTAGTCTCACTGAACCATACTGACCATTGTTTCCTTAAACAATGAGTATGATTCGTTCGTTCATTCCTGGAGTTTTACATCCTCTTCCAACAAGTACGATTCAACAAAACCAGCTTATATACTGTCTGTTAACATGTTTGCTCATTACAGTTTTAATAATGATACAATTGCTACGTAAATACTGTGCTAACAACCTGACATAGAGCACAATACAACAGTGATGGTTCTTTACTGACCATGAAAAAAACCTTAACACCGTACAGTAGTCCACAATATAGTCCTTAATCTTTAACGAAAAATTTCTGAGATTGGGCAGACAGACATTAAGCCCCTGACTCTTTGGTCACAGAGATTTTCAGACACAGAGGTTACATAGATTGTATCTGGTTCTAAAAAGACCTAACTGGTTAAGAGTTGGTCAATGGTCGATGCTATATGTTCATTAGAGTTTCCTCATCTTATAGGAAGTTCAAAATTTAGGTTGTCCTTTTAAATTATACAATAAATATGAAAAACTTATTTCCAAAAATAACTAGATTCAATTCAGGTTTGAAGAATAATTAGACATGTTTTTGTTAATGTAAAAAAGAAAAAAAAAATACTGAAAATAAAGGAATCCTTTAATTTCTATTTCATCTCATTTATAAGAAAGTTTAAGCTGAGATCTTTTCTGTCTTACCCAAGATATTTTGACCATTCATGGCTTTAACTGCTGCATCAGCTTCTACCAAATCATTTAACTGAACAAAAGCAAATCCTTTCATTTTACCATCTGAAGATATAGACAATAATACTTTATACATTTATACAATAATATAGATAATACTTTCATACCCAACAAAATTATTCTGATATTAATTTTCAACCGCTGTATAGTCTATGAGAATAATAATGCTTATCTCACCTTCTTTTGTGGGTATATTGACTTCTACAACTTTCCCAAATTTAGAAAATATCTTCTCTAGATTATCTGCTTTACACTGGAAATAAAATTATATAATCTAATTTTTTAAGGGAATGATGACTGTAATAATTACTGTCGAACAAATGGAATTATTAACATGTATGGCATAATCTGGTTGAAAAATCTCTATAAATATTTAATGTACCTTAAAAGATAAATTTCTGATGATTAAACGACATCTTTTAACATCTCGAGGTCGTTTCTGATGTTCTGATAGTTGAACTGCCCTTAATGTAATACCTGCAAGATAATGTGATTTACAAATATGAAACTAAATGTTAAAACTGTGTTTTCTTAAAGGTATATTGTCTTCTAAAATTTTGAGCTATTTCCACCAAAAACATTGTACAGTGATGAGTATATACATTATTATATGCATCAGAGTTAATTTTTGGTACATTCCAATGCTGTCTGTTAAGAACCTAACCATTTATTGCCGATATTTTGATTTATTCAGGCAAAGGGGAGGCTACTCTTGATTTTAAGTGTATCTCTATATAAATTTCTCATTTAAATTCTGTATGTAAACAATTCTCTTACACTTTTTAAAAAAGTCAATATTCCAGTCTCTTTTTAGTATCTTCCAATGTTTGAACACAAGCCTATCGCAATATAAGTTTTTAACGAGATTACAATATCATCTGATCATAAAGAGGATTCACTTTTGGATTCGGTGTGTGCATCTATTTATAGAATTCAATTATGTAATACATGCAAAACAATCTTTACATAAGTAACAAATGGGCTTTTCATTATTCTTAGAAATGGTATGATCTAATCTTAATTAGATTTAATCATCTAATCTTAATTGGATTTAATCATCTAATCTTAATTAGATTTAATCATCTAATCTTAATTAGATTTAATCATCTAATCTAAATTAGATTTAATCAAACTGTCACCAAAATTGTACAACTTATGTGATTCAATTTTTAAGCCCACATTCTAAAGGACAATATGCAAATGTACATACAGTACTTTAAAACATTAGGTGATCCACAGAAGATTTTAAGGCTACATATTGTATATATTAATAAAGCCCAATTAATTATACTGTGAAATATTTATTGTATCATACCTTTAATTTTTTTATTATTTAATTTTCTCTCAGCTCTCTTTGTATCACGGATCGATTTAAATCGTAGATGTGCTTCACCACTATCTTGGACAGGATAAATTATCTTAGAAAAACTTTTAACTTCTCTGTAAGGAAATAAAGTATATTAAAGTAAGATGAAACCTCACTTATGGAATCATTTTTGTTGTTATATATACAGAGTCATAGCACATGACGGATTTAAATTAGACCATTGATGAAAACCAATCAGATGAGCAAACAATGTGTCCGCAATAGTCATTTGGCACAGTAGTATTACATATTGTAGCATAATAGTAACCTGTCAAAAGGAGGATGTTTAACTTACGTCACCAGTTCAGCAACTTGAGCTTGTGGTGCATCTTTAGGAATACCTGTGACAACTAATGTTATAGATCTTAGATATTTTTTCTCTTGATTAGATCTTTTTCTTTCTTCACTTTCTTTAGTTTTCTTATTATCAACACCTTCATCATCATCATCATCATCTAAAAAATAGAACATTTATAAAACAATAAACTTATCCAATCAAACATGATACATTATATTATCACAGAAGACTATGGAGATGCTCGAATTGACTAAATTGCACTCGAGTAATACAGAGGTTGCATGAGTAGGGTAGAATCATGACATAATATAACATAGCACAACAAATATGTTTCAGCTGTCAAGATCAATTAAGATATATTCTCATGCAATCGACACATGCTTTAATTTAAAGCCATAAATCCCTCTTTTCACTCGATTGTCAGTATTTTTGGAATCAAGAGACTTTGGTCGTGGGATGTTCAATCGAGTATCCCCTACATGTGATTTTCAAATGAAATTCCAATTATATGTACAGTTCAGTCAAATCAAATGACCCATATATTCATCTTCCACCCAATGCTGTTGGATTCTACATAAGGTTCATGTATGTAAAGGTCAGATGAACTATGGGTTGGACTACCAATAGTGACCTCAGCGAGTCATTTCAATCATTAAAATCTGTAAAATTACCATCATCAGAATCTAATGTTTCTTTCTTTCTTTTTCTCCCAGGCTTCTTCTCTGGTTTCTTCTTTTTATCAGCTGAATGAATAAGTAACTTCCTTCCATTTAAGAAGAGTTTACCATTTTGTGCTTTGATTGCATCTTCCCTAAAAACCAAATAGGCTTCATTAGAATTTACATCTAACTTGTTTTATGTACATCAGCATAATTTTATACACACGTTGTACTTTATAATTTAGGATCTTCAATTCAAAATATAATCAGTAGATTGCATATTACTAATGCCGATTTCAATCATGAACATAATCACTGTCACTATGGCCAGAAAGAGGTAGTATTCAGTAAATTAACCGATGAGTATTTCTAATAGCCTTACTATTTATTACACATATCGAGCCAATTGCAATCATCCAAATACAGTATCACACTTTGGGTTGCATTTTATAGAAACAGTGTGATAAATCATTTGGCCCAAGACTACCCTGGCTAGGTAATAAATTCTTAAAATCATCTACACAAGTTATCTTTCCTTATTGCACGAAAACAACTATATCATATATATATTATATATGTACTGTACGTAGCCAGTGTAACAATATATATTCAGGGGATTTCCAAACTCATGGATTTAATTTGCACCACCACTACCATTACACTATATACTTACAATAACGAGAATTTTACATATCCATAACCTTTACATTTCTCTTCACCTATATAATACAAAATGTTGATGTGATCTATGTTAGATATTATTACAAATTATGTACAAATTCAAATTCATTAAATTTATGTATTTATGTATAGAAATAGACACTGGAAATATGTCATGTGTAAAAGCTCCTATTAAAATAAATATGTCTGTGTTGGATATGTATTAAATATATGTGTATGTAAATTATGTATGTTGCCAGGCAACAAAACATACGCCCACACCAGTTAAGTCGTCCAGGCAGTCAACAATGGGTTGTCGTATATTTTCTCTTTTGTCAGAAATGAAAAACATTTACAAATGCAATAAACTAAAATCTGATTACAAGTAACAACCCATTAAGTAATTATCAGAAATCATTAGAAATTGTTTTGATTGTTTGTCATATGACCTTAAACAGTCAATCGCATATTAACTTTAGTATCTAGAATGTCCACAAGATTTTTCAAAGTGATCAAGGGCCATAACTCTCTGGCACTAATTATTGGAAATTGTGGAATAGACTTATTCATCTCATGACCATAAACACTGTGTATAAATTTGAAGTCAATCGGATATAAACTTAAGCCTTTACAGCCTACTCATATTTCGAATTCCAACTGTGTACACACAGGACCTTAGGTTTTCATCCTATCCCTGACAATGAGGGACCATGCTGGAAAATCCCAATGAACTTTCTCGGCCACGCTGGGATCAAAGATGGGACCTCCAGGTTGGCGAGCCAACGTCCTACTCACTGAGCCACATGTAAAAGTGTCAACGTAGGTTATATAGAGTGTATTACGTATAAAATAATGCCTATATGATATGTAAATTATGTATCAATGTTTTGAAATGTTGGTATTTATATCATTCTATGTTTATGTTAATAAATATCATTTGATACATAATATAATAAATGTTTTTTCTTTGGCCGTTATGATGAAAATATATGGCTATTATGATGAAAATGTTTTACCTTTGACCAAAATGTTTGGCCATTACCGTTACGACCAAATTCTTTGGTCGTTTTGGTTTAGGGCCATTTTGTCCATAACCCACCCATTCCACCCCACCCCCACCCTCTCACATGTGATAATCCACAATAATTTTATTTACTAATTTCAATCTCTGATGCGACATATATGATCAGTGAACAGGAGGAGTCGACAGATCACAAATCAATATGGATGGGTAAATCATCACATTCACAGGCTTTATCATTCAGTCTAGTATAACATCCATAATACCTTTCGTTCGGACGACAAAGCATCTCTGTATTGGTCCAATTTCATTAAAAACATGCTCTAGTTGGCTATCAGTCGCGTCAAACGGTAAGTTTCGAATAAATAGTGTTTTAGATGAGCCATGCTTATCCAAGGAGGTTGCCATTTTCCAAAGGGAGATAACTTTTCTGTAAGGTAAGGTTGTTCTAAACATTAAGACCAGATCAAATCAATAAGAAATTATAGATACATCGAAATCACATAATTTTTTGAAATTTTCTGGATTTTTTGGTAATACTTGTTTTTGGTAGTGTTTAAATTCATGAATATTTCAATGTATCGTTTGAAAAAAACTGACATAGAATCTTATCCATTTTGATTGGAGAATCCATGTCCTTGTTTTGTTTAAACTTGTAATTGTGAAGGGACGCAACTCAATTGATAATTACGTAATTTTTGTATATAAAAAAAAAACAATGCTGAATGTATTCCTACTGTAAATATCGAGTTAATAACTCATTGTAAAGCGAGAACAGGGTTAAAGGCAACGTCTGAGGCCCAGATAGTGTGTTTTTATTTCACAAGAAAGACAATAAAGTTAAGGTCAGTGCATTATTATGTAGTAGGACAGGGTTCGGATACTGGATGCAGCGGCAGATGAAACTTAAACAATAAACAAGATATAATTTGATACCTTTTTTTATTATAAATTAAACAACAATGGATTCTGGAAATGTGACGTGTGCCCTTAATGTCTCAAAATGATTGATTTGCCCGAAATGCTAAATAAATCATGAAATCTATACGCCAAAGTATATTTCTCAAACTACAGAATGAATTATCCCACTGTGGTGAATCGATTCATCGATCCTGTACAGCCCGTTAACCCACTATTAAAATCGAAATCACCGAATTCTTCCACACGAATCAAGTGAAAAGGCCGCAATGCCTATACCTTCAGTGTCTGACAGTAGAACGCAATGTCTAAACTACTAGAACACTATTAAAATCGAAATCACCGAATTCTTCCTCACGAATCAAGTGAAAAGGCCGCAATGCCTATATCTCCAGTGTCTGGCAGTAGAACGCAATGTCTAAACTACTAGAACACCATTAAAAACGAAATCACCGAATTCTTCCTCACGAATCAAGTGAAGAGGCCGCAATGCCTATATCTCCTGTGTCTGACAGTAGAACGCAATGTCTAAACTACTAGAACACCATTAAAAATGAAATCACCGAATTCTTCCTCACGATTCAAGTGAAAAAGCCGCAATGCCTATATCTCCAGTGTCTGGCAGTAGAAGGCAATGTCTAAACTACTAGAACACCATTAAAAACGAAATCACTGAATTCTTTCTCACGAATCAAGTGAAAAGGCCGCAATGCCTATATCTTCAGTGTCTGGCAGTAGAACGCAATGTCTAAACTACTAGAACACCATTAAAAACGAAATCACCGAATTCTTCACGAATCAAGTGACCAAATTCCAATATGGTTTAGTATGTGGATCAATTCAGCGATCCCCACAGCGAAGCGAGAAGTAGATACAAATTTACTATGTATCCCCAAATCAGAACTATTATCTAAGAGTAAGAAATGCGCTCAAACAATCTAGCCCAAATATAAAAGAAATGAAAATCAACACAATCTGGTTGATATGAGGCGATTATTGACTCTGACAACCGGTCTGTGTCTTACATATGATAAGGTTACCTTACCTTGGGATTTACTAACTGAAACTCCCCCGATGAATGATACGCGCCCAGTTTTATAGTCGAAGCATGCACGTGCGCGATAGTTGATTGGCTCGCCAACGCCAAGCAAGTTTGGGCGACTGGTTTGAAATTCTTTATACACATCGGGCGACACTACCACAATTATTATTAAAGAAAAAAATTGTAGGAAATTCACAACAGTACTGTCAATACTAGTAGCTATAGGCCTACAACGTTTAAAAACAAAAACAGCAGATCTAGATCAGAAAGCTATCTATAAATCTATACAGGTCAGAAGATATAAAATGCATAATGTAGCCTAAACATCATGTTCGACAACATGGACTTTGATACAATTACACCATAGTTTAGGATTACAATTTAAATGTCTGTTAGTGTTAGATTTAGGCCTAACCGAAACATTAGATTAGGACACTTCAGAGACCTAGAGTAGACTTAAGTGTTTGGTTTAATTTAATTTAAATATATATCACAACACAAATCTTGAAGAATGCCCTTCAGACGTTCATACACAATTACATCATAGTTCACATTTTAGGCTTACAAGCACAAACATATTATTATTAATAAAATGTCTCTGTTAGATTTAGGCTTAACCGAAAAATTAGGACACATCAGAGACCTAGGCCTAGCATTTGGTTTAATTTAATTTAAGTATATATCACAACACAAATCGGGAAAAATTCTCTTTACATGGTTTATTACTTTGGTATATGTATTAATGAATTAAAGTCTGCCACTTATTGTATGATCTCACTAGGCACATTCAGTCCATAAGCTTACTCTGAATTTCAGTTCTGGGGTGTGATATTGGTTATTCTTGTTCCTTGCTAAAATATGAAATAACACATAGTCTTAATTCAGTTCAAATACTGTAATTGACTACATAGACAAGAACAATCAATGGAGTAAATTGACTGTTCAAGAAAAAATGGATTACATACACTAAGGTTATAAATACCGGTAATAAAAGATTGACACCCTGTCAATAATGAGATGAGGGCAGATCCAATCGAATCATTGTTCATCATCTCTTAATTGTATTATTAAAAGATTGATCCCTTTACATGTGAATACCAGTAGTAGTCCTGTCTTCACAGGGGATGCCCTGTGCAATAACATTATATTATAAATATAACTCCACCCAATCTATTAAAGTGAAAACAATCTGTATTTTCAGTGAAAAGAACAAAGATTTTCTGTCCATTACAGCCTGATCTTTATTGCAAATTTATTTTTCAGATCAGAATAATTAAATAATGGGTGGTTGGAAGCTAGAGGTATTCAAGATGAGCATGTACATGTCCTTCCCTGTTGTCCTCTTCTACTATTTTAATCAACCAGCATTCTTTGAAAACTGGATGACGAGTAAAAAAAATGAATTATTTCCCCGCACCGATACAGAAACCAAAGATCAGTTAGATAAATTAAAACATTTTATGGAGGTCAAAAGAGAAGAAAAATGGAAGAAATAGAAATCTTAAAAATTGTGTTTTGTTAATATAAAAATATGGTATATCAGGTTGTTTTCTTTGAGAATGTGTGTAGAGAATTGATTTCATTTTAATTAAAAGAAAAAAAAAACACATAAAAATATTTGTTAGACTGTATATCATGTACATAAATCTATGATGTACAGGTATGATACCATTGTATCATATAAAGAACATGTTTGTGAGTCTTCACATCTTTCTAAGAGAAAGAGGGAGACTGTTGTGCAGTACAGTCTACATTGTGATAAAAGAAATTTAAATATACTTTATGTATTTAATTTGGCCTATTTAAAATAAATTGTAATTATCATTTTCCATGAATTAATTTCTAAAATGCACAGAATATTGATAATATGTATAATCATAATTAATTTTATGTGTATATATTTTCCATTGTTGGATAAGGTTTTTATCTTTATATTTTCAATCAACCCAGGGTCCAAATTAGATTTATAATTAGACCAGTTTGTTAATTACAAACAAAAAATTGAGCAGAAGGATCATGAGCTAATTAAACAGACATATAATAGGGAAATCACCAACAAAAATGGTATCCAGATAGTCAACCCCCTTCCAAATTTTTATCAGATAATTTTGAAATATTGGGCATCTTTGTGACTACAAAGATTAAAATCATATAAATATTCAAGAAAATTTAATCCAGGGACGGCTGAAAAATAGGAGCAGACAACCAATTACTTTCCCATATCACAGTACTAATGTAGTTCCTGTTGTTTTAGACCTGGTAGAATAAACTTAGAGCCCCCCCCCCCCTAAAAAAAAAGAGACACAAATTGAAGTGAACGGGGTGGGGGGAAGTTTGAGGTCTGCCCCAAATTAATATGCAGGGTTGTCTCCCTTGAATTGTATTATTAAATATTAAAAATATTTCTCACTGTATGTACTTAAACATAGGCTTAAACATACTGATTTATTTTAATAAAAAATAAAATAATAGATATCTTTTACAGTCTTTTTAAAGGTGTTGGAGTTCATGACTGTAACAGTCAGCCAAAATAAGTATAAGTGAGATCTGGACAGCTAATGGTAAAAAGCATGTCGGCTATCCAATTTGTGATGGGGGTGGAGATCCCTGGGTTGGTTCACAATATCCTGTTGTAATACTGTTAATTTAAAGGGATGGTCCAACAATTTATTCTTGTAAAAATATATATTTATTCAATATATAACATATTTATCTCATTTTTTAAAAAAATGATTTAATATTGACAAACTTAAACAATAAACATAATAACAAACGATTTCATTATATACTGACATATGAAATTTGTATAACCACATTCTAATTTACAAACTGTATAACTCATCTAATGGATTGTAATAGGCCTATATATGTACACTATAAGATGGAAACTAACTTAGCTTCCATACAGAGTATGGCAACCACTGATGAAATTTCGTACTTTTAAGATTCTGCATAAGTGGTAGCTAGGCAACCCATTTTAGCCTCTAATATTATTCAGATATTTTGTGAGTAGCTAGTACATGTAAATCTCTTTTCTTTGGGAACTTAATTTGGGCCTTAAATCTCATATTAATATAATATTATGAGTGTATATAAAGCTGATTTACATTCATTTTTTAAAACTGTAATTTCAATTTATAATCCCCGTTGTTCGTCGAAATACGGTTTGATATTGCACTTAACCAAAGACGTTTTACCTCAAGGGCCCTATTGCAAATGGCACTCGGAGGTATGGAGTACACGTCGTCGCCAACTGATTTTAAAATGGTACATCGTGTCTTAAATATTGGATACCAGCAGCCCATATTTTCACGGTAATATTGATTGTAATGGACGTATGTCAATTCTTGGACTTTGATAATTAGCTAATGTCTAGTTATTTGGGTTTTGATACGTCTAATTAATTACATTCATTTTCTCGTTAAAAGTTCTACTGCTTGTTTCAATTGACAAAACAGCACAAATAGTATGATAATTTAGCGACTAAAAACATAAAATTTAATCAAAACATAGAGATAAAAAGAGATAAGAACCAAGTTATAAAATCGATAATGGCTCTCATAATATATTGGAAGTAAAGTAGAAATACATATCACAGTTATGACTGAAATACAAAATAAAAAGGTTACTTGTGTATGTCTCTATTTTTTAATTCAAATGATACAGCAACAGCTTTGGACAATATGGATGTAAAAAACATAGAAGGGTGGGGGTATATGAGTTCAAGTTCTGCTTTCTTATAGCTTCGTGTTTTGGGCATTTCATTTATATGTATTCGAGATGTTTTCTCATTTAAATCCATTAACAAACAGTCACCCAACTCATATATTGCAATGGGTGAAAATAACAGCGTTTTTCGAAGATAGTTTAACGATGCTTCACCCACGTTTGTTTATTTTTGCTATAAATAGGTTTTAATAAATTCATATAGATTATTAACGAAAGAGATGTGGTTTAAAAAGAGCCCTACAATAATAAAAATAGCCATGAACTGATTCTTGAAAATACTGTTTATATAATTTAAACAATTGTTACAGTTTTATACTAAAGAACTCTTCTTGGTCATCATGTTCTGTTGGACCTTCTTGTCGACGAATTCTGCTCTCATGAGCAGACCTACTACAGGCCATATAGTCATTGATATGAGAAGATTTTACTGCAAAACTATCTGCCACACTAGCTTTACTTCCATGCAGAACCTTTTGAAATAAACAGAGACAATTAGAATATTGATTTAGGGATTACGAGGCAGAGTGGTCTAACGCTGCGATTAAGATAAAACCTTTTGTTTCTTCATTGATTGAAGTGGTAGTGATTGCAATTTCGAGTATGTACACACACAGTTTTCTTCGGGTGTCTCTGGCTACCTGCCCCTGTTAAAGATCTCTCCGTTCCATGGATTCACCCACAGCAACAAATTATTCCTCTGAATATTATAACTGTAAACATTATAAATCAACAATATATAACCTTAACATTACCTTAAGAGTTTCTGTGATATCTTTCATTTTTTCCTTTAGGGGTAAGTCTGAAAATATATTAAAACATACATTATGCAAAAACTACATCTGCAGATCTTTCTTTAGGCCTGAAATATTATCTAAATTATTAATTAAACATTAATTAAACATGCATTATGCAAAATCTGCTTATTACAAGTCTTTCTTTAGGCCTGAAATGTTATCTAAATTATCAATTAGACATTAATTAACTTATCCAGACCATAATAAACTCTCGATGTCAAGGCTATCCTTCGATGTTGGCTCTATTAGATTTCGATATGCCGCTTAACGGCCATTGATAATTAAATCAAAACAGTGGATAATCGAGACCATGGTGTTTATATTAATGATTTTAGTAATGATGACCGAGACTATGCGAAAATTTCACCCGCTTCGTTCTCGGTTCATAGTGGATCAATTTGACTGAAATTTTCAGCAAATTACCTTTACACTATCTAGTTTTTAACTATTATAGCGAGAATTGAAATCTCTTTATCTTATCTCCCATTATGTATCTTTAACTTATCCAGACCATAATCAACCCTCGATGTCATCGCTAGCCTACGATATTAATTTCTGGATTACAATCCGATGTATTCTCACACTCATTGATTATTAAATCAAAAAGTGGATAATCTAGACTATATTATTTATCGTACCGACTTCAGTAATGATGGACGAAGCTAGGCTTAAAATTCAATCACTAAATTCTCGGTTAAGACTGGATCAGTTTGACTGAAATTTTCAGCAAATTCCCTTTACTATTATAGCGAGAACTGCCAGCTCTTTATCTAATCTCCCATAATGTATCTTTAATTTGTCCAAACTACTTCATCATTTTATTTAATCACGGCTTATTTATAGTTGGGTTAAAATACGGCGAATAATCCACCCCAGTTATTTTTGTCCCCATTTCAACAGTAATCGACCGCCAAGTAATTATTTAAATCTGTCTCTTGGTATTTACTTGGTTTTTTTTATGAAACAACTTATACTTACCATTTTCAATGCCACTGTCAACACTTTGCCTTTGTGTTGATCCTACAAAAATAAAAATAGGCCTATTTAGTTTAAAGTGTTCAAGTGTTCTCAAGGATTATAATATTGTCAGGAATGGCACATTTTGATGTGTAGTGGGATATGCATTATCCATTCAAGTAATCTTACATGGTTTTTTTCTGGGTTCTCAGGTTTCCTGCGCTAAAGGAAGACTCTCTCTCTCTCTCTCTCTCTCTCTCTCTCTCTCGATAAATATACTTGGTCTAGACTCACTCCAATCGAGAGGAGATATTTACTTATATTATGACACATTACCTACAGTTATAAAAAAAATGTAATTATTAAAATATAACGTTATTAACCTTTGAGCGATTTCTCGATCTCATCCATATTGTGTTCAATTTCGTCAGTTATTTCCGATATAAGCTGAGGTGTAAGTGGCACGGTTCTTAGCTTAGTATTATTACTTGGTGGCATAAATTTTCTTGTTATTCTCTGACTTTCAACCTCCCCAATTAACTGACCCAAAATAGTGTTGATATCTCCAAGAAAGCCTCTTAATGCCATGCGTCTCTTTTCGTGTAGGGTCTGATGTTTTTTATTCGGTGCTAAAGAAAAGATATTTTTACGTATTAAATACAAATGTGTTTCAGAATGACAGAAAACCATCGGAAATAATCTAACTGCGAACACAGCCCGCTTGGATTTAAAATCTGAATTCATAACCTGTTTGAAAGAAGCCTTCATGGATTCAAAAACTAAATTCATTACCTATTCGAAAGAAGCCTTTGTGAATTACAGAAATAATTCATAACTTATTCGAAAGAAGACTTCACGTTTTCAAGAACTGAATTCTTCGTGGATTCAAGAAGTAAATTCATTATCTATTCGAAAGAAGCCTTCGTGGATTCACGAACTAAATTCAAAACCTATTCTAAAGAAGCCTTCATTATGAAACCAACGAACAGCGTGTCCTGTGTCTTGTAATTTATAAGCTGCATATGCTCACAGTTGCGAATAGCTATAGATAGACTTCTACAAAAACTAAACCGCACGCACGGCAATTTATTTTAGTCTTATGTTTTAATCATAAGTAATGACAAGTTTGTAAGCAACACAAAACGAAATAAGAAAACTTACCCGAACTTGTAGAAAATGTATAATCACCGTCTTTGGAATCTATATACAAAAAAAGGGGAAACGTTTTAAAAAAAATTATTTTAAAACAGTAACTTTACGGTCTGGTACACGTTATACTACTGTTAAACTCCGGGAATACTTGATCGTGAAAATATTATTCATAGCTACTAAAACTTTAATTTCTTACCACTTGGCCCAAGGTCATAAAAGTCTTTATACTTTTCAGGAATCTGCTTTACCTCTACGCGAATGCTGTTAATCAGAGGTTGTAAGACATTCATATCATAATTGTTTTCTGTAAAGTCGTCGTGGGGACCAAACCTCTTCGTATGTTCATTGTCGGTTCTCTCTTTTTGTAGTTCACACTTTAGTTTGCAAGTACCTTTGCAAATGCTGACAAGTCCATTTCGAACACTTTCGTCCAAAGACGTCATCTAAAATGTGGAAATACAGTTTTTAATTGCGGCTGACTGAAGTCATTTATGGTCTTCTTGGAGCGATCTGGGGCGTGGTGTTTGGGAGAGGGGCAGGGATTATGCTGTGGGAGTTGCGGTGGCTTAGTGTGTATGATGCTGGATATCTAATAGGATGGACCAAAAGGCAGAGAGACGGTGGGGGGGGGGGGGAAGTCCACTGGACACAAACCAGGTCATTTCGGGACTAACACATGGTTCAATTTTATTTCAATAATCCAATAATTGGAGGACCTGTAGAAAACCCACGATGTTGGACAGGCGATTCTACTCATTGTCACGTACAACCGAGGAATCGAAACCACGTCGGTTGACTCAATGACAGACCTTATGATACAACGCACATGCGTCGGGCTGTCGATTAGGGAAACTTCGTAAATTTTTGTCCTGTATGCGCTCCATGAAATTTTTCCGGGGATTCCAGTATTTTTCTAGTATGAATGGATATTTCTACTTTCCATATAATATACCAAAATTGCCATACTTTTATTGGAAATAACCACCCGATAAATACTTTTCTGGGAACGTAGCTTTAATGGGTAACCCTTGGGTAACCTAATCTGTGTGTAAAGTGACGTAATGTATACAATATTATTAGCACAGGTCGGGTGAATATTTATAAATCGTATACCCATAAGTGGATAGACTTTAAATGAAAAACGGGCTACTTGTACAATAGGGAGCACTATTTATATGAAATGTTCTCCAGATAATAAGTATACATAATGCTTCGTGCACAGCACTATCACTAATTTATATCTTAAGTATAACGATAATTTAGACTCGATTTAAGAACCCAAAGCTAAAAGATAACGGAAAACCAGTGAACCAATTCCAGTAGCGCATCCAGAGAAGGGTAGGAAGGGGTCCCACAAAAGTTGTGATGGAGCCCTTCCCCTCCAACAATACACCACTACCTATTTTCCTTTGTGTTAAACAGTATACCAATTCCCATTTATCCATAATTTGGCAAACATTCACTATGACAGGACATGGCATTTCACTAAATTTTCTCATGGAAGCATGACACTGACCCTATCCCCCCATCCCCCACCAGCATCCATATTTGATACCAGAGACGTCACTGATTGACAGTAATTTTGCCTACGTAGTAAGAGATGGGGTTACACGCCAAAAAACTTACACCTGCAGTGTTATTGTGGATATGGCTTGTTTGTTTCTTTTTTATATTGCAGAGTCATGTATCACATACGTCAATACTATAGAAATACAGACGTACAAGCGGCAATATACACTCGTAAATAAGGTCAATAACAATAACATAGCCTTTATACTTCCCCAATCCTTAAAGATTATTTAAACATGGTGAAGATTATTAAATAGATAAAATGAGATAAAATATTACGTTCATACAGTATGTTGCAGTTCTAAATTCACAACATAGCTTTTTATGATTATATATACATTTCCTTGAAGTGTTATGTATAGATAATATAAAGAAAGTTAAAACAAAAATTACAAGTTCGACAATCTATATATTAGGAAAAATTATCAGAACCATAAACTATATTGTAGGCCTAAACATCGAATCGCCATAAAAATTTATGCTGGAATTGATCAATAAAGATGAATGTGTTGTGTAGTGAGGGAGGGGGTCTTGCTAATAAGAGTACTTTTGTTTTTATGTAGGTAAAGTATTTTTTAACTTTGTATTCAGAGCTGTTGCCCCCTTATTAACTCACAGTAATATTGTCAAAACAAATGTAGATGTAGTTGTTTATATCTTTCGATACCACTTCGATTTTATAACAGAGCGCTATCGAACAGCATTTAGCTGGATTTTGGGCACCGTATAATTGAACCAATTATTAATTATTATACATTCTATATAAAGACTATATTGTGAAGCCTATATTACATAAGATAAACTATTTTCTAACACAAGTTCGACTCCATATAGAACAGCCCAGTGGTTTTCAGCGGAATTTTACCAAATTGCAATCATAACTGGTGATTCAGGTCATGAACGGCTGAGAAACATAAGTGCTTGAAAGTCTAATGACCCCAGTGGATCGTTCTCTGGGTCTAAGGTAGAGACTAAATGCTTTGGGAATGTTCCAAAGAATGTCCCTGTAAAGTTTCAGTCAACTCTATTCGCTAACGGCTGAAAAATAAAAGTAGAGACTAAATGCTTTGGGAATGTTCCAAAGAATGTCCCTGTAAAGTTTCAGTCAACTCTATTCGCTAACGGCTGAAAAATAAAACCTAAAATAAACTTGAACGACGTTGACGGCCCTTTAGGACCATGGAGTAAAATAGTGATTTTTATCATTTCTTACCTTCCGTGGGAACAAAACCAAGTCTATTAACGCGTCTTATTATTCTGTTACTGCAAAATCAACAAAGTTTAACCTTCTTTTCGATTTCCATGTATTTTATGTTCCGGGTTCATATGTATTTGGTGTCACATGTGTAATAGGGAATTCCTATAGTTAATAAAAGATCAGTCTATTCAGGTGATATACCTACTAATTGTATCAGATTCGTTGTAATCAGTGCTTTACTTACACTGTCTATTAAATGAGCAATTACTAAAATCAAACTCTTTGTGGGGATTATGCAATTTAGACCTACAACAATAATGCCCATTACTTAAAGATGCATTATGTAAGATTTAGATAAAGAGATGACAGTTCTAGATATAATAGTTAATAAATTAGATAACGAAAAGGGAATTCATTGAAAATTTCAGTCAAATTACTTCATTCTAGGCAGTCTCCATTTTCATTGCTACCGTTGTTACGATAATAAAGTCTCGATTATTCCTTTTTAAATTAATTCATTAAACGGTTGATTATGAGTTTGTCATTTAAATAAATCTCTCATTAATAATTTTTATAGCACTTTAAGCACAAACAACGATCTCAAATATTCAGATTTAGCTCTTAAATAATACATCGTTAATATATCGACAACAATAATGTCGTCGGTGACGTGGAAATAAGTGAAATAACATTATAATTTGCTAATATTATTGTTATTTGAGGGTAAATGAGAATGTATGGGGCAGACGATTGATTAGTGGGGTGATCCCCATGTGCATCCTGGATTAATTGTCGGTGTCTTTCTGCGATAAATTACATAGATGGCAGGTTTTCTCCCGACGGTTAGCTGACCAAATGTGTTGCCTAACCCTCGCCCACAAACCCAGTGCCGGACTGGTGGGCCGAAGACCAAGGCGTACACAAGTACGCCCCCAATGCGCGTCACGAGAGCGCCGAAGAGGCGCGAGTGTTCGAGGTTGATCTGGAAAATTTTGAAAATCGACAACCGCAAACCCATTTTCCAAGCATTTCAGACCAAAGCAGAAGAAGGCAATTTTTGATTTCCTGATACAATTAGATAACAGAATGACCCAAGATCACTATCATTAGATGAATTTGAGAATTCTCTTGAGTGTCAAAAACAAAAACCTTTTATTCTCCGTGATGAAAATAATGCAAATTATAATATACGCACAGTACACGTATTTGACAGTTCGGTTGACGCACATCACAGAAATAGCGAGAATCCTTCTTTCTTTTCTTTCCTCCCCCTCTCCTTTCTTTCCTTTTTCTTTTTTCCTTTTTTCTTTCTCTTTTTTCTTTTTTCTATTTTCTTTATAGGCTTAGGCCCACTTATTTTTTAATGAGCTTGACAGGTGGACAGGTTAGCCCAGTCCGGCACTGCACAAACCACCTGAGTTGATAAATCTTTTCCCAGGTTTACGCTTTTATACCGAATGAAACCTTTAACTGGAGACAAAAGATTGCCACGTTACGTCTTGATAAATTCTGTTCCATTGAATAATGTGAACAAAATATTATGGACTGGTGGGCTCAAATTATATTAAATTACAGGTTGCACTCGGTTCCATATAGATACAAGACCAATATGTTGTAAATCTGGAAACATACTTGCCATATGCAGGTGTATAAAAACGTGAAACGAAAAGGGGTTTAATATCCTTCTGTTCTATGCCAACTGGACATACGCCCGTCAGTGTTCTAGTCGTCCAGAAAACCGAAACCCCGTTTGCACTTTGGCATGCGTGTAAGGAACCCTAGGCAGTTACAATTCGAAATCAGAGTATGCCTTAGAGCTGCTGTCCGGGCAAAATTTCTTTCGTAGCACATGTACGTCTGCACTAACCCGGTTGGTGCAGAAAAGTGGGACATTAATGTCAGTTTTGTAGATTGACAAAATGTTTCCCATAAAATATTTTTTCCAATAAATGGTTATGTATTTATGATCGCGACTGTTGGAGTAATAGATGTTTTAGAATCTAAACGGTAAAACGATGATATTAGTTTTAGTACATTATCTGGAATGATATAACAAACGAAACTGGGAAACATCCCGATATTCGCTCATGTAACAATGAAGTATAGACGTGAAATTCTTCAAAAATAAACACAAATGACATACTAGATTTATCCTTTAAACTGTTTAATACAGGAAAATATTTACAATTTAAAACAGCATGCCCGACTATAGCAGATTGACTGCCTTATTTATGAATGTACAAAACGATATCTATGGTAAAATTGACTATATACATACTTAATATGGGGCGATTACAATAAGATAGTAAATAAAATCATTAATTATTAAGCCCTCCACCGTCTGTCATAGGTCACTACTGCGACTTCGTACGAAGTAACCAGTGCCTGAATTCGTGATGAAGTATTAACGATTTTAATTACTATCTTATATCTAATTGTATGAATAAATTAACGAATGAAATATTATAATACGACTCTTTATCTAATTCTTACATAATGCAACTTTAAATAAACATTTTCAATTACAGTAATGAAAATGGAATTTTACGCAGACAACGTAAATTTCGTATGAATGATATAAAGGATATTATCTGAATATATGTTATAATTACCCACATATTTACAATTTACTATAACATCTATTATCACATTTAATAAAATAACATTTTAAATAATTGCATTGCAAACTTGATGAAAAATAGATAATGGATTTCCGCAAATCAGAATAAGAAATAATGATAAGCATGTGTAAAATGTAATAAAATATTATGAGCATTTCATGTTTAGTATAAAATAGAATGTCAAGATGTGCCATAAGGCGTTGCAGGCACACCGATGATTATTTATCGGCATTGAGGTTGGCAATAAATTTTACGGGCCGATGAATTTTCTAACTGTTGCAAGACCCTTTCGTTAACCAGCATTGTAATCATGTAAATATTTACCATTTAGATCTTAGTTGTTTTAATTTAAATTAAAATAAATTTTTTTTTTGCTTTTAGTTAAACTAAAGAAAGAACATTGTAGGCGTTGAATCTGAAATTTTGTGATTATGTTATAAAGATAAAAAGCTTACTTAATGAATAAGATTGAAAAAAGCTAAAATCAGTTTATATATGATTGAATCCAAAAGCGAAGATCAGTTTATGTGATTTACCGATTCTGTAGACCAATTTAAATACACTGAAATACGATCTCCATTTAATAATCTAACTTAGGACTGGATACTAGAGAATTTGTTTAATATCGCTGCAATGATACTTGGCAACCAAGACTACGCTATTCTTCAAGAGTTCCTAAATTTGCTAAGAATGAAGCAATTTTCAATATATTCATTTTTATTATCCTTTTTTGAACTATTATAGTAAGAGCGATCAATTATATCCAAATCTTACAGGATGCATCTTTAATTAAGTGATTATAAACGCTAAGATCAGTTTAAGTGATTTACTGATTCTATAATCTAAGATCAGTGTTCTTCATTTTCTATGGGTCCGGATTGTCGCCGACTCTGACTGTATTGACCAGATCTATTACAGGCCTCAAAATCATTTATATGTAGCGACGCTTCTGTTGTACCATCTGCGATGTACTCATTACTAGCACATAAAGCCTGTACAAATAAACACAATAAAGACAATAATAAACGTAATCAGTCTTAATGGTATTTTACGATTGTAAACATTACAAAACTACCAGCGATTGCCATGCAAGATACGCCCACATTTTGCAAGAGAGAGACAGACAGAGAGACAGAGAGAAATGGGGTTTAACGTCCACTCGACTCAAACTAGGTCATTTCGGGACTAACACATCATGTTCATTTCAATAATTCGCTTGTGCGTCTAGTAGGGGTCTTTAGCAGTGGGAGGAAAGCGAAAGGAACGGAGATCTTTGGGATATGAACATATATTTTAAGTTTCACCGAAATCGGTTAAAAAGTGTGATGTCAGCCTTCATTATGGTGTAACGGTGATATATTTAAATGGTTTTTAAAATCGGATAATACTGTGACCTCTAGAGGGTCCACAAGCTAAAAATGTGATTTTTCATACTATCAGGGGCCATAATCTAAAAAGTTATGGTCTGATATGCGCGAATATCGAAAGGTATATTGGGATATAAACATATATTTAATGTTTCATCAAAATCGGATAAAAATTGTGAACTCTATGGTCCACAACTTTTGTATTACATACTTTTACACTATTTACGTTCAAGTAGCGGCCATTTTGTCGGGCAGTTTCGGTTTGATTTTTACGACATTCGAACTCAACCATCATCAGGGTGTAAGGATATATTAAACGATTTTAAAATTCTGACCTATGGGGTAGGTGGTTCCACCAAATAGAACCAATTAATTGTTGAAATTGACCATAAGTTTCATTTTCAAAATTTAATTATGTTTTCCAAGTGGAATCTTTTTGCTAACCTAAACATCAGATTAAGAGGTTCAGGTTAATTATTTTACTGTCACAACATCAACACTAAAATATTGTTCTGACCTCACCCAAAGGCATTGCTATTTTACTGTTCCTGACAGACAAACGGTTATATAATGTGTTATGGGGAATTCCAAAAGTTAAACTATTTCAGTAAAATCAAGGCACCCTGTTTGGATCTGATTTTCAATATGATTTTCGGTAGTGTGTATTTCTCATCACATTTTAAAATATGGAGTATGTACATTTGACGGAGGCGTTTAAAATGCATCGTGAATTATAAATAAAACATAGTTGATTGTATACCTGTAAACATTCGGTTGTATGTTGTATAGTCGCTTCAAATAAACCTGAAAAATAAAATTAAAATCGTCACAAATAACAGAATTTTAAAACAGTTTTAATTCTGCTATGAATTTTACACCTTTTTTATTTATTTTTTTTTGTGTGTGTGTTTTTATTTGGGGGGCGGGGGGTGTTTTTTTTTTGTTTATGTTTTTCTCTTGGTTAAGCAAACAGATTGGGCTTAGCAGAGAACGAACCTTTATTAAAGGCTCAATACCACTCTTGTTGTAACAGAATAATATGTCCCAATCTTCATTCTGGTCAACAAATTGTACTATTTTACAATATTCCAATTAATTGATGATACAAATTTCATCTTAACACATCAAATTTAAAAAACTGGAAAAATTCAACTAAATGATTTGAAAAGCCTAACGTAAACCTTTTCAAATGTGACTTGGATTTAAAAATATTTTCGAACCCTCTGGACATGTAAAATAAGATGTAATGGATAATTTACACAACAGGTAGGATACTTAAACTATACTTAGAATAAGGCTAATATATATCTACTGGAGCTGTCAAGCCAGCAAGAGTGTTATTGTCCCTTTAAAAATAGAAATATAACAAAATACGTTCTTACACTTATCGTCGCTACTGGCCAATCCACTGTCCACGTCACTTCTTGGTTTTTGTTCTAAGAGAAAACATAAAGGATATTTCTTATTAAAAGCTCTGATAATCATAGATAGTAACTTTCATATTTAAAGGATCTAAACCTCTAATTTCCAAAATTTAAAACATGAATTAGAATTCGTTTTTGGTTTATTTCAATCAATATTGATGTTTTTATCTCACCTTATAAATATGAAATCCTAATATCCAATATTTAAGACACAAATGATATTTTAAATTCAGTACTTGACGTCATGTACTTTATCCTTCCGGGCACAATTTGTAAAGGATAAAGAAAATATATCCACCAAGTTATCACTGTTTGAAGTTCTATATTGTTTTATTATCGTAGCAACGTTACTTGTTAATCGAGTCTCAGTCTCGCTTCTCCATTTTTAAATTAAATCATTAAATGGCGATTGTATTTCACCTTTTCCATCTGCGTCTTTCGATGGTCCAGAGATATGATTATAAGCTTGTCATGTGAATCAATTTCTAAATAATAATTTATATAACATTTGACGCCAAAATAAAAACCTTCAGATTTAGAAGCGTGTATTTAAAGTTACAATTTCATATTTTCTAAGAAAGTCAAAACATAATTATTTCTATGTCTTTTGCTCAATAGGTTGTCAACTCACTATTATACGATCATAGGTTATCTTCTCACTCTTAAAAATCTTCACACCGGAAATAATAACACAATTACCTCCCAATTACCTCCCTTTTTTTCCTATTTCCCACCGTGGAATAGCTATCTTCAAACGTTTGAATTTGAAGTTGAAAATGATATTTTGCCAATTTCTCAACTGGCAATAGTGAATTATGGGATTAATAGGATTATTCTTTAACAAAGTAGGACTGTTTATAGATACCATCTATTTTAGGGCTTTATTTTAATACATTTTAAAAATATAACTTAAAAATATGAAATTGTAATTCTAAGTATGAATAAATGTTGAAAGTATTAAAATAAACGGTATTATCTCTTAACGACAAATAATAAATTTACATCAAAACAAAATAACTAAATTTGCAAACCTTTAACCTCTCTAACTTGAGCACCCCAAAGTAGCCTGAATGTATCACGGATCTTGTCCAAATGTTCAGTCACGTCGGTAATGATATCACAGATTTTTTGTAATGGAGTGGTACCAGGACTCTGAACGGCGGTATTGTTTTGCCCATGTCTTCTAGCCATTCTCTGACCTTCAACTGCTCCAGACAACCAGCTTATAATCGTGTTGCTGTCTGCAAGTAAACCTCTTAGTGCCAAACGTGTCTTTTCGTGTAGACACTGATTTCTAACAGACGAAACTAAAATATAGATACATGTTATTTCAGTTTTATATTAGCAATAGAAAAATAGACGCCATTAGTTTTTTTGTTGGGCAGAGAATCCTTAAACAGTTTCTACCATGAGGTTACATCGTTATCCCCGAAACAATGGACACTGCCATCTCCTTTGGATTTAATTTATACATTTGTGCATTTAAATTCAAACGTAATTGTGTCTCCCGAGATTACCGGTAACAACATCGCACAACTTGAAAGCCTTGTAGGGCGAGACCACCAATCACTTTCGCCATGTAGTTTGCCTAAAAATAGAGGTGGATAGTTACATGTTTTTAATATCTAATTGGTCAACCTTATACAACCGAATTCGTTGTTATATCTGTAGTGACAAGATTTCAGCCCAACGAAAATTTGGGAAAACGTTGGAAAATAAATCAGTGGGGAAATTAATGGTGGCCTAGACAGACCACCATTAATTTCCCCATTGACTTCAATGTTAATTCTGTCCTCTTTGCCCACCTCCAACTTTTCCCCAAATTTTCGTTGGGCTGAATGTATTTCACTACAGACAGAGGAACAAATGGCCATGTCTTTGTACTAAAATTTGTATGAGGTTGACCACCAAAATTTTGAGATGCCCAAACTTGAAGAAGCAAACTAAAATTCTGTAACTAGTTGACGTGCATATCACCGTATCGATCGTGATAACCCCGTTATCCTTCCGCCTCAAAATCATGAATATTTACCTAAACCTGGCAGAAAATGTGAATTCAAACCCTCTTCGTTCATTCTCGACCAAAAAATCAACAAAAACGGGCGTGCAAAAGGGGAGAAAAGAGACAGGGAGAGAATTGGCATAAGATGACGGTGAAATTTAATGGTGGTCTGCATCCGTGTATCTAATAAGGAGTTACCTCCCTTCCAGTATTTCCCAAATTGGATTAATAATTTGCATGTGAAGGAATGTATGGATTATTTTATTTTTTTACTCTTTTACACAAAAGATCGTTTGGACATTTCAAACCGCACAGTTGAAAGGACGCCTTTCACAGTTTATGCTTACGTCATTTGAATTTAAAATTCTACACGTTTCACTTTAACTTAACGAGGTGCAGAACATATTTTGTTCCTTTCACACTCTTAAAATGAAACGAAATGAAGTGAGAAGTTATACCTGTATTCGGAATATGTGTGTAACTTTCATCTTTCAAACCTAAGTTTAAAAACAAAAACACGTTAATAGAAATATATTTTTCTTACATCGAAATTATATATAAAATAATAAGCCACACTTTTAGTATGATGAAACAGGTGAGTGTTAACAAAAAAACGGTTAAACATAGCAAACATAAAAAAATATTTCAATCATACAAATTGATTTAATTCTGCAAAAAAAAAACAACGTCAAAATGGTCGAGTAATAGTCAGTAGGCTTATAGCTTGCTTGAAAACATCAACTTCAAATACTGTATCAAATTTGCTTAACGGGTGTTAAAAGTTCTATAGTATACCAGATTAACCAGTATTATTTCTATGAATATGAAAGTAAATTATTTTGGACAAATTCTTACCACATACTCCATATTCATGTAACTCCTTGAAGTAGTTGAATATGCGTCCCATCGCCACCTTGATTTCGGAAACCAAATCTTCCAAACGGGTACAATCACACCAGTGTTCTGGCAACTCATCCGACGGATGGGGACCATATTTCTCCGTATCCTCGATGTTTTTTTTAGTTTTTAGAAGTTCACCCACCACTTTGCATGATTCAAAACCAATGTGCAAGAGAATGGTACAAATACTTTCATCCAAAGAACTCATTCTAAAATGACATATAAACAAAAATCAAGACATACATTCTTACGAATCCAGAAACCATTTACCGTATTGTTAGACGTTTAGTTAGGATCTAAGTCTCGGAATCTAAAACACGGCTTCTTATCTATTCTCACCTTTCATCGGGAACAAAAACTAAGTGGATTAATCCATATATTTCTTCTGTCAAAGCTATATCAACAACATAACATTGGGTAACCCAAATCGCCAAATATGTTTGTTCCGGGTTCATAATATACGTACTTATTTGAAATGACGGGGAATTCCCAATCTGATTAAAACACAAATCCTATTTCGTTTCGTTTCGTTTCGTTTCGTTTTTTATAGTTCAAAATTTCGATTTATTTGTCTGTACTATACTAGGATCTAGAAGAGTTGTTATATAGCCTGCGTTCTGGATGGCGTGATGGATTAGCCAATGAAACCATCTCTTACCGCGACTTCGTGGCGTGGATGCACGGAACTGTGGGTAAACCACTAGAAAGGCGAACGCTAATTGATTAATCAATGTCTGACGTCATGGGGTCGAAAAGCACTAGTACGACCCCTGACGCGACCTTCCAGTAAAACCAGTCAGATCTTCATGTAGTGCAGGCCATCGAAAGTATAAAAAAAACGAAACGAAATATAGATCTGTATTTTAATCAGATTGGGGAATTCCTAGATATATGTCCTTCAATAAGAATCTTTACACGGATTTTTGTTTTTATTATCGATAGAATAATTTACGGCGGTGGATGGGGGCACCGAAGATCTATTTTTTGTTGAATCTTATTTTTCAAGTTTTCCTAGTTAACCCAACATGATGCATTGCTTACATTAAGAAACAACACAGCAAATCACAGATAATAAACCATAATTTAAAGAACAGACATTCAAAGCCATGTGGGTGTAAACGGTATCAGCTACTCCAGAAAAAGTAAGCATTTAAGAAACAAGTTTTATATTAATAAACGCCACTGTGTATTTAATTTAGTTTTTTGTTGAATATTAATGTTTCAATTATGCGCTTACCTTGATGTCTGATTAGACTTTTGCTTGATCATTTTATCTACGAAGCGTAAGGAAAAATGATTTCGCAACTCCAATGCATTAATATTATAAATATAAATAGTTACTGGACAGGTGAAGGGGAATTACCTATCTGTATGTCATGTGACAATAATGTGCGTGAATAGTTGGTTCATGTTCAGCCAATCGGAATCAAGGAAATTTCATATTTGAAGGGTAAAGTTGTGTTAAAAAAAGGCGACGTCGCTTTTATCCCCCAAATCTAACACTGTGAAAGACGACGTGAGGGGGCGCGAAGCCTTTCATAAACGTTACGCGGAAGTAACTGAAACAGAAAAGCCGATTTCACTAATTTCAGCTTGTTTTTCCATTCAGTGACACAAAACTTGGAAATACCCATTCAAATTATTCCGTTATCAACTAAATCTACATTTGATAAGATTAAATATTATTTAAGCATAGACCCTATCAAGTTTAATATACAGTAGATTGTTGTTCATAGTTGAAGGCAATACTGGGCCTATTTTTAATTATCTAGGCCTCGATCCCATTAGTGATACCAAACGGATGAATATGCGATAAGGTCAATAACAGCTGCGGTGATTTTAAAGATTGTTACCCGATTTGAGGCTTTCTACAATTCCCTCCCACAATGTAATAAAACAAATGTGAATTTTTAAAGAAATCTCTTCTAAACTGTCGCTCCAGTCATCTATAAGTACTGCTGGGTGTTGTAAACGAGGCAATGTGTGCTTACTGGTTCGATACCCCCCGACACCACTAATTTGTTATTCAAGGAATTAACATAGAGTTCATTAGATCCTGTTCCGACTTCTGTTCTTAAGGACTGTCTAGACGAAGTTATTCCAGTTTTTACCAATATTATTAATTCTTGTATATCATCCGCTAGTATTCCCAACGTTACCCCTTTAATTAAAAAGTCTACACTAGATCCTAATGTTTTTAAAAATTACAGGCCAGTCTCTAACTTAAGTTTTATTTCTAAAATATTGGAGAAATGTATTGCTTCTCAGATAAAGGCCCATCTAGATGATAACTGTTTGTATGAACCATTTCAAAGTGCTTATAAACAATTTCACAGTACCGAAACAGCTTTAACCCGGGTTTCAAATGATATTTTAATGGAAATTGATAATAGAAAATGTACATTTTTAATTTTATTAGATTTATCTGCTGCTTTCGACACGGTGGACCCTTCCATTCTTCTACGTAGACTTCAATTTAAATTCGGTATTTGTGGCTCTGCATTAAATCTTTTAGAGAGCTATCTTGTGGGTAGAAAACAGTGTATTTTAGTTAATTGCAAATCGTCGTCTGAATCTGTTTTATCATCTGGGGTTCCCCAAGGTTCTGTTCTTGGTCCGATTTTATTTACCCTCTATACGTCACCATTAGGAGATATTGTCAGAAAATATGGTCTCAGCTTTCATTTGTATGCCGATGATACTCAATTATATATTTCATTTACACCTAATTGTCCATCTTCTCTCAATTTATCAAAATTCCAGATTCTGCTGGCCCTTTTTCCACTGGCGATCTAGCAAATAAGATAAAATCATCATTAAAACTAAACAGGCATGTACGGAATGTAATCTCTCGTCAATATAATATTGGGGTCATTTTGAGACTAACATGTTAATCTGCATATAAGATTATATTTCACGGCAAAAAAATGTGTGTATTCTCCTACTTGTCTTTATAGACTAAACCCACATGCATTAATAAAGGTATTAAAATATATCTGTTTACATTATCTTGAATATACTATATTTTATGTATTAGTGACGAGGTGTGTCAGGCGCCATATTGTTTTGTTTCGATGAAATGTCTGTGACCGAATCTCGGTCATAGCACAAGGTGTTACACCTGACGATGTCGAACCATTGATATTTTAGGTGGATGCACAGTGTAATAAAACAAATGTGAATTGTGATATATTTTCATCTTATTCTGCTCGTAATATTGGCGCTATCTTTGATTGTGCTATTTTAATATTAGAAATATAGGTAAAATACGTAAATGTGTAACTGTAGAGGCCACTAAGTCACTTGTTAATTCTCTGGTCACTTCTCGATTAGATAACTTTAATTCACTTTTAGTTGGTTTACCTTTAAAGCTTATAGATAAATTACAAAAAGTACAGAATACTGCGGCTAGACTTGTTACTTTAACTAAGAAATGTGACCACATAACTCCTGTTTTATATAATTTACACTGGTTACCTGTTAAATATCGAATTGATTTTAAGATTTTATTACTTACTTTTAAACGTTTAAATAATTTAGCTCCTGTTTACCTCTCAGATCTTTTAGAACTTTATACACCTGGCCGAACATTAGGTACATCAGATAAACTACTTTTAAAGCCCAAAACTGTTCAACTAGTCTCCTATGGTCAGCGCTCTTTTAGTTATCAAGCACCTGTTTTATTGAATAATCTACCATTTAGTTTAAGATGTTGTACATCTCTGTATTCTTTTAAAAAACAACTTAAAACACATTTATTTAATCAGGCTTTTAACTGACTCTGTATACAATCGTTAACATGCCCATAATCTTGTTGTTTTTGTGTGATTTACATTGTCACTTTGTAAAGTGCCCCTGAACATGTTATATGAAAGGGTGCACTATAAATATGCTGTAATAATAATAATAATAATAATAACATAGCTAACTCACTTTGGTCCTGCTATTGTAATTCTAGATTTTTTTTAAATATAATATCAAATATAATTCATTTTTGGACGCAAAATGTTTCATTATTTTGAGAAAACAAATAATTAATCAACTTTTTCCTAGTATCTCTTTTGCACGAGTCTTATTTATATGTTTCTAATATGATGTAATGAGTACAGCTTTATTTTTGTGACTTGTAGAAAGAGACTAAGCCGACACCTCGACGTTACGACAAAAGTAACACGATGTTACGACAGAATAAAGTGTCGTGTGATTGCGTCAATACCGTCGTGATGTCGTGTTATGAAAAGGGTGATATTTAATATGGTCACTATCAGCCACCATACAAATGTGTGTGGTATGTAATAATAAAACGCAGCAAGTATTATCCCAATTCACTAATAGTTTCTTGTGGTTATATTAGCCTGTGAGCGGATGGTTAAATCATCAATTATCTTAATGTTGTAATAATAAAAGTTTGACACAGATCGGCCAATAATACAACAAACACTCACGTGTAGAGATCACCCTGTCTTAGCTCACTGACAATAATTTATGTTAGTATTAAAATAGCAATCAAAAAAGGTTTATTGTTGAATGAAGTTATATTCTAAGCAAATAGAAACTTTTACGAACTAATAAATAAACAGACATGCACATAAGCTACCCTGAAATAGGCCGTCGTAAAAGGTTCATTGCGAACTATTAATAAAAATAGATACAAATTCCCACTCAATAAGAATAGATTTTAGGTCTAAATGAGAGGTTTATTCATCTTTATAACATTTCGGGTTAAAAGATCCTTTATCAAATGAGTGGGGATTTTTAAATATCTGTTAATATCTACTCTTTCCCTCCACCGGCATCATCTTTTGATTCAACAGATACACAGATCTACCGACCTGTTCAGCCTATGCTACTCTTTTAAGGGAGTGTGCTCCCCCCCCCCCCCGATTCCTATATATAAAAATATAATGCATTTAATCGACGCTACACATTCTGGTAAGATTAATATTTGGTTTTGTTGTAATCAGGAACAAGAGATAAGTGTCGACCATATTGTAGTTGTTTTACCAGTAATTGTTAATCACAAAGAGCAGCAACAGAAGCAGTTGATCTCTGGTCAAGTTCGATTTACACGTAGTTGTAGTTAGAAAACACAAATAAGTAACGTTCATATTCTGGTTTAGGTATTTTTTGTTTTGGTTGTTTTAAGAGATCACAGATGAGTGTCGTTACTATCCTGGTTTTCCGGTAATTTGATATTACAATCATTCCAGATTCTGCTGGCCCTTTTTCCACTGGCGATCTAGCAAATAAGATAAAATCATCATTAAAACTAAACAGGCATGTAAGGAATGTAATCTCTCGTCAATATAATATTGGGGTCATTTTGAGACTAACATGTTAATCTGCATATAAGATTATATTTCACGGCAAAAAAATGTGTGTATTCTCCTACTTGTCTTTATAGACTAAACCCACATGCATTAATAAAGGTATTAAAATATATCTGTTTACATTATCTTGAATATACTATATTTTATGTATTAGTGACGAGGTGTATCAGGCGCTATATTGTTTTGTTTCGATGAAATGTCTGTGACCGAATCTCGGTCATAGCACAAGGTGTTACACCTGACGATGTCAAACCATTGATATTTTAGGCGGGTGCACAGTTATCTCACTATGAATCCGCTGTAGCCCCATGGATTTAAACAGATTGTCGTAACAAGTTTACCTACTTGTTTTATTTGTTTATTTTTGCTGACTTTAAGAGAGAGAGAGTGAGAGAGAGAGAAGAGAGAGAGAGAGAGAGAGAGAGAGAGAGAGAGAGAGAAATGGGGTTTAACGCCCACTCGACACAAACTAGGTCATTTCGGGACTAACATATGGTTTAATTTTATTTCAATAATTCGCTTGCGCGTAGGGGTCTTTAGCAGTGGGAGGAAACCGGAGGACCCGGAGAAAACCCACGAGGCTGGACAGGCGACCCTACTTCTTGTCACGTACAACCGGGGATTCGAAACCACGCCAGTTGACTCAATGACAGGCCTTATGATACAGCACACACGTGCTAACCATTCGGCCATCCACCCCCCCCCCCCCCCCCGCTAACTTTAAAAGAGACTAATGTGTTGGTGGGAACCCGCATCTAAACCCCAGCTAAACATTTCGTTATTGTTCACCATGGAAACACCATCTCTACTTACCCTTAAGTGCCAGCTCTGCTCACTGATGCGATTCCCCAAAACCTGGAAATGTAATACCGTTCTTTAGAAACTCAAAACACTCGATATCAACATTTCCTAAAATGACCAGACCTCATTGATTTGAGTTTTAAAGAATTTTTTTTTAATAATTATTATTAGATTGTATTTGATGGTTTGTGCCTGGTTTGCAATCTGTCGTCATTGAAAATTTTACGTCTATTGATAAAGCCTGTGTTAAAATATAACCTATTCTGCGTGGACGAAGTAATTGAACTAAAGTAGTAATCTGTTCCTACCATTAACCGAAATAACACTTCGAATGACCCCAATTGAAAACATTTTTACCTATAAAATTACAGAGGTTTACCTCTTTTATGTTCTTATAATTTCTCTCAGATTAGCCAATGCGTTCTTGTGAATTCTTCTGGCATTATATAATTCTGATAATAATTTGAGCGTGGTGAGTACAGATTGGCTGTAAGTAGTTACAGGTTTAGTGGAAAAAGTAGGGGGTTGGGACCTATAGCTGACCGGTCACCTCTGGCTTGCGGTTGTGGTCTCGATCCCTGGTGTGATCGTATGTATAGCTTGGAGATAGGGGCGCCTTCTCAACCTTGCGTGTTTGCTTCGAGTACACCGGTTTTCTCCCACAGAAAAGACCCATGCGCGTGCGCTAAGATGATACAAATGAAAAATAAGACTTGTCTGCGATATCATCTTCGGTGGAAGCGGACGTTAAACACAAAAAACAACAACATGGACAAAGTATGCATCTTCTAGAACAGCTTCCACACCGTTTTGATAACTTCTACATAGGGCTATCATAAGTAGCAAATAACCTGTTGTCCTTACCTCTGTATTGTGGCCACCAAATGAATCACAGTTTGAACCTAGACCTGAAATTATATAATGGCGTTGCGTTTGGAAAAAAAAATATTCTTATAGATAAGACTGCTTTGAACAGAATATTAGAAATATGAAATATCTAATTTTATGAATTATAGCAAAATAAGAAATCATTCGCATTTATAAAAAAAAGTATGCTAGCACACTGTTCCATATTGATGATATGATAGCGCTGCTGATGAGTTTGGTATACAGTTATAGGGAAGAATTCTGATAGCATTGCCGGAGGCAAGACTTTAGTGGATTCTGTAACTGGCAAGTAAAGAACCTATTTCAACTTACCACTGTCATCACTTCTTGGACGTGCATCAATATTTAGAAATGTAGGATTTACAACGTCAAAGTTTTTAAAAACATCTTCTTGAACATCCTGCTTTAAATGACAATCAGGTTTGTAGGTTAATCTATGCAAGTTCTGTTATACAATACACTTTTGATAATTGTGTGAGTTGACGCTTATTTGGCATAGAAAAAAATATTAAAAGTGACTACATATATATTATTAGTGAAAGTGATAATACATAGAAAAGTGAAATGATATGAAATGGGGTTTAGCGTCCTACTTTTGCGTGCACGCCAATGTGTACACGGGGCTCGGTTTTCCGTACTATCCGAACGACTATACGTGGTCGTTTGTCATGTCTTCCGTTCTACACCACTGAACGCCCAATATAGAAAAAATAACATATTTACTGAATGAGGAGGAGACAATCTTCGTATCACCGGTTCACTTCTTTGCAACAACGGTACTGAAAGTAAGAATAACGTATAACTCCATTTTCACGTAACCACAAGACATCTTGTCAAAAGTCTCTATTTGAAAATACTTGTCACAATTAAAATAGAATATTAAAATAAATGTGATTGTAATAGATGTGTAAATAAGGGTATACAAATACTAAAACAACCACTCATTACCTAAACATTATTATTATAATATTAATAAAGAATCGGATCATCTTTCATTTCAGATTAACGTTTAATCAATAGCGCCTAAATAACAATGTAAATTATTAAGAAAATCGTCAACGAATGATTGGTATATGGCTACGACGTCTCTACTTACCAACATAAGTATCATCGAATGTCTGTTTATATGAAATGACAGAAAGTATAATAAATAAAATATTATCATAAAATATCTAATAAACAACACCCAAAGAGATAGCATAATATTTGATATTCTAAAGTTTTAAATTAAAATATCAACAAACACAAACTGTTCTGTTTTATTGTGAAAACTCCTGATAATATTAATAACACTCGAGTAGCAAAAAACTTTAAAACTTGAATTATTTTATGTGTCTAATCCACATAAAATCAATAGAATTTGTCGATATGTTTTTATGTACGTACTTTTGTATATTATTATGGGCTTAAATTCTTTATCTAACCTGTTGCTTTGACGTATTCGATGATACAGATCTAAATACTGGTGGTTTGGGTAGTGGTCGATTTATATACATATCCCCTGTTGATAATGATCGACCAACTGTAAACAGAACAAAATATATTGTAATATATGTGGTTGAACATGAACACTTAAAGATACATTCTCATCAAAGTATTTATAGGGTAGTCATTTCCAATAAAAGTATAGCAAATTTGATATATATAGAAAGTAGAGACGCCCAATCTCACTATACAAAAATACCGGATTCCATGAAAAACACCCATGGGGTAAGCACTAGGCAAAAATGTCAGGGTATCACTAACATGGCAACCCGACTGTTGTCTGACTGACCGTTTGACCTAGGGAGAGGTTGTAATTTCTTGATCGAATGGTTATGCGGTTTTGGGAACATTGGTGGGGGGGGGGGGTAAACGTACAGCAGACTCTACAATTAAACGGCGGAAAAAGAAGTTTGCAGAAGATAATCCAAGAATTTACTTATAGGCTTCAATATGTATGGTAAATGGACAGTAAGTAACAACAAATATATTCTGAAAATGGATCCTACCTCTATCAAGTTAGGTGACAAACTTAGCTTCTAAAAATAGATTTTTTATAACTTGTGGTATTTTGATAGATTAATTAGTTTGAATATGTTTTTAGTCCAAATAGATTACCCAGTTTGTACACGGGAGCCGATTTAAATATTTTTGGCCATTTTTGACTTTTTAACAATTCTTAGTAGGCATGTCTTTAAAGGTAGCGCCTTGGTAGGACAAATTATACAGATCTCTCCATGGCCTTAGTGAAATTGTTTATCATTAAAACACAACTAGTCAATAGTTACTTGCGTGGTACTTATTTAGCCACCCCCACCCCCCAACACACACACCCCCATATGGTTATACTTTAATATATATATATATATATATATATATTAATGATTTATACTTACTTTCTTTCGGGACGACCAAATTTATTCCCATTTCAACGTAAACTGGTTCAGGGGTGTCGACTGAAAGAGAGAGAGATAAATGGGGTTTAACGTCCACTAGACACAAACTAGGTCATTTCGGTACTAACATGGTTTAATTTTATTTCTATAATTCGCTTGCGCGAAGTATATTTAGCGGGCGGGGGGGAGGACCCAGAGAAAACCCACGAGGCTGGACAGACGACCCTACTCCCACGCCACTTGACTTAATGACAGACCTTCTGGTCCAACGCACACGTGTTAACCATTCGGTCACCCAACTCCTCTGGGTCGTCTGAAAGAAAATTGTTTCTTATTTTTTCAAATTTCGCTGAACAATAAGAATGGTCACCCAGTTGTTGTAGATGTGTGATATGGTCATGCTTTGTTGTATTTATTAATGTATTTACATTTGAAATTTCTTTCTATGCAATATCTTGTAAATTGTAAAATTTTACCTTTGTGACTAGGTTCAGTCTGAAAGAATAATAACATATCAAAATTAAACAAAAACAATAAAAGAACAAAGTTTCTTGAACTGAAAATAATAATTAAACTGGTCTCTAGTCTATGGATAATGTTATTGTTCTATCGATTTTTTTTAAAGACACGAAGCGGAACTAGTATGAAACTAAAATGAAACGAATTACCAATAACAAATAGAGAGTCTAAATTACATAATAATATACGTACATGTTGGTGTATTAAATGAGCTATTTTTTGATGACTATAATTAAGTGCTATTTGTGACGGTGTTAACCCATCTCTGTTTTTCAAATTAACCAACATATGTCCAATACAGGATTGTAATATGGCTTGACACAGTTTTATAAAACCATACTTGGCACCAAAATGTAGTAGAGATGGTAGTTCTTCATTACCTAAGTAAGTTACAGAAAAATTAATAGATCAATTTTAATTACTGTTCATGTAAATTTTAGTTGCTCGACTCTAGAATCGATCATCCAAACCACGATATGGACTTGGAGCCACGGTGGCTCAATGAGTAAATTTCTAGCTACGGTATAAGTTAAGAATGTTTCTTGGGATTTTCCAGACTGGTGCCCATTGCCAGTGGTGAAGATCGGAGAGAAAACCCAAGACGGTGTGTTCACGTTAGCGTGACTGTCGTTTGTCCTGTCCCTCTGTTCAGGGTTGGCAGCTACATTAGGGTCGTCCCGAATCTGGAATTTGTTGTAAAGCAATCTGATTAAAACACAGATCCTATTTCGTTTTTATAGTTCAAAATTTCGCTTTACTTGTCTTTACGATACTAGGATCTTGAAGACGTGTTCTGAATGATGTGAGCTATTAGCTAATGAAGCGGTCTGTTACGGCGAGCTTTAGGCGTGTTTTGCACGGAACTGTGGGTAATCCACTAGTAACATCAATGCTGATTGGTTAATCAAATGTCTGGCGTCATAAGGTCAAAAGCCGTTCGTATGACCTCTGACGCGACCTATCGCTATAACCGGCCAGATCTTCACGTAGTGTAGGCCATCGAAACTATAAAAAAAAAACGAAACGAAATATAGATCTGTATTTTAATCAGATTGGGTGTATAGGTGAGTAACATACACGAGGTGGTGTTGGCCTACCGCTTCCGGTTTCGGAGTTACGGGCACAACCCGGGGAGCGCTGGGTTATTCGCTAGTATATTATATTGTATCATGTCACATAATAAAATGTCTTACTTTGTTTGTCTACTTGTGTATTAAGGTAACCAGATACATTTTCTAATTGGTTATTTTGGTGAAATATGTCAACAAGGTCATCATCCAAATTTTCACTGTCCGTCGAATTTAAAGCTTGGGCCATAACTTCTATTGGGTTGCTAACATCGTGTAGAAGATTTGTTAATAATTTCATTTTAGAAATAAAGTGCAACGTATCCACTCCTAGCAACTCATCTGCACAATACACCTTTACTTCTATTTCAACATCATATAACTCTGTAAAAGGATTATTAAAATAAAAAGACTATCGACTGCACTAGGAGCCAAGTCTTTAACTCTATATCATCCACAGTCTTCGACATTGCAAACACGACTTATTAGTCAATTTAAATCAACATTGATGTTGTTATCCCAACGTGAACATTTTAACATTAGCACACGAATCGCGTGCCATAATGCTTTCGAGCGCCATTTGCATGAAGGAACTCGATGAACGAGGCTAAATATATCCCATGTAGGAGAATAATAACGGTGTAGCCTGGAATAATCAGACGCGAAAGACTGCCATTCAATTTGGACTCTTTGGGTATTTCGCCGAACATAACTGATTAGAAATGACAATAAAAACAGAAACGACTGAATGTAAATCAGTTTATATACATTCATATTAAATTATTATATACGTTGCGACCCATTTGTTTCCATTTAAAGGTGCCAAAGAATAGCGATTTAGCTCCTTTAAATAATGAAGTTGTGAATTTATTTTTATTAGTTGCGCATTATTAGTAGTAGTATGTCTGTTGGCTTTGTTTTAACTTTACGTGCACTAAAAGTTGAAATTTGTTCAACTGTTCAGTGATAGCATAGAATTTTAATTAAAATTAACATAAGCGTTTTCTTATCCCGCAGTTTTTACTTGACTGGGCCATTGCCTATGTTATATCTATAACTACCAAACAAACTTTGTATAATTTTCTATAATACTAGGAGAAAGAATTAAAAAATATTACCAGGTGGGCTAAAGGCAAACACAGTTTGTTGTATTCTAGTGGCTGTGACCCTTTCACCATTTTCGAATTCCACTATCAATGCTACCTCGTCCTTTAGTAGCTCCTGGTCTACGATGATGAATACTTTATTCTTAGGCTGTGGAAAAAAATTCAATGTTTGAATGGGTATACTTGAATCTGGGCGAATAATCATAGCAGATACAAGTGGATCAAAAGAATAACCTTTGATGTGAATTGTTCAATTGAGTGTCTAATGAGCTCATACAGTGGGGTATGTAGTCATTCAAGTAGGCAGCCGCCTCACCCCCCCCCCCCACACACACACACACACCCTCCATAACACGCAACACAACTTTCGACCGTTACAAAATGTTTTACGAAACACAACTCAATAATTCACTTAAACAACCAGAATAATGTTGTGTGATTTTTAATTAAAAAATGCTCTACACTTAGATTCTACGAGGTGAGGGAGGGGGGGGGGGGCGTCCCTCGCCTTAAATTGCATAAAAGTAATATAAATATTGTGCCACATCAAAATTATATATATGCAGATGCTCAGGGGCGCCGGACCGGCTACCAGTGTATACAAATGGTACCCTGCCCCCGGACTCTTTTGGTACCCTGGCACTCGCGCCGTTCCGGCGCCCCTGCACATGCTTATTTCAAAATAGAATGTATATACACTGAAAGATAATATTACGTATTAACTTACAAAAACATTTTTCTTAGGAGCAAACATGAATTTCTTCAAGACTGGTTTTAGTGTACAGTCATCGTCAAAGAAACACATCAACATTGCTAAACATAGTCTAAATGATTCTGAAGTTGTACCAACGTTTAATGCTTTTAGTTCATTGTCCTTAAATATATTTTCTATTGCTCGACACTCTTCTGTAGAAATATCTTTTGATAACATTGTTACGTCAACGGCTTGCTGAAATGATAATAATTAGTGTCACATATTTAGAATTCGAAAAGTAGACAGCCATGCCCCGGCGAAATTTGGTATTCTGGCATACGTTAAAAATACATTATGTAGCCTAAGACTTAGATAAAGAGTCATCGGTTATTGCAATAATACTTCAAAAGTCGATAATGGGAAATGAATATATTGAAAGTTTCAATGTAATCCCTCATGAAAAAAAATATACTATTACCGTAAACTACTAGAATACAAATTTTCAGAAGCTTCCTTAGCTGGCTTTTAGAGAAATATCACCGTAAACATGCTAAAACCATGGGGGGATCGGGTAAGGGTAGGCTCATCGCGCACGCAATAACTTATAAAATAGCTTTGGTGGCTCCAAGATCTTTATTTCACCAAATCAACAGATGGATAAGATATGAACAGGCCAATTTTCATTTACTTTCTATGTTGGCGTATCGAGTTATACCACCGAAAAGTTCCTAGGATCAGGATTCGAGGCGAGGTTCGTGGGTACAATAAACAAGGGGTACGCCCACGCTGCATCAAAAAGCACCCAAACCCGCTTTAGTGGCAAAATGTTTTTTTTTTTTTGTTTCACAGAATCAAGGGATGAATAAACTACTAGACTGCACAGTTTCAGAAGCCTCCTATGTTGGCTTTTCGAGATATATTACCGTAAACGTACTAAATATGTGGGGGGATCGGGTTAGGGTAGGCTCACTGCGCACGCAATGACTTCTAAACAAGTTTTGGTGGCTCCAAGATCTTTATTTCACCAAATCGACAGATGCATAAGGTATGACGATGCCAAATTTCATTAACTTTCTATGTTGGGGTATCGAGTTATACCACCGAAAAGTTCCCTGCACCGGATTCGAGGCGGGGTTCGTGGGTACAATAAACAAGGAGTACGCCCACGTTTCATCAAAAAGCACCCGAACCAGCTTTGGTGGCAACATGTTTTGTATTTCACAGAGTGAAGGGATGAATAAACTACTAGAATACAAAAATCCAGAAGCCTTCTATGCTGGCTTTTGGAGATATATTACCGTAAACGTACTAAATATGTGGGGAATCGAGTTAGGGTAGGCTCTATGACCGACATAAGTGATATGAGTTCTATATATTAAAATTCAATATTATATTCCCCATTTTGGTAAACATATCTTTGACACCATTAATGTATTTTAAATCTATTTTATTTACCTAATTATTTCTCCTGTGAGATACGTGTTGAATTAAACCAACACTGGCATGAGTGACATATTGTCCTTATAAAAACAGATAGAGTAAAACTCTTTACAATATAATGTCAACTGGGCCCTGGGCTATAGAACCTTATTAAACCAGCCACTGGCTATTATATTACGTCAGATATAATTTAGACGAATCATTGGAGTTTAAACAATGGAAAGATTAAGAATTGGTCATTGACCAATCTCTCTACACAACGAACTATTGTTTTAGATTTCAACTAAGAGGCTATATTTTATAGTTTAATTGTCAATGTGTTATGATTATCTGTTATATATTTTGTAGAACTGTATTTCAAAAACAGAGTGAGCTATGGTTTAGAACGGATCAGATCTCTCTCTTTCTTGTAAATATTTGTTGATTTATCTATGTTTAATAAATCACATAGAAGTTACTTGGACTCAGTCTTATTTTATAAGACCAGAAATAACGTGGTTACAGCTCACTGCGCACACAATAACTTCTAAAGTAGCTTTGGTGGCTCCAAGATCTTTATTTCAGCAAATTTTCTTTGGGGGGGGGGGGGTCTATTATATATTTTTATATACTTTGCATTAATATGTCTTAAAATGTTATTTTCTAATATAAAGGTAACAATTATTTTCGTGATAATTATATCTAGGTTTTTATTGGCGCTAGGAATATGTGTGCTAACTTCATTTCGAATCCGGGCGCTGGAATACAGGTGACAGATTCCGCTCGGTTACTATAAGATTCTTTAACCTTACCCCAAAAAAAAAAGGTTTTAGAGAGCTGTTAATTAAATAAGATATTCAATTTAATTTTTAACAAGAAATTGATTCACTTGAAATATCTGGGGGGGTTTTCCGATGAGAACAAATAAGAATAGTCTCGTTAAACCAGACTATTCAATCTGTTTCACAGAGAATTACGAGTAGTAATATCTCTGTCAAAGATGACTGCCTTAACATGTGCCGTCACAGCACGCGGGGTCAATCATTGGCTGAATGGCGCGTGCATTGTTTACATAAGACGTTACTGCTTCGGGCGGAATGCTGCCTTTTAGTCATTTTAATACCCATTTATACAACATAGGAAATAATTTTTACCTATAAATACGTCAAACGCCTTTATTTATTTTCTCAATACATAAAAAAAAATGTTTTAGAATTTAATTTGTCGCAGGAAAAAAGTTAATATTTCTGGCTCATTAAGTCGCATCGATGTCATCCTTAACAGTGATTGTAGCGGCCTAGCGAAAAATCACTGCTGATCAGTGTGCAGACTATTATCTTTCAGAATCCTCTAATCGTCGAACTGATTACATTATAGAGCCTGGACGTTGAAGACTAACAAAATCGAGTTCTGTCCCATTCTAATGACCTCGGACTTATGGCTTTATCGCGTAAATCATTAATTTCCGTCATAGGCCGGATTTTTTTCCGTATGCAAATGACGTACGTCGTAGATTCCATATAAGGTATATGTTCTACTATGCAAGGTTCTATTATGCATTTGTCTATTATGCAAAATGCAGAATGCAGAGGTGTAATGTGCAAAATAACTATTATACTGTATTTTGTATTATTGAAAAGTGTATTCTGTATTTTAACACCGTGACATTGGTATTGTTGAGCAATGGAAATTGTAAATTGTAAAACTAAAATACGTATTTTGAACTACTGACATTTGCAGTTTGCACCGTGAACAATGAAATAATATTGGCAACGTTATCCTTCCATAAGTATGTTTAGTCGAGTGTAGAGATGTAGGACGTTAAACCCCATTTCATTTGATTTCTGTTTAGTCAAGCTAAGCTGTACATACAGTGTGCGCGGTATTGTGGTAGACATAATATATCTAGATCAGTAAACAGGTCGGATCTGTTTGGAGTAGAGGCTATCGAAAGTATTAAAATTGAGATGTATATTTTAATCAGATTGCATACCAAAGGGAAGCGCTAAATAATACATTTTCCTGCCAGCAGTAAACGTTTAAAAATAACAAATATAGATACTTAAACATCAATTATGTTTGGTGTCTCGTGGGCGACAGGATCATAATACAAAATGCATCAAACACCATTATTATACAAAACCTGTATACATACATCAACGATATTTTTACTGACATTGGTATCAAGCAATCGTTTAAACTTTATCATTCCTGGTGTGGCTAAGATAGCTACAAGATATTGCGAGGTCAAATCAACTTTAGAGGTGCCGTCATCTAAAATACAAGAAAATATTCACGATGAATAATAATAGACCTGAAATCAGCTTTTAATGCTCGTGAATCAAAAAGGGAACGGGATCCTTGTGGTGTTATATACCGGTTTGCTTAACCAACGGGTTTCATGCACGGGGCGGGGTATATTTACTCTTTCTAGAACACCTGATACAATAACGTCAACTTGACAAGCCCCAGTTGTAAAGTCCATATATTATTTTCACTTATTTGCCATTTTGAATTGATTTGATCGACGGTATAGTATTTCCTTGAGCATTTATATACTAAATAAATAAAAATATTCATAAATTTATCTATTTACCTGTCAGATTGAGTCTGTGGACAACTATGTTAAACTTCTGAAATCTCTTAAATATACTCTCTGCAACGCCCATTCCATCATTAACATAGAGTAAATATAATTCATTTGGTACACTACAAGATAATCCTTTGGATGTTGCCATTGTTGTATGATTTTTTGTTTCTACCAAAACAAAATGGGGTTACGTAATTATTTTGTCATCCTAAAGGAATTAAACTACAATTAATCAGAATGACTCGATCAAAGAGAAGTCATTGTCGAAGAGAAACTTCTGAATGAATATTGGAAAAGTTGAACAAAGGAAAATCGCGAGAAATAATAATGTCCAGACCAATACATGATGATATTTTCAAGTATTTCAATAAATCCTAAACTACAGTGACGGGTAATAAATGAAAAGCAAATCAATTTATATACTCTTTAAAAGATTATCAGAATTTTTCCTCCTCATGTCTATTCAAATGTTTTACAGCCTCAATGTAGTAATTTATTGCCTAAAAAGAGAAATCATTAAATTTATCTATCTGCACTATAAGTAGGGACGATATACATCTATTCTAAATAAACCCCAAATTTTTGCACACATACATATTGACACCAAAACGAAACTATGCCAACAATCTGAGCGATGATTGGCTGTATATTAAAATCAAACTGGATCAGACAATCATCAGATACATTGATTGTATTTTATTCCCTTTGGTCGCCAGTATAATAATGTACATCAAACCTACCGGGAAAACGATGCGTTTCACTGTGACAACTTGCTGTTTAAATACAACAATAAATCAACTCAATGTTTTATCTTCCTCATTAAATATTGGTCAATTATTTTATCTATCTAAAAATATAAACTTTCAAATGTATGATAAGGCTCAATTATCACCATGTGCATGCATTGACCTTATAATAGATTATAAGGTCCATGGTACATGTAATTAAGATATTGCCAAGCGGAAAATCTTGTTATCTGCTTATGTAAGAGTCGCGTAATTAAAAAATAATTCTGCATTGGGGGGCTTACATACTCGACCATTTTTCACAACAAGTTATGCTAAAATTTATAAAATTTTCCTGCTTTTTCTGGGCTGGGCACTAAGATCCAATAGCGCAAATTATAGCCAATGAAAAGATTAAATACTTAAAATATCTAATTTAAAATGGTCGGAACTATTTGGTTAGAAAATAAAATTGTTAGTATCTTTTGATTCTATATTCTATATGTCGATATGTTTAGTGGAGTGATAATCTGTCTTAGATGGGAATTTATATTTAAAGCCAATGCTAAGATATATTAAATATCTTGTGTTTCTCTGTCGACACAGTTGGCCTGCAATGAAACTCGAATTTTTAACATCAGCTTTTGAAACAAAATGTTAATCACAAAGAACTTGCCTACCGAAATAACACATTACATCAATAAATTCAATATGTTAAATGCGGGTTCACTCAACTTTCGGTCATCAGAAAATTCTAACAAAACATACTGACTGAATTGTTTTAAGACTGTTATTGGGTGTATTTTGTTGAGGACATCATTTTTTCAGAAATTGGGCATCGTCCGCCCACGGGAGTTTCCTTTGTATATACTAATTGCAATTTGAAAAAGAAAACAACCAACAATGTGTTGTCTCCACACACAACAAATTCCAACCCGGTAGTTTACTTGTATATGAAATAAGGAATTGATTTACGGAAAAGTTCTATGATGGCCTGCTGCAGAGTTTCTCTATCACCCGTAAAACATAGCTTTACTGAATGGTATACTCAAATCACAGTATATTGGCTCCTAATGGGGGGAGTGTGTATTACCAGAAAGAGAGTGAGTTGAACGTCTACTCGACACAACTAGGTCATTTCGGAATTAATATATGGTTCAATTATGTGTTGGGGTCTTCAGCGGTGGGAGGAAACCGGATGACCCGGAGAAAACACACGAGGTTTATCAGGCGACCGTACTCCTTGTCACGCACAAGTGTGGGATCGAAATCGTGCCACTAGCTTCAATGACATACCCTATGACCTAAAGTGCATGCCTTAAACCTTTCGCCCAATGCGTGGATCACACCAATCTCGGTCGTCGTTACCATGTGGTCGCTCTAAATCGAGATTTGTTTTAGTTCATGGGCACTGAAACATGCGTTGACATCACCTATTGTAAATATATCAATAGGCTATGTAATTAAACATGTATTATGCAAGAAGTGTCAGCTCTTTATATAGTCTTCTATAAAATCTATAATAAATTTTTAAATAGCCGGTTTGTAAGAATAAACCCAAATGACCGTATTTAGAAATTGTCCGCTCTGCAGACGAATTAACTCATCATTGATTTTATAGTATACAGTATGTCCCAATTTTTGTATTTATCATCCACTTATGTGCATGCCTTAGATATGGAAGTTGAAACTATTTGTGTTTGTTTGTATTGGCTGTTATCAAGCAGGAACTTCATTGCTACTTTAAAATCCAATCGCCGTCTCACATGTAATCAGCATTCAAATCAGCATTACATCAAAATTTCCTTTTCTTTTTTTTCCTTTATTTTTTATAGAAAGTGACATTCCTTCGTTCGTGGGGCTTTACGTTCATTTCCATGAACTATTGCTATTGCCGACAAATTTAGTTTCCCAAGATTAAGCATTTATATAAAAAATCTTTACTTTATATTATTATTTCATGCCAGAATTTTCATCAATAATTCCCCAATACGACCAGGGATGTTTTAATTTTAAAATAACCATATTGTTGTAATCAATATTACTTAAACCATGCCTAAGCTTTGCACAACTTACACAAATTAATAATGGTCATTTACAGCTCACTGTGTCCGGAAACGTCATACATGAGCTGAACCCCCAATTCTTAAATTTGTTGGCTACAAATAACGTCTTTTTACATTAACGTTATTATTCTAGTGTTTAACGTAATTATGGAGCTTAAACTTCTAAGGTTTATAAATTAATATTCAGAAATTAGTATGATTGTCGAAAGCAAGTTATTATCACAGGAATAAGCTAGCTTATTTCCACTTTATTTATTATTTCACGAGATTAATTTGGCTATTATAACGGACACATATATATTTCAATCTTTTATTCATATTATTAATCAGATTTTCATCGTTTAAAGCTGTAATGCGACAAAGAAATTTTTTATTATTTATGTCTTAGTAATCCTGCTAAGCATTACGAAAAATACCCCACCCATTTCTGAAAACAGATGCGTTTGCCGACGGCATGCCCGAACTGATCCCACCTACACTCCCTATCCCCATTACCAGTGAAAAACTCAGCCAAAAATGATGGTTTTACGGAAAAATAAAATTATATCAATCATTTTGTGTCCTACAGTAAAAACAACGTAGGGATCTTTAGTAGTGGGTAAAATGGTTTTTTTTTAATGTTTCCGGACGTTAGGTTCTTTATCTGTTCAATCCTTAAAAGTTATATGAAATCAATGGCTATGTATCAGTGTCGCGACACTATATATTTGCTTTTATATTTTACTAGCATGAACCGGGGAGTTCGTGTAAGGTTTTTCATTCGTCACTGATGCATGGTATCGATGTATCAAAAAGTATTAATAGGCTGGTTGGAGAAGGTGACAAATCCAGCTTTGTGGGAAGAAATTCCTACCCAAATGATTTCTTCACTTTCTGAAACAACTATGTCCCTAGTGTTCCAGAAAATTTTTTCCCGCGGATCGGAGTTGAGCAAAAATTTTTACAGCACTTTGAACTTTTCACCCCCTGGGTCAACATAATGAAAATGAAAACCATTTATAACTTCAAAAATATCAATTTTACAGCCTAGAAATATATTATCAACATATAGGAAAGTGATACCAAGGAATCCAGAAATGACGTCAAAAGTAACGTACGACCAAAGCCGTATATAGATAAAGTTGCGACAACTGTGAAGCCAGAAATTTCATATGACGTCAAGAAAATATGACCTCAAGTGTAGTAAGACGCCATCTTGGGTCCCAAGTATTTGTACCTACTCACTATCTATTTTATGTCCTATCATATTGTTTTGTCGAAGTTGACTGCCCCCGACAAGGATGTATATAGATATGTCATAGAATACATTTTTTAAACGAAAAGTATAGCTGAACAAACTATTATTATTATTATTATTATGGAGAAAGCGCACATTATTGTTATAAGAATAGTCTAATTCGTAAGAAAGTGAAATAAAAGATACACCAAATAAAAGCGCTATTAAATTGCATACGCTTTTAAAAATCAGATTTTTTGTGCAGACGGGTAAAGTGAAAAATGTAAATGTAAATAGTAATTTGGGAGATACAACCTTTTTGCCTTCTAGCCGGCAAAATAAATGCCTGAAATTCCATGATTTTTGGTCTGGAGTCATTCCGGATTGTGTGTCAGTTTTCTGTCATCGATCATTAATTGTATCATCAATTTTTCGAAAATAGAAATTTCTTTAAATTGACTAATGGATAAATAATTTAAAATCGGTGTAAAATCGGTAAAATTTAAATAAAGCGTGACATGTGTCTCGGGCATATATTTCATCAGTGACATTACTGATATACGAGATATCGCTCTCCGAAACTTTCTGGTTTCTTTTGCAATTTGTTTGGGGTAAGACGTTATCACTCCCCGCCCATGGGTAAATAATAATATTAATCTAATATATAAACCGCAAAAATTTAACAGATACAAATAATGTACATGTTATTCCACAGGTAGACAGACATTGAAGGGGCCCAGTGAAGGAGACGCAGTTGGTTTAGAGTTTATCCGACTCTTTTGGCTATTTGCGCCCCATTTCCAATTAAATAATCATGTTGTTCTGATGCTCAACTAGTATCAAATATATATCGTGTCTGAGATTTGTTACAAATCGCCCCGAACATGTTCCACACATCTCAATATTTATCAGCTTTTTGTTCAATCTATAAAAGCCTCTATACATTCCTACAAAAATTTTTGTTTAGTTGTTTAGTCAAGTGAAACAAGAAAATGCATAGGCTAAATGGAACAATAGAACAAGTACACCTTTATAATGTCAACAAATACGTAAAACTATGAAATAAGATACTTCTATGATATGATTCAACGGAAAGGTCCTATATATGCAACATAGATATAATATCTACATTCAAGTTAAACGAACTGCATCTAATCATTTTAAATATTGCGTCGAGCTGAATAAAGTATATGATTTATTATCATTAAAGGATCTATGGGCGGTTGGTTAACAATGTGTAACTAAAAACTATGATATTATCTTTACTGCAACATTTCAATGTACCTAAAATTTTCTACACCAAGTCTATTGCATCTAGATGTTTAAAGCGCGTTAACAATATATTCATTTAAGAGCAACAATGTCATTTCGGGATTCATATACCACATAAAGTCATACCCAGCGGAAAGAAATGACGATTAATTAAAATTCCACCAATTTGGATTTCATTTTGCCAGCCATTGTGAATTTCTACATCAAGATTTCTCGAAATTAAATTTTTGAGATTATATCTGCCCTTTTATTACCAAATTAATGTTGTTTTTTTTTCATTTTTATTTTTATTTTTTAAAGTGATATTCTTTTACCAAATTTGGCAGTCATATTGAAAGAAATGCCCGCCACCAAATGACAAATACATTTTTTTGATTGATGTTTGTCAAATTCGATTTTTCCACACATTTCGCTTGCATAACCACTCTGTGTTTGAAGAATTTAAAAAGAAATTATTTACACCCCCCCACCACCACTAAAATACACTGATTACAAGATATCGCTCTCCGAAAATTTCTGAAGAACACCCAATTGAATTCTGTTAATCATGTCATTTTGGCCGATTTTGAGTATGATTTCGTCTGACATATTTATCATTGAACCAAACTGCATTGGTTTCTTTTGCAAATTGTTTAGGATGAATTGTAGCCCGTAAAACGTTATACCAAGAAAAAAATAAAACTTTTTGTTAAGTAAAGCTATATGACGCCATGACGTCATAGTTTTTATGGCGTTATAGTTGGGACACCAAAATGGCGCCTGTAAATGAGTTGTCGTAACTTTCCCTATACACGGCTTTGCGTACGACGTCACCGTGACGTCAAAACAAAAAATGGCGGAACTATGACGTCACTGTGATGTCAAAATTCAAGATCGTTGACTACCTGATTGATTAGACGGATTTTGTTTTCAATGTTGGCCAGAAACTGGGCTTGACTATAGATAACTGTGGTGTCCAATTTCAGAGAAATGTCACTGCTCCTATATTTAGACGTAGCAGCTCGGCGCTCGTGCTGATGATCCTTAATATTTGGTTCATAGACGTCGAACACGACGATTGGCGAGGGACCTGAAGCCAGGTGTTAAAGTTCAAGGCAAGACAGTGTGAGTGCAACCAGAAGTTCTTTTTCAAAGATGTATTACGGTGGCACAGCGCACAGGTACAGATATTCAACAGTTCTTCAAATATGAGTTGAGTGCCTTCCCGTCCTCACTGTTTACAGGAGCTTCCATGCGACATGTAACCAAGTCCGATCTCGCTGAGCATTTGCTCAAGAACGTTTCACCCGTTTCGAACACTTCGCTCGCCAGTAAAATAACTGTAATTGATGGAGGTCTGCCAATTTTTGTAAGGTGGAATAAGGGTACGAATATCTCCAACATCTTAGAAAACTATCGGTCATTTGTAAAAAGATTTCTCTCGCCAATCGTCGTGTTCGACGGCTATGAACCAAATACGACAATTTGGCGAGGTAAATCTGGTTGTTTCGGATTCAGTAAATTGGGACTTCTTAAACATACGAACAGTGACATCTTTCAGGAAGCTAGCAAGACAATAGCTTCACCTGGAAGTTCCCAGTCCGAAGTATCTGAAGCTGGGGAAAGGTTATTCTGTGCAATGTCAATGTATGGTCACAAAAATGAGATTTCTATGACTAAAGTCCGGTACCTAAGGTACAAAGCTATGATTGCTGAAAAAATTTCCATTCAAATCAATAGACTTCCTCCAACAGCTGCCGCGGCCGAGCAGCATGCTCACCGCATTCAGGTTAGAATTTGGGATGAACTAGACGATGGCGTCGATCCTGTGAATTGGGGTTGGCAAGTGATAGATAATAGATACGTTCCCATCGCGACTGTTCTTCCATCAGCACCAGACAACGTTCTGAATTTCATCTGGTGTAAATGTAAATCGTTGAAACACCAATGCTCGTCATGTTCTTGTACACAGAATGGTTTGAAATGTGTTGAAGCGTGTGGAGGATGCCACGGGGAGGGTTGTCTCAATAGCGAACAAATCAGCATTGATTTAGAAGATGAATTTGGTACGGGGTAGAACAAATGATCCGAATGAATATTTTATGGTGTCCAGAATATTCCTCTTGTCTATTTACTTGCTGTTATTGCTTTATTCACAACACGTCTCCGCCATTTTGAATTTTGACATCACAGTGACGTCATAGTTCCGCCATTTTGTATTCTGACGTCATGGTGACATCGTACGTTACTTTTGACGTCATTTCTGGATTCCTTGGTATCACTTTCCTATGTTGATAATATATTTCTAGGCTGTAAAATTGATATTTTTGAAGTTATAAATGGTTTTCAGTTTCATTATGTTGACCAAGGGGGTCAAAATTTCAAAATGCTGTACAAAAATTTGCTCAACTCCGATTGGCGGGGAAAATTTTTCTGGAACACTAGGGACATAGTTGTTTCAGAAAATGAAGAAATCATTTGGGTAGGAATTTCTTCCCACAAATTTTCTACCCCGACCAGACTATAAGTTTCATGCCTGATGACGTTATCAGTATAAGTGCAGAATCAATCTTTAACCAAGCAAGGCCGGATCCAGGAATATACGCAGGAGGGGGTTTGTCAGGTTCCTGTTAAGGAAATTTGATAGTTGACAATACAAGATGCCACCATCGAATCCAAATTACATAGGCATGTATACATACACACTGAGCTTTTTAAAGAGAGAAATCCAATACACCGTTTGACGTCAAATTCTATTATGAATTAATAGGATCACATTGTGATTCAATTGCTATACTGCAAAGCGTTAATTGTGATATCAAGTATGTCTATATCATTATCTCGCGCTTTGAATGCCCATCCTATCCCACCATCTAATGATGCAGGATAAAGCACACGGCCGTCACACTTTTCTCATACAATTTATTTTATGTAGCTGAGCGGGGGGAGGAGTATCCAACCTGGATAACCCCCTGACAAGTGTAGGTAAATATCATGACACATCGTCAAAGAGACAGTTGAACCGCACAACACAGTCAGCCAGGAAATATTTCTGTGGTGGGTTCTATAAAAGTTAACATTATAACCAATCAATAAAACCCCTACTCAATTCATATCGTTTATATTGAGAAACAATTCAATTTCATCGCATGTCTCTTTATTACAAATAAATTTTATGTACAAAAAATGATTATAATATAAATGATTTTTGTGGTTATAGGATGATAAGTCAGACTTAACAAAAATGGTTGATGATCTGTGGTGTATAAACTTACAATGAAAGTTCTCAAATAAAAATCATAAGAATCTCTAATAATTATCTATAATATTATATTCAAAATATAAACAAGTTTTGAAATCTCAATGCCAAATCAAATCGCAAAATAACAATCCAATACTTATAAACCACACCAGAAAAAATAGCGATGGTCCGCAATGGCGTTTTTTTATTGATTAGGCTTACCTGATGAGATTGAAAATTCGTCCAACGTAAAGTTAATTAAGGCCTTCTTTCGATGATATGGAATAAAAAGAAGTTCTTTCCTTTGACCTACCGAAGAGGCTATGTTCAGGAATAAAGAAGGTTTGTTAGTCTGAATCTATACCCCAGCATAATGCTTTGCGACTAAGCGTCACAATCTATTTTTCAGTTTCTGAAGAAGGGTTATTACAAACAACTTAATTTAAAATAACAATTACTTCCCTTTATAAAGTGTAAAATTCCAAACAAACGTGAGATAAAAATTATAATTTATATATACACATGTGACACACATTTACAGTTATATAAAATAAATACCATGATTCAAGCAAATTTACAATAAATCCTGAAGCATAAATAAGATTTGAAATAAATACATGAATACTAAAAGGACATAAATATTCAGATAAAGAATTTTTTATTCCCTTCAATACTTTGTGAGACAAGATCTCCTCTTGTTAAACTTAATCTGTAGACTAGACCGTATCTTTAGCCAGTTTAGTACTAGTTTATGACCATCCTTATATACGGTATCTCCTCTAATTAATAAAAATGTTTAAAACAATCTGTAAAGCAGACAATAACTTTATTTTTAAAATGTAAAACAAGTTTTCTTGCGAATGACTTTTCCAATCAACGGTTATAAATATGCATATGTTCAAAATATTTCTCAACAAAGCTGGGATTCTTTGCATTTAAATATTTGAGTATTATAATCAAGTAATGCCCCAACGAGCTAAAAGATAATAATCACTTTCTTTGTTTAAAATACATCGTAGGGACTGAAATTTCTTCGTTGGGTAGCAACTTAGATAAAAACGAACTTGGATACAATCATATTCTCTTGAACTACATATTATGGAAATAAATGAGTTAACCTTCAGACCCTCATTGACGTGTCTAAGATGATAAATATGCAATATTAACTATTACTAAAAGTTTCATAGTACAATATAAGGCAACTTATTATGGGATTTATCACCAGCCGATGGTTTAAACTTCAGGAAAAACTTTTAATGGAACGGAGGGGGCATCTGTGGCGCTATCTGTTAAAGCCCTGGTTACACGAACTGATTTCTTCCTTATCTGAAATATAAACATTTAAACTACCTTATAAATTTATCACGGATAGTGGACGTATACTATAAATCTGAAATGTAAGGATGATGAAGACATTTAAAGATTTATAACTACAACTGGATTTTTGTAAACAATTTCTCTTCATGTGAGCGTTTTGGGAGAAAGAGTAAAACCTTGATTGGTGTTGGATTAAACATGATCTACTACAAAAACTGGGCTGCTTAAAGAAACTTACCAGACCACTGTTTTTGTCGCCTTTTCTTGTTTTCTTGTTTTCTTTTTTGATATACTGAAAATTATATTAAATTTAAGTCAACATAACTAATTCCTCAATAGCTAAGATTTATAACTATTACTTGTCTAATAACTATTGCTTTATCCAAGTCTTATAACAACATTTTACTTAAGTTCGGAGTTATGACTATTGACGGGCATACGCCATACAATGTGCTATGGGGGAAATTTTGCCCGGGCAGAGGCACTATGGCCTACTTTTATATAGAATTCCAACTGCCAAGGGATCGTTTACGTGCACGCCAATGTATACACAGGACCTCGGTTTTTCGTCTCACCCGAATGACTAGACAGCTGTCCTTGTCAAGCCATCAGTCCTGCAGCACTGACAAGTGGAAACCACGTCGGAAAATCCCGATGATCTTTCTCGGCCAACGCAGGGATCGAACACGCGACCTCCATATTATTTATAAGCTTGCATTTCTGACACAATGCATGTCATTTACAACTTAGATGTGGATATGTGAATTGGGGAGATCGTATGTCTTTCATTTTAATCTAACAATTGTACGTGCAGACATCAGGTTAAGATGGCCGATCTGATACATAGAATAAAACAGATACTTACACTATTTCTAGGTGTTTTCTCATCTTCTTCTTCACTAAAACTACCACTATCTCTTTCTTGTTCTCCACTAGCTTTATCTAATAACAAACAACAAAATCCTATTCATTTCCGGAAATAAATATGTTTGCTAGATCGGTAAAGATAATGGTGCAATTTATTGGGTGATGCATAACCCGCAACAGCCCCTCCCACCGTACACGATAGATATGGAAAAATAAAAAGGTTTGATAATGTGCTATGTGCAATTCCCAAAACACAAGTGATATCAGTACACACAGGTAAAAATAGTAAGCGTCTTAAATGGCCTCAAAACGTTATAATCCCAAGAAATTCAGAGAAAAAAATAAATTTATCCAAGTCATAGGAAAAATATTCATTTTATCAAGCATTAACTCTAAAATATTAAGCAAAATCTAAGCATGGAAAAAACATTAGTCAAATTTGCTTTAATTGAAATAAATGTTCAATTCAGGATGCGAAATATCAGGTTAAAATATTTGTATAGGTATAGTTAATAATTTTCCTCAAAAAAACACAATAGCCTACCTTTATCTTGATTTATTTTATCTAAGATTGCTAATCCAACAGCCTGGTCACCAAAGCCAGGATCGCTTTTTGTATAAAATTTAGTTTTCTACAAAGATAATTAAAATCATTCAATTGTAACAGTAGTTCAATAGGACACTTGATATATTTAGTGTCTTCTTTCTTGTGTATTTCATAAAGGAAGTTTATATGATACTGTAATTATTATACGTCCACATTTTATGTAGGATTAATATGGCATCTATTTTTATTGAGTTACTGCCCCTGAAACCCAAACATTCCACTGAAGCTATAACCTGACGTTTAAAAACAGTCCGCAAACAGTCGTAAATAATCGAACATGTGCTATTCACTCGTGTCGGTTTCTTTTATTGACCAGTTTTTCTTGGTCCTCGCCAGTTGCAGATAGCCCAGTTAAAACTAGATTCGCCTTGCTTTAGTCCCAATATAACCTAAGCCATATTAAATGTTTTCATACCTTTCTTGCTTTGTCTACTTTAGGAAGTTCACTCGTACTTCCAAATCTAGGTCGTAACTTTCGTACAAATGAGGAAATTTTAGATTGAAGAGACCGTCTTGAAGGTTTATCCCCTCTCATTTCATGACTTCCCTAAAATTGAATAAACAAAACAAAGACATTAAGTTTACTATTCAATCTACATTGTATATGTTATTCTATTAACTGAATCTAAAGCAAATTAGCAAAAAATTGGACAGGTATTCCTTTTAATCAAACATCTAGTTTATTGGTTAAGGTCATAATTTAATATATTAAAATCATACACCATTAATACCAGAACAACGTTGCTCGCAAATGGAAGACAAGTGGCGTTCAAATATCATGTTATGTTTTATTTCATTTGTAATATAACATCAGCACAGCCTCCAATTGTTTTTAACCTATAGTGTCATAAACCGGATAATGAGTAACAAAAAATAGTTGTATGAAAACTATTGCATATACACTTCCTTAAACGGGTCTACACTGTTAAAATTATATGTATATTTACAGTTATAAGTATAGTAAAAATACAGTGCAGGATTTGTCAAATCACATGGTTTGTTTACTTATATTTAAAACGATGTAAGTGCATATCGATAAAGGGCTTATGTAAGATTACATCAAAATGAATGTAGAAATACAATCATATGTCAGTTTACTTTATGTGAGCTGTATATTAACAGAAATGTCATTTGAAATATTATTTTTACAGAAAATTGTAAATTTACTGTCAAATAGTGGTCACATCGGTTATTCCCCCTTTGACCACATATCAAATATTTAGTGACCTGTTAGTCAGTTTAGTCGACCCATTTTAGAGAATTAGACTATTCAAAATCTGAATGCACCGAACTGGCTAAAAAAGACAGGCATGTGCCATACGGTGGAAGCGGACGTTAAATAAAGCTATTTCACACACAATTAACGAATGTTGTTTCACATATTCGACTAAAAAGTCCGAAAAACTTTCTGTGTTCGTCAGGGTCGAACCTAGGAATAATTAGCCAATTAGCCAAGCGGGGACAAACAAATTCCTTTAAATAATTTTACCTAGGCAAAATACATAATATGTAATTCTACAATAGTTACGAAGTATTATTATATAAACTCTGTCAAAATACACAACATATTTAAATGTTATTGTACCAATTTATGTAAATTAACACCATTGTAATTTTACATGTATTCCATTTACAGATATGTACTTTTACATTACAGACTGTGAAATAACATGCAATGTTAAAATACAGTTATTACGATGGCAAAATTTCTGCCAGTTAACTAGTTTCTAAACTTCTTTCGTTCATTAACTCCGAATAAAACTACGCACAATACTTGAAACTTACCGAATCTGAATCGACAGACAATCTACTGGACGAACTGGCTGAATCTGGTGAATCAAAATTTATATCAGCTATACACATGGTCTGAGGTCTCGGAAGAGTTGGGCTGGGTTGTGTTATTTCAACTGAAAATGACAAAAAGTGTTTAAAAGTATTAAAAGTGTTAAATTAGAACGCCGATTGCTTTACTGTTTATTCATGGTTTTGTTACAACCCCCCCTCCCCCTCTTCAAATCAGGTTTGTAAAAAAGTTGTATTCTGTTATGTTGGAACCTTGATGCAGGAAAATATTGCTTATACGTTTCAATTATAGTTTTGAGAGAGATTATAGACTAACCTTGTACGGGTGATTGAGCCGAGACAGTTTCAGCTGTTGTGGCCTTTTCAATAAGAGAGTCATCTTTAAATTCAGAAGATGATCTGTGTTTAACTATTGGAGAGGCTGGTGGAGGTATATTATAAATAGAATCCGTGTCATCATCTTCGTAATACGTATTTCGTGGGCTATCTGTCAGGTCACTTGTAAGACTACATCTATCAATAGACTTTTCGGGTAGTAATGGCGCGGGTCCACGTTTCATCAAACATGGAAAAGGATCTGGAATACTGCTACATGATGAATCTAGAAATGAAAAAGGTTTTTTTAAAATTAAGCCCCCAACAATGAAAGGCTTATACTGACAAAATGTCCGTACTCTATCTAACAATGTATCGGACATTCTAGAAATGGGAGTTTAGGATCCTACTTTTCTCCGCCAACCAGACTAATGAAGACGGTGTCATTCCAACTGCCAAGGGTTCTTTACGTGCACGCCAACGTTTTTCGTACCACACGAACGAAGACACTGTTCTTTCCAGGCCTCCCGTCCTGCACCACTGGCAAGATTAAACCGAAGAACTTTCTAGGTCAACACCTGGATCGAACCCCGTTGGACCACCGTCTTAATATATTTCCATGGCAGGCGTTTATCTCATATAAAAGTTTGAACTAATGACACAGAATATCCCTCATGAAATAAATGTCTATATTTGGGGTGAATCAAAATATTAAGAATAGTGAAGAAATTTAAATCTAAAAAAGTGCAGAAAGATAGTCATGGCTTACCATCACTAAGATAAGAAAATCTATAAGTATCGCCTTCAGAAGCAGACCGTTGAGTACTAAACAGTTGAGCTGATGATAGAAGGAAATAAGGAGACAGACATAATATATTATTCTTGAAAAACCCAAGATACTAATCTAAATGGCTACATTATTCAAGTATTTTTTTTAAAAGGCAGAAAACAAATTTGTAGAAGTATATATACTAGAGTAGAGAAAGCTAAGATCTAAGAAAAGAGAATCATTCCAGTTATTTGATATTTTTCTCCATATATATTATGTAGCTTTGGGTGGAAATGTACAAAATGGAATATCGCTGTAGATATCAAATATTTTTACGTATTAATATTATAATTTGGACGTAGTGACAAAACTTCACAAATGTAAAGACTATATTGAAAATATATTTGTATTGCTTAAAATGTAAACAATCGATGTCATTGTCATAATAGTTAGTTATATATATTGACGCCCTAGTATGTATAATGTATTATACTACTATGTATAATATTTATATTCAGTTAGCTATAATATTTACCTTTGAGATGTCGTAACTTGGAACGATTTAGCTGTGGGGAATTGCAGGGTGATTCCCCTCGTAATCTTGACACCGCCTCTGTAAAAATAAAACCCAATTAAAAGTTTTACAGCCATTTGGAAATTACACATTTTCTGGCATTCCCGTTCAATATGAATGGTAAATTGGTTAATCTGGGGATTATCTTAAAGTTTTTCTAACTCTACAAAAACCCATTCCAAATGAAATTGTTAAGTATAATTGTAATAAAATCTTAAATGGAAAAAACCCCAATATAATAAGGGACAATAAAGTTACGCCCACTTCGTAAGAGAAAACTTCTTAAAATATAAATCTATAAATTCAGTGATATATTGCCAGTATCAATAATATATGACATTACCGAGCCATTACGCATCGGGGTCCTGACATATAGTTTTCCATTTGATGTGATTTGACTATACATTGACATCTTGCATGTAAAAGTAGAATATTTTCCGAATTTAAGAAAGATCCCCTCAGCCATACACATGTGTTATATAAACGTTTAGTTCGGTAAAAAAAAAACCCATCAAAATTAACACAGTTATATGGGGCAACAATCACTGGTTTGTTATACACTTGCACGACGATTCGATAAGTATCTTCTTATCGTTATCAAGCACGATAAGAGGATACTTATCGAAACGTCGTGCTAGTGTATAATAAACTTGTGATTGTTGTCCCATTCCCATATAACTGTGTTAGTTTTGTTATGTTTCCAATCGCTAAATGCCACTAAAGGATTAGATGTAGTTCGGTACTTGAATTTTCGGTAATTCGGAGAGACTATGGTTATTATGTAGAATCAGATCTGGCTGAATGAGGCACAAAGGTAAAAAAAAATCATGCACTATGCATCAGTTTGATCTCTGTTGTGGACTAGAGATTTATCTTTGAAGTTAGTACACCATAATATCAATTTTAACAAAACATTGCTGTGATTGATAATTACTGAAACAAACAAAACGAATTTCCATAGCAACCAAAAACAGTAAATATCATGCACTTCTGGTAAGTTCGTCACTTAGGGTTTCGGGAATAAAAAAAAAAGTAAATTTTGAAGAAAAAGATGCTTGAAATATTGAACATGTTTCGTGCCTTATGTCAAACAAGGAACCCGCGATATGTGTCCCATTTAGCAAGACCTGATCACATGACATTATTCCACATTATTTACATTTATTTTTTACCAAAAAAATACAAAGGTTTTATACTTTGATGAATTTAATTTGAAAATTTCTAAATCGTACTTGGAAAAGCTGACATATTGGTATAATTTTCATCAAGATGTAAATGTGGGTCCATTTGTATATAATCTTCATCAGATGTAATTTCAGACTGACGGGATGGTTGGTTAACATAACCTTTTGGTTGGTATCCGTGTGGTTTCGGGGCAGGAAGGTCAAAGGTCGGGTCTAAAATGCCACTGTCTAAATCTGTAAAATGGGAGGGAATATAAATTTTGTTAGTATGTGACAAGAACACGATATTAGTATAGGTATATAAGGTATATAGAAATATGAACAGACCAAATAACTTTATAGAAAAAAATAAATAAAATTATTTTTTAGAAAAAACATCCACCGATATTTTCAAAAAGAAATATGATAAAGGAAAAAAGATTTTCACCTTGTTTCTGGTCTAAAACAAAACGGACAAGTTTGTGACACAAATCTGTGTGTCCTTCTCGTTCAGCAATTGTCGACGGATATTCTTTATTGATATTTTCCGTACACGCCGCAAGGATCATACCAGGGTACTTCATAAGTTCTTGGACAAACTGTTCCAAATTATATTCTGCAGCAAAGTGCAACGGCGTCGGCCATATTGATTTACTTTTATCGTCTGGAAGCATAAACATAGAAAATATGTGGATTTTGGTGACAGCAATGCTCAAAAACAATTTTATTTATCAAACACGCACCACAATATAAACAAGGTTCACTTTCTTCTTTATTAGTGTTTAACTTTCACTTCCTCCGATGGCGATATCGCAGAAAAGTTGTCTTATTTTATTATGCTTAGCACACGCGCAGGGGTCTTCCTGTTATGGAAAACCGGAGTATCCGGAGTAAACCCACGAACTTGAGAAGGCGCCCCCGATCTCCTAGCCACATGCGCAATACAAACCCCAGATGAGCGACCAGCTAAAGCTCGATGCGCGACACTCTAGACCACTAGGCCATCCACACTCTGTTTTACTTTCTCCTAACCATCTCGTATTACGTCTTATGTAAGCTATTTAACCAGTTCTTGTGGCACGAGTATTTTAAAACATTTTTAAACAAGGGGTATATCAACCTATTCCGCTATACCTAACAACTGAAATATATACAAATAATTTATTGGTTTAGAAAACGAGATATTATATAGGGTACCTGTGAAGTTGACATCATCTATTGAGAGAAAGGCTTGAAATACAGATGGCGATGATTTCAATCTGATTTTTTGTACCAATGCTTCATCTAATGCTTTAGCCGTGTATGTTCTGAGACCTAATGCTTGACACAAGAATCCAACGGGATTGACTACATCATCCAATAAAGATCTCATTCGGTCTAGTTTAGTCTCAACTACAATCTTCTCTTCTCCCAGTGGTTGGTTATCTGACACAATACTTAAGTTGAGTTCACCTTTAGCACTTTCTGCAAATTGCAAAAGGAAGTCTAATAGATGATATAAATATACATCACCTTCCTGACCCATCATAGGAGGGACGGGGATTCCAACAGTACTGTCCAGTACATAAAGTAATGGGTATTGCTAACCCCAAAGAAACTTTATCGTTCATTCCAACAAGCTCACGGAATAAACAAGAATCATGCAATCAACAAACAAAATATATACGAAATAAAAAAAAAAGTAACAAGCTATCGAAATAAAGAAGCAAACAATTCTAGAAATAAATAAATCGACTATTGTACTAAACAATAGAGTGATACGTTCAAGACGTGATACGTGGGACATTAACCGAGGGTGGCATCGCAGACAATCGACATGCGGGATTTATACACCAATCGCTGGGTAATAGGTTTAATGAATGTTCGACAAATTGACTGTAGATTGTCTTTTTATAATAATATTGGGTGGGACTATTTTGCCTGGTGCATTCCAAATGATGATAACTAATATTCTGAGTTTTTAGGTTAATTTTCGTCTGCTCAAATATTATAAATCATAATTTAGACTACAAGAGGAAGAAAGAAAACTGTATGATATAAAATTAATATTTATACACTGGAAAAAAAATAAAAAAATCTGTAATATGTCCAGACCAGGAAGATCTACTGCACACTTGATGACAAACATGTACATGATATACTAGAATTGAGTATACTTCCTCTTTAAATATATGTCACGACATAAACTATATATATACACATCATGTTTAATGACAAAAAACACAATTGGGTACACACTAATCAAATATTGCCACACGTAAGAAGATAATGCAATCATTGGTTTGGAAATAACAGATCTCACAATTGCCCGAATTCTGCCACCCTTCCACACCCAGGGTTTATACTGCGGATTTTCTCTTATTTTATGTTTAACAGCAGACGTCTTTATATTTCAAGAATCCCTGTATAGTCCAAGAGTCTAACAGTATTATTATCCTATATTTTGCTCTTTATAAAGCTTCAACGGATAACGAAACGATATTTCGCGCGTTTGTAGGAATAAACGACGGTGGTGGTTTCTTGCCATAAAAATTTTGTGGAAAAGTTTCGTTCGGGTAAATTGGGCCAATTATCGTTCGAATATCACACTTCTGCTTAGTTTGGGATTGAACACCAAATTGTTGTCTGTTTTGTTTTAAAATACACTGCAAACCGCACAATCAGGGCTGTCGCCATTACATTGCCAATGTTATTAATTACATTACCATTACCATCACTGTTTAAATGTAATCATTACAATGACTTTCTCATTTTTAGCAATGCAATTAATTACCATTACCCATCACAATAGGTAAATATAACTTTTAATCGCAGAAATATTACAAATTTATTTTAAATATATATATGATGCATTGTGAAGTAAATTTATTGAAGATATTACCTGGAAGTTTGGCACAATAGACAGCTTTATCCAGTGAGTCTATGACGATGCCTTCATCGGTTGAATCACAATGTATTTGAACCCCATTCTCTGCCTTCCGATCCAGTATAACATAGATATAATCACCCTATGATTAAATAATAAGTATTAATAATGTGAAAACGTGGTCAAATAGTTATTCGGGCATGATGATGGGGTTCTCCCTTTTCGAGATCCATCAGTACCATTACAAAGCCATAACAATCTAATCCTTTACTTGTACGCCAATGTTAACATGCGACCTCGGTTTTTCGTCCCATCTGAACGACACTGTCCCTTGCCAGGACTTCTGTCATTCGCCATTGTCATCTCGATGAACTTTCTCGGCCAACTCAGTGATCGAACACTTACTCACTAAGCCACCGTGGCTCTCGAATCTCTGTCGTGTTTTCTTTCAGAAATGCAAAGTTTCCAAATTTCAGGCTATACCCTGAAATAGTGTGTGGTGAGTTTAATTTAAACACACTTTTATCGTCCAGTAACCTGTAAAATCTGAGGCCGTCCCTTCTGTAGAGATTACGATCATATTGCATGACCATATTACATTACAATATTAAATGTATGCTATTCATTTTTTTATCTTAACCACACAATATGCTTACGTGGTGTACTCAACATTTATACAAGTAAGACAGCAATTAGGCCGTAATCCAGTCTTACCTGTTGTATATGATCTGGGATAACCTGGTAGACATGATTAATTTGTTTGTTTGATGGCGGCACAGAATAAATATCATCATCATCATCCGAACCACATCCTTCATATACTTCTATAATAGTCACTAACGTACCCTTTATTGTTTCATTGTCATTATTTACACAACATATTTTACAATCAAATATATGTTTACTTTGTCCATCGGCTTTCAATAGCGTTTCGACATCGCTCTTCTCAACGCCCAGTAGAACGACCACGCAACGAGTGGGTATTAAGCCTAGAAAGTTTGTTTTTGTTTTGCTTGCTGATTCTAACAATTCGGGCGTTAATAATAACACTTGCACACAACACTCAGCAGAGAATTCAAAATCTGGAGTTGAGAATAATTCCGTTCTGACAGGCAGATTGTATTCCTGGCTGGTAAATTTATTCGTAAGAAATGTCGCCCATTGCTCCCCATCTGAGGCATAAAACAATAGCACTTCACCCATCTGAAAAAAAAGATAAAACAATGTGTCATTATGTCTTGAACAGTTTCATTTGGAATAACGGCTTCAGAGCGAAAGTTTTGAAAGTGATTCGTCCATGTATATTAATGTCAGATACAGTTTATCATTTTATTATTAAATTCATTTAGTAATTATTAAAAAAATAGGCTTCATAATGCCTTGGTTCGTCGTGTACAATTTTGATAAAAGGAGGAGATGTGCGAAGGAATATGGTTCGCTATTTGGTTCTTTCTCTTTAAAAAAAGAAAATAAAGCACATTTGGATTGAACTGTAATATTAAACACAAAATAACCTCATTATACAAATATTCCCCCCAATTCAAGGACAAAATATATTGACACTGGTCTAACCTCCCACAGCCCTGCTTAATCTAAGAAAGAGTGCTTTTCTGTTTGAAGATGAAAAACTACGTATCGCAGTTCTGAGACATATAAGCGCGATAACGAAGACTTCTTTCCAGCTGGGATTTCTTCAACTCTGTAATTTGAGTTTCCAAATATTCTGGTACTGCAAACCACAACATGTACGGTCAATAGTTCAGGTTTATTGATCGCTGATGCTACAATGTGTAAGAGGGAAACTGAGAAGAATACAAGAAAATACAGTCACAGCTAGAATAATTACCTTAATTCTAATTCTATCAATTTTGTCCAGAGAGTAAAATTATTCCAATGTTATCCAATGTCTGTATAAATCCAAGAAGTAAAATTACAAGGCTAACATGGCTAATACTTTACACGTCTGCTCACACGGGTGTAGACAGTAGGCTACTAACTGTTTCAACATTCAAAATACTACTGCACATATAATCAATAATAGAAAGAAGGAAGACAATATCAGTTCCCCCTCAAACAAAAATGACAAACCAGCATCTTCCTTGTATATTTTTAGCTACAAATCAACTGTTTGTTTGCTTATTGATTTAAATATTTCGTTTCGTATACTATTAAGTCTAAAAAATATGATCAATTTACTTAGTATAATCATTGATAATACACAAACTTTGATACTTCCTGGTACAACACTGAAATACCAATGTTCAATAACATACATCATAATAACATGGTAGACACATGAACGTCGCATACGTAAAGCCCTACCAGACAGGCTGATTAAATCCTAACACTATTTCGTTTCTTTTTGTAGGTTCTGATTTTATTCTACACAAATTAATAAAATTTGATATTTATTTCGATTCGTTTTGAAGTTGCTAATTTTATTCTACACCAATTAAAATCATAACTTTATTTGTTTTATTCTGATTATTCTAATTTTCTACACTTATTCAAACTATATATTTATTTCATATGTTTTTGGTGGTTTTAGTTTTCTACGCCAATTAAAATTACAACTTTAAGTAGTTTCCTTTTGACAGTTCTGATTTCTACACAACATATGTTCGAAACCGATTTATAATGAAAAGAAACTCGGTACAGGCAACCTTGGACACTTGCCGAAGCTGGGTCAAGTAAGTTCAATGAGTGGAACTTAGTTTTGATTCAAGTCCGCTACATTTCACTGACGGTGATATTGCAAACAAGTCGCCAACTTGCTTATAATATACATGTCTGAGAAATGGCATGAGGTGTTCAAGAAAAGAAATAAAAGGCCCCTTATATTGGGAGACGAGGTAATCCCTGGTTAATTCCAACTGCAGAGTTTATTATGTTCTTGTCAGCCCAGTAATGTAGCGGGAAGAAGAACCTGGTGTAATTCCTTTAACTTTAACTGTAAGCTGAAACAGCCTGAGTATATATTTATCATGCGCAAAAAAGTAATCTTGGTATAGCCTGCGGTTGTGGAAAAGTTTATGACAAATCCCTTAGTCTAAGTGTTTGTTTGCAAGGCAGTTAATTAATTATAAACAACTAGATTTTATCGCCTTTCTTGCTGTCTCTATTGTTTATTTACGTTTATTTTTGCATATAGAAAGTCATTCTGCACATCACTGAGTCTCGCTAGAAACTGTCTTTCCATGTAAAAATGTGTCTGATGTCACAACATTTATGACGTTTTGGTGTACTATTTGAAAGATTAAAAAATATTTGCAGAATACATTTGTTTGTAATGGCCCGAGGGAAATTCCCAGTACACTGTATTACACAATACTTCAAAGTATTGACAGATCTATATTTTTAGTCAACTGACATAATAGACTAAATATTGTCCCAAGGTCAGATTAATATTTTTGTAAAGTGAACTAGGAAGTAGGCAAACGAATCACGTGGGAATAAAGCCTTTGTTTATTGTACATTGCACTATAGAATTAAACCTAACAAACATTTATCTGTAAATAAAAAAGACAATATACCAGAAACAAAATATAACTAAGGGATTATATATTTATCTCCTTTATTTCAAGCACTCGGTCAATATCAGAACTATCTACGTTGAGAATACATCTCTGCACTGGATGACCGCCTTATTAAAAAAAAAAATTGGTATTCTATTTTGTTGTGCGTTTCCAATGGGTTTTACATCTTTCATACCCACGAAGACTAAATGTGTTACGGCAAGTTTTTGGCGTGAGGTAACCCACTAGAAACATCAACGCTGATTGGCTAATCAAATGTCTGACGTCATAGGTCGAAAGCCGCTCGAATTACCTCTGACGCGATTTTCCACTACAATCGGTCAGATCTTAGAGGCCATTGAAAGTTTTAAAAAATACGAAACGAAATATAGATCTGTGTTTTAATCAGATTGAATATGATTCATAGTATTTTGAATATGATATTATGGATATAATATTATCATGACCAGAAACCACGAAACTCGACTATCAGTGACAACAAATCTTCAAATCCGGTAACTCCACACCAGAAGACACGACATATTCTTGGACGACCATGTGATAAAGCGATAAAGTAATTCAAATGGAAACAAATCGTGTGCTCGTCCTTGTTAGAGACATGTCATGTTCATGGAGCTGACCTTTTAGGTCCGGAAAATTTTGTTTTTGTAGTTTGTTGGGCACTCATTTTATGTTTGATACAGAAATAATAAATGGATGTAATCTATTGGTAGAAAATAATAGTTTCTTTAAATAGCAACATGCGTTGATATTGCCGAACCACCATTTTGTCACATTACTGTTATTATATATAAATAAGTTCATTTGGGAAGATATGAAACCGTTACCGTTTTTCTGGCTACAATTGCCTTCAAGAGAAAGGGAACTTAGACAATTGTCATAAAACAGCTCCTCTTGAAGAGGGTATACTTGTCCGAATAGGCATATATTGCAGATTTTTTAAGATGATTTCGTAGATTCCTGAGTCCAATGTCATTTATTTAAAATGTTTTCACACAGAATCCTATCAATGCTAAAGGATTGTGAGATTGTGGGTGTTAAATTATAACACCATATCTACATGTAAATCTTAATATGAAGAAACGTGGGCCGTGATAAATCAATGTTAAAACTTGTAACACATTGACTGAGAGTGTAATTAATGAGTTTAGAATAATTAACCCGAGGATGTAATAAAGTTATATGTTTAACTTATCATCTCTACCTCTTCACCCAGTGATATATAAGGCGATTTTTGACCTGATTAAAAGGTTTGTACGGTATTACACGAGGATATAGACACGTGTTATATTAATTAAATTCCCTTTGATGTTTATAATATACATATACTAGTATATATAAAAAATGTCCGTAATATGTTTATACAATAAAGTAAATTCATCCTTTCTAGATAATTATTTTATTACTGACATGTTTCATACAATTTTCAAAGTAATGTAGGTAAGTAGGTATAGAAACAATATATTATATATTAAATTCTGTGGTGACAGAGCTGCGCCGTTTCCCACATAATATTTACCTACGTAAATCTATTAATTATGTTTGGAATGTAAAAATCCCTGATCCTTACCCAACAAAAAGAAGTAGAAAATGTCCGACATAGCCCGTGTAACAATAGTGAATGTGTTGTGTTTTGTTTTTTTGTTGTTATTTTTTTTTCTTTTGGGGGGGGGGGGGGTATTTTATTTTTAAATCGTGTGGTAATAGAGCTGCGCCGTTTCCCACACATATATATGCCGTTGTGTAACATACTGGTGCCTATAACATTCCAACGTAATTTCTTCAGGTAACTCATACATCATATAGATGCAGATAATAATAATATGATTTCCTGATTAATTTATTAATTAGTGATATACACAATTAATACATGCGTCAACAAGTGTATAATTAACTTGTCTGATGTCTTAACTTATTTATTAGTGGATGCATATTAATGAAATGAAATGTGTTTAACGTCCTACTTTTTCGCACTGATTAGGCTAATGGGAGACGACGGGATGCATAGAAATCCTGCGTATGGTTCACATGGACCAGCAACATGATATAAACATAACTATATTCCCATCGAATTAAAGTTTTGTTCAATTTTATGATTCTACAAATTTCTGTACATTTTGAGGTTATTTGGGGACGAACTCTAGTACTGTGTCAAATATAGAGAACGTTATTTTTGCTTCCTTTAAGGTTTTCGCGCACCGACTGACCATATTTTTTTTTTTTCATTTTCCTCCCACTTAAAATAGAATAATAGAACAATCATATACTTTAAACGACTTTAAATTTCTTTGACATTAAAACAGGTTGATATTCAAAATCCAATCATACTTTTAAATTCTTTTTCATATTCCTAAATTAATTTGATATTGTTGGATACCGGTACATGTAATTGAAAGATCATTGCCTTCCATCCCACACTTCGATAATTAGAAAAAATAGAATTTTAGGAATCCGATGAGCAGTCATCTAATTATCAGTCGATGATTATAGCAATGAAGATATTTTCATTTGTTTTTTTGGTTTTTTTTTTTAAAAAAACCCCACAGTATTAAAGTACTTGAAAATATGCTAGATGTTCACCTCATAGTGATATATCAATCTGTCCATCTTACATTCAACGAAATAAGCCATCATGACATTAAACTAATACTCATTGGCCTGAAGACATGTTCCTGTGACCCGAATAATCAATCCCATTTATAGTTTAGTACTTTTCAATACATGCGTTCTATTCACGATTCACCCACTAAAAAGATTTGTACATTGCATTATGGTGATATCCTATAGGTATTTGCAATGTGTAGAAAAAACCCCATTTAAAACCGTTGCCCGGGTGTAGATGCATATTTAAAGACCCGAGTGACTAATTTGCAGCATGATAGGAATTTCCTTATACGACCCATTTCGGAAATTGTTAATGGTTTAGCATGGTTTTCTTTTTACGATATTTTAATTGTGTAACGGGCTTACTTGACTCACCTCGCCGAGTCATCATTTCTGACATAGTCCTACTGAACTCATGCGAACTGTTGAATGAATATATCAACGACAGGGTTACAACATGCGGAGAAGAATACACTTGTCCCATCGTGTATACTATGATTAATATTTTGTCAAAACAAATACGTCCATGCTACCCCATGTTTGAATCATCGTTCTAAACCTTGTGAGGTTGAATCACTGATACACCGACGTTTTAAGCACATATGTCAAATAGGTGCTAACCCGTGCTAAGGGGAGCTAATTAATTAGGTTTAGTGGGAGGGTTCCACACAGAAGCTTGGGTTAAAGTAGCTAAATCTCTAACTCAATATCATCCAAAGTCTTCAACATTGAAAATATGAATTATTTGTCAAATTAGATCAACATTCATGTTGTGATCTTACCGGGAAGAGATGGGCTTCTGATATCCAATATTTAAGACAAAATAAACATTTTACCATTGGTACACGAATCGTGTACCTTAATGCGTTTATAACAAGGGACTCGAAGAACGAGACTAGACATATTCCACAACTCATGTCAAACGGTGACCTCATATTCTTATCTGGAGAGCTTGCGCCAAAAATACTATCGGCTTAGACTGAAATAACCAGACGCTAGAGATTGCCATTAGATTGCGCGACTTATGGCATATTTCGCCGAACGTAACTGATTAGAAATTACAGTAAAAACAGAAACGATTGAATGTTAATCAGTTTATATACATTCATATTACATTATTATATGCGATGCGACCCATTTGTATCAATTTCTAGGTCCCGAATATTAGCGATTTAGCTCCTTTAAACTATCCAAAGGGATCAGAACTCGTGAAGGTACCCAATCTTCGTAAAGCTAGAAGCCCCATACTCTACAACTAAGCTATCGCATAACCAAATCCGTCCTACAGCAAAAGGAGTAGGGTCGCCTGTCAAATCTCGTGGGTTTTCTCCGGGTCCTCCGGTTTCATCCCCTTTGCTAAAGACCCCTACGCGCAAGCGAATTATTGAAATAAAATTGAACCAAGTGTTAGTCCCGAAATGAATTAGTTTGTGTCGAGTGGACGTTAAGAAAAAGGGGTGGTTTATGAAGTTTTGTATTACAGTTTACGCAATAAAGCTACTTTCAATTTACCAACGTATTCAATGTTGCTATATGTAGCATTATGTCAACAAGGACACCGTAAGGAAAGAAAGACAACACTTAAACAATTACTTCGATAGGATGAATTATTTGGACACTGTTAACATATTCAGGTTTGTGTGTCAGCTTCTTAAAATAGTTTTAATACAAGGACTATTTTGGGATCCTTTGTATTAACATTTACATAGCTTATTAGCCAGTGTATTATTTACATATTAGTATTTAGTATTTACATAACTTCTTATATTACACCGTCTTCATTAGCCTAGTCGGACCAAAACAGTAGGACGATAAATCCCATTTCATTTCTTATATTACATACATGCACAATAGATAATGATAAGCTATGTAATATTCTTCTTTAACTGCAATTAAATTTAGAACAGCTATTTTCAAACTGGAGGCAATTGGCTTCCAGGGGAGGAATTTCCAATGTAGAGGGGTGGGGGAGGAATTTTAACAAGAATTTTAGTCAGGGGAGGAACTCCAGAATGGAAAGAATAAGATGCACTATGCATATGTATCTGATGAAATACAAATATGTAAATATACACAAATGTATAGGCGATCAGGAATTAACAATTAACAGACTTAATCGAGTTTGGGACTATTCAGTTATTAAGGGTTAATATACGATGCTTGGGTAGCATCTCTAGGATAGGCCATTTGATAACAGATAATACAGTAATTAGGCTTCATAAAATGTTTTAATAACACTGTAAAATTTAGAAGGAGATTATAAACACAGGTAAAATACTTATTAAATAAATACACTTACCTTAGTATATCATATATTCACAGTTATTGGAGCGAATCAGAAATGGGATATTAATCTTCTTGTATAGGCCGACACAGTATACTATACTCCTAGCAGACGACACTATACACTAATATTACTTTACTGTCAAATTTCATTAAAATTTAAGAGATATCCACACAACACACCTTTTACAGACTGTAAATACAAATAATTTGGATATTAAGGTTATTGTGAGACTATGAATCATAATATGGACGCGAGTTGTCTATGACAAATGACATGTTAGTCCTTTATCGTCCATGTTATGTCTGCTTTCGACTCTCACTAGCAATAGTGTTAACGCTGTATATTACTTCCCAGTCGTATATAGCCAATCACTAAACATGTACATTCCCCTAGACTATGTAAGCAATTTCTGACACATCTTGCCTATATGTATCCTATATACGCTCTCTTGTTTTTATTTCTAGTTTTAGTAACATATTTCCAGTATAGTTTCTAATTTTAACTTTTACTTTGCCATACATTATACCGAGCACAGTTATATTTTAAAATAAAATGTTATTATGCTTTTTTTCAAACTTTTATTACTCTTTTATTTTCAAACCTCAAACATTTTACTAATGCGCTTCCGTACCATCGTATAGATAGATATATATTAAGATTTATTTTATTTTTTCTGACAAATTTATACATACTGTACGTCACATTTTGTATAGAAACTCACTTAAACATCTACAAAACGGTATCATCAAATTACGTCTAATCGAAAACTATTATTTTACCAACCTGACAAGAACCCTGAAGGGCCGATGCTTCTCTAAAGTAATAAAATTATTAGCCAGTTTGTACCGTTGAACAAGATATGATAAACTATTTATATTATTTTATGTTGATATTTCCTGCTAAATTTCATCACAACCTTATACGCTGAAAGCACACTCATTCAAACCCTAAATAATATGCCCATAATTACACAAGATAAGATCAGTAAATGTTGTTTTCAAAAGAAATTACAACTAGGGATTTTGAAATAAAACAAAACGGGCAATATTGAGTATGGGCAAAAACCCACAATGATATACAGGTATATAAATACAATATTTTTTGTAATAATAATATTTATTATTATCTATATTGTACAACCGGGAAGTTAACAAAGGACAATGACTTATAACATCATTATGTACGTAAATTGGAAGCTTTGGAAATTCCACAAACGTCAAAAGAGAATAACAAAAGACCGTCCATTCAAAAAAATAAATAATAGTTCACATTTAATCAGGAGTTTAAGGCTTTAGAAATATGTTTGACAAGTTATATGAAGATCATATTATAGTGATAAGGCAGTATAATACACACTAAGCCAGTACTCAGATATTGAAATAATTTTCTCTATAAAACTGATTTTGTCAGGGTAGTGGCTGTAAATCATAACATAATCTGTTAACAATAGGAAACATTTTAATAAACATTAACAAATCCATTTATTTAGAGAGAGAGAGAGAAAGAGAGAGAGAGAGGGGGGTTAACGCCCACTCGTCACAAATCAAGTAATTTCGGGACTACCATATGGTTCAATTTTATTTCAATAATTCGCTTGAGAAAACCCACGTACAACCGGGGAATCTAAACCATGCCAGTTGACACAAAGACGCTAACCATTCGGCCATCCAACCCCACAAAATGTGACAGAAATCGCTACTACTACTACTATTGCTGCTGCTACTACAACTATGGATTTACGTCTTATGCCACCTAGTAATTATATTGCAGATAACGTCCGACCAAAAATATGCGGATGTTTAACATTATCGGCTTTATAGTGTACACCTTCTGAAAACAACGGAATGTAATTATTCATTTCCCGGTTATAATTTTGGTCTATCAAAAGAAATCTTATTCTGAAATATCTAAGATTCAAATACGATTCGCTAAATATATATATAGTTCTTTCTCAACTATCTGAATGCGGATATTATACAGCGCATTTCCTTAAACATGCATTATGCAAGAGCTAAATCTGCCTATTGTGGGTCTTTCTTTAGGCCTGACATATTATCTAGATGTTTAATTAAACATTAATTAGCTTATCAAGACTATAATCAACTCTCGATGCCATCGTTAGCCCGCGATATTCAGTGGATTTGAATACCTTTTATGGCGAATGATTAAACGTAATAATGGATAACCGAGACTTTTTTGTTATCGTATAAACGGTAGTTATGACGTTCGGGGCTAGCCTAAAATTGAATTGCTAATATCTCGATTCAGAGTGAAGCAATTTGACTGAAATTTTCAGCATATTCCGTTGATATTATCTATTTTTAACCATTACAGTGAGAATCTCAGTTCTTTATCTTCCATAATGCCCCTTTAATATTCAATGAATAAAAGTCATAGCTTGTTTTAAACATATTCACCTTTGATAGGACTCTTTGGTGACTGACTTGTTTGATTTTTAGTTTGTTGTTGATGTGATGGTGATGATGTTGTCCTGCTGCACATCTTATTTACATGTTTCTTTTAAATGATTCATTTTTCTATACATTACAGATATACAAAAAAAATGAGGCTTAACGTCCACTTAACACAAACTATGTCATTTCGGGACTAACAATTTTATTTCAATAAAATAGGGGTCTTTAGCTGTGGAAGGAAACCGACGAGGTTAGACAGGCGACCCTACTCTTTGGATATAAATGAATAACATTGAAAGAGGAGAAAACAGCAGGAACAAAATAGAAAAAAACACAGAATAATCGACATAATGTTATAACTTCTGTCGATTTTAAATCCAAATTCTTTTTCGTAAATACATTATGAGTAACTTTAAAATGAAACACACGTTGCCAAATGAGTTGGGTTGTCGGGTGGCCTATTACAGTAACAGTTGGTGAAGGGGGAGAATGACACAGATAAAGAGACCATTCAAGTCTTTTGTTTGTTTACCGTCCAGAACAATTGTTTGACTATGTCACACCTGTAGTAAAAATTGGACTATTATAGGTAGGTCTTAACAAGGTAGTGTAAGTAACTAGCGCGTGTCTTTAACATAAACAATAGGATAACTCTTCGATACAACTACACACCTTCAGGTGCCAAGGATTGAAAACGTTGATACGTGTTAAGTAATGCTAAGCACACTTGTTGCAAATATTAAAAGAATTCCACAGATACATGCAGCGTAACATTGTAAACATACCTAGCTAATACCAGAAAAAAATCGTACTATTTATGAAATGATTTAAACTGAAATTTTCGTCAACAGGATCGATTTTTAGCACCGGTAAATATTAGTCCAAAATAAAAAAAACAACAACTGTGGTTAGGGTTACCCTACCGACCATATCTGTTAGCCAAAATCGCCGACACTAAACTTTTTTTCCAAGGCATATAACTCGGTCTTGGAGGGATTTTCTCTAGACAAATTCCTGCACTGAAATTTTGATAGTAATTAAGCTAGAAATGCTAGGGACTGGATATACAAACCCCAAATGAAAAAAAAAGTAAAAACACAATAATTCTAACCGACCGACCATACTTTTTGTGGTCATGTAACCGTAAACACATGTATTTATGGTTTTCTTGGCCTTAAAAGAATACTTGGCATTAGACACACACATACAATATGAGGACACAAGATGATATTTTAGTAATTCACGAGTGCTTACTGGAGGAGGAATTACGATGAAGCGATATCTCTGCCAGTAACAAATAGCATCTTAAATTTTCACAGATTACCATATTTTTGATAGGTGGGAATTGAAATGAATATTCTGATGGTAGCCAAATCGAGGTGATCGTATTATGTTCCTTCCCATCCCTTTAAATTATCGTGGTGTCCAACAGATTCTTATAACGATGGTAAAAATCTTTCAAATTGAAAATTCAGCAGCTTGGAATTAAAACCCTTATTGGTATTTCCATTATGAGATTTTACCCACCTTTCCTGGTATCTTACACACGATTTTCTAACCGTGTTGATTGGGGTTTATACATCAATAATAAACTTCCTTGGACGTAGAGAACTTCTAATTGACGTGGGTTGTTTTTTTTTTGTAGTTTTTTTGTATTCAGCGAATAATTTTGTAGAAAATATAGGCCACGAATAATAATATATGTGACTGGTTCAATATCATAACGTCACAAATAATACGATATGGAGAAATATTTAACCCTTGGCTATTTTTCTACTTGACCTTAAAAAAAAGCTATCAAGTAAATTATAACGAAGGCTAAATGATGTACTTTTTGTATGGCAATTTGTGTTGCAAAAAAGGACTTGACGTTGTGTATTACTACGTAGTTTATTCATAAACTAGAAATTTTTATATACTAAATTGCTATTCTATATATTATGACGTCACATATACATTACATGCTGTGAACCCGACAGGTTTCGGATTACAAACCCACTGAATAGGGCGAGAAATTAATAACATTGATAATAGTAAAATTTACGTCATTTATTGCCTGGTCCTTGTTTTGTGAGCCGTGGTTCATCTGTATCTTGTAAAATCCATTTCTGGAAAAATACTCTGTGGTGCCCTACTGTCCTTGGTACCCTAAACCTATAATATTTTTTATGAACCTTCTGTTGATTTTAATCATATATCTGTATGATAAAGCACAGTTTTGAGCAAAGTGTAGGTTGTTTGGAGTAATCATTGTTGTTTATGGTTTGTTTTGGGCTACTTTGGGTAAATCTATGGATCCTTATTTTTATACGTCCACATTATAATCTGGAAACAGTAGGACGTTAAACCCCATTTCATTTTATAATCTGGACGTATTGCCGTCGCCCCTGTCTGTATGTGTGTGTGTGTGTGTGTGGGGGGGGGGGGTCTGTGTGTCGCCTACGGGCCACAATTCTTAAGTGATCTTCTTACATACTTATGCCTTATACCCTTAGGATGATCTAAAAATACTCTACAGGTTGCAATAATTAACAGATTTTTATTTCAAATTCAGCATATCAATCATTTCAATAACAGGGTGGTACCTATTATATTGTTCCATATCCAACCCCCAGGGGCAGAGCCGTGCCCAATTTTAGTATTTATCATCTACAGGCTGCAATTCTGAATGGATCATCTTGGAACTTTGTATATTTATTCCTTTATACCGTAAAGACAGCAACTATTTATTTTGATGCTTGCCCCGACCTCCTGGGGCAGTGTCACTCCCACTGTTTTTGTTAATATTTTTTCTGTAAATTTGGCAAAACAAACCAAACGCATAGCCTTCTTTGCCTCTTGTCATATTACAGCCATTTTATATTTCGTTCTCTTCATTTTAAAAAGTACCATATCAATCAAAGCAGGAATGTGGACGTATATTGCAGCGTAAGCGATGCTCTTGTTCTTAACGGTTTGTCGGGGGATCACGTGGCTAAGTGGGTAAGACGCTGGC